GCGTAGTTAGATAAGGTTTTCTCAGAGCTTTCGAAAGGCGCCGGTTTTGAAGACTTTACGTAAGTAGTCAAGAATCGGCTTCCGTTCTGGCCTCGTCCCTTTGTTGACAGGAGATATAACTGGACAAAATTATAATAAACTCTTAAAGGTGCCTTAATGAATACTATACCATCAACTTCCAATCAGATGCTGCAGCATTCCGAGTTCAAAGTTGAAGTAAGTTCACAACAATCTACAACCTCTGGGCTCACGGTTTATTCATAATAGTCTCCTTCCAATGGGGATCAAGAAGTGCCTAAGTTTCAGTTCAGAGACCGGAAAGACATGCTTTTTTGGCGATTGTCAACCGGTTCTTTGTCGACCTACTTCATGAAACCTTACAAGGCTTCTGGCTTGTCACATGGAGACATTCAGAGAAAAACGCTGTTGTTGACCTACATTCTGCATAAGTGTCAGCAATTGAAGGATGCATGAATGGAGCCTTGTCAAGAATTCTAGAATATGACTATGAGTCACAGCGATGGCGGGAGCCTTCTGGGTGTCAACGAACTTGAGTTACCCTCTAGAAACGGCCAGCAGCCCTGTGAGGCCTACAGCGTCTGCATTGTCAACGCGCCGGAGTCTGATTCGCAGTCACATCCAAGGTTCCAGATCTTAACAGTGTACAGAGATCTGGCAGGAAGCGAATACTTAAAGGGGGCCATGATGCTGGCGAGATCAATGCAGGTTCCCTCCTCAACTCTCGCCGAGATTCTCTTTTTTTTCACGACCTAGAACCTATACGCGCAACCATATCCTACCTCGTTGTTTGCCGCAATGTTTGTCACCACGTTGGTGTGGGCAGCCGCCCTCTGCCTTGTCCTCCTGATCGTACTTCTCTTCCGCAAGTGGCGGGCCAGACAGATCCAGGGATGGGTACAAGAACAGCGCAGAGTCGCAAGCTTCCAGTATGCTGAAAGCCTCGGAATCGACGAACGACTGCATCTACGAGCAGTAGAGAACCGCCGGCTCAAGGCCGCGTTTGGAATCGACAACTCGCTCACCACCCCATTGCGGTCGACGCACAGGCAGTTCCTCCATGCGTCGAACGCAGTGCTGAACGGGAAGTACCGCAGCTGGGAAAAGCTGTACCGCATCGCCGAGACCTTTTTGGATATGGAAGTCAGCACTCAAGACAGCCTGCCTCTTGCCGAGACCGTCCGCTGCATGGTCCTCGCAGTCGTGCTCTTCGACTCCTTCGACGTCGACCCCATAAGCGTCCCGCGCTCCACCCTCGTCACCATTACAAATGAGATCAACAAGCAGTGGATGTTGTCAAAGTGTCACCCCGACGACCTCGCTCCGTCTGCACTGCTCAACTCAACCATTGCCTCGCTGAACATCCGACGGCAGCTCATTTTAAGCTACAGCCCACATTTCACCTCAAGGCCCGAGTCGGTGCTCAGCCTGCTGATGCCGCAGTACGAGACTCTCTGGCGGGTCGTGCTCTTGACATTCGCAACAGCCTTCCATCACCAACCAGATGCCTATCCAGACGTATTTCAGCGAACAGCCGACGTTCCGTCTTGTCTAGGCGACCCAAGCCGCGAGAAAGAAGCCCTCAAACTCGCCAAGGTATTACTCCTTCCCCCCCCCCCCCCAACTTTTGCTTTTCTTTCGTCTTTCTCCCGCCTAACGCAGTCACTAACCGCCTCCCCCTTCATCTATTTATCTGTAGGAAGGCCTCCGCCTTTATCCATCAAATAAACGCCTCTACCGCGCCTCCTTGACATCCTCCAGCAACAACAACAACAACAACAATAATAATAATAACAGCAGCAGCAGCAGCAACTTCCCTCCCGTCCCAGTAGCAGCCGACATATCGGCCCTGCACCGCCACCCCTCGATTTGGGGCGCCGACGCGCTCGCCTTTCGCCCGGGCCGATTCGACGACGGCCAGATGACGGATCTCCAGCGCGAGGCGTACATCCCCTTTTCGGTCAAGCCGCACAAGTGCCCTGCGGCGAGCAATGCGTTTGGCGAGAGGATGGTTGTGGTGCTGGTTTCGGCGCTGGGGCGGGTGCTGGGGCCCGACAAAGGAAGGGCGCGTTTCGAAGAGAGTGGGCGTGGTCACTGGCAGGGTGGTGTGAGTGAGTTGCCGACGGGAAGGGATGAGATGGAGGGTTGGGTGTGGGTGGTGGGGGGTTTGTGAGGTTTGGTGCCTTACAGGTATGGAGGCACTGGATATAAACAGCAGTGTTGGTGAAGGGTCGGATAGTGCTGACGGGCGTTTGGCGCGATCCTGTGCGAGTCGTTGGATGTTTATGTTTGTGTCGTTTAGGGGTGAGGACTCATGACGGAAGGCCGGTTCCCCGGAGTAAAGTCCATCACATCAGTCAAACTTGCATCACTTGAGGTATATGTATGGAGTATGGACAGCAACTTCACTTTGATCAGCTCGGACCATTGACAGAGCCCCAATCCCCAGACTAGCCCTTAAATGCATCACGGTGGTTCGCTTCATGTCCGAAGAGCAGAGAGAATCGAGTCCATTCGAACGAGGAATTCTTGGCGTTCATGTTGTCTGCCAGAGTCTTTGGGGCTGCGTCGATGCGATGCCTTCATCGACAAATCGTGTGCTCGGTGGTCCTTCAGCCATCAGCTGCCTGAAAGAGTCAAGTCGCCGGCATAAGTATTTATATCGGCGTTGACCAACAGCGAGAGGTTGTGGCACAGTGGACATATGTCGAGCCTTCTGTCACATGCGTCGAGCATCGCTACCTAACTATGTCGAAGCTGGATTGGGCTCGGTGTTGAACTGGGAAACGTGACGTCGCACCGGCAACTGACCTGCATGGCTCCATTCCGTCCCGCTCCGCGCACCGGGGAGACTCTGGGCATGTTGGGAATCCGCGGACCGAGATTGGCCAGTTTCTAACCCCCACGTGGTGCTCGCCAAGGACATTTTTCCAGGGCACAACAACAACTCGGCCAAGCTCAGTGATGTTATGTTACATCCCGAGGCCTTCAAGTTACCAGCCAGCGGCGGGCCCTCCGGGAAACTTAAACCAGCGTCATGGCTGAACGCCGGCGGTTGTTGGGAGCGCAGTTGTCCCGCACTGCACCTCACGCAACAGCCCGACGTCGTCAGCCATGTTGTGCCGTGTGACGCTGAGTGGCCTGGTCGCCGCCTCGGTTGTGACGGCTTCCTTCGACAGGAACCTGGCCTACAGCAGTCCTTCGCGGCGGCACCCGAGCCTTGCCGTGCCTCTGGCTCATGTGTCCAAACGTCAAACGGGCGAGCTCTTCGCTCCGGCCGAGGTCAACTTCACCCATGGCGTTGCATCCGGCGACCCCTATGCCGACTCGGTCATCCTCTGGACGAGGCTATCCCCGACAGTGGACAGTGTCGCCTCTGATTTGGTTCCGGGGGGCGTAGCACCCATCTACGACGACGCAGAGGGTGCTCAGCCGTCGAGCAAGGCGGCCTGTGTCGAGTTCAAGATCGCCACAGACCAGGCTTTGACGGATGTGGTTGACCAGGGCCGGGCTTACACGACTAGCGATGTGGACTACACGGTCAAGGTTGGCACTCAAGTCATTCCCATCTGAAATTGGGTCTCATACTAAGCAGACGAAGTTTGAGGCAGGCGGTCTCCAGCCGTTTACCACCTACTTCTACCAATTCAATGTCTGTGATTCCGACAAAGTCAGCCCGCTGGGCCGGACCAAGACCACCCCGGCCAAGACGCAGAAGGTCGACCAGAACATCAGACTCGCCGTGTACTCGTGCTCAAACTACCGTAAGCCCGCCAACCCCCTTTCTCCCACTATGTGTTCTAACCCATCGCCAGCTGAGGGCTACTTCAACGCCTACGGCAACCCCGCACGCAAGGACTCAGTCGACTACGTGCTGCACCTGGGCGACTACATCTACGAGTACGAGCCGGACTCGTCACTGCCGAACCGCAATCCTTCCCCGAACCGCGAGACGTACTCGCTGTACGACTACCGCGCGCGGCTGGGGTCGTACCGCACCGACGCCGACCTGCTCCTCTCGCACGCACAGTTCGCCTGGATCCCCGTGTGGGACGACCACGAGGTGGCCAACAACGCGTGGAAGAACGGCACCGAGAACTCGTCTGGCGACGTCTTCCGCCGGCGCAAGCAGGCCGCCGTCCGGGCCTACTACGAGTGGATGCCGCTGCGGCAGGCCGACATGGACGACAGCCTGCGCGTCTGGCGCAGTTTCGGGTTTGGTACCCTGTTTGACCTGGCTATGCTCGACACCCGGCAGTACGACCGCGACCTGACGGTGCTGGGCGGGATCGCGGGCCTCGGGGGCAACAGCGCCGAGGTGGAGAAGCAGGTGGATTGGCAGAACCGAACAGTCATGGGGTTCAAGCAGGAGCAGTGGTTCTACGACCAGCTGAGGGAGTCGAGCCAGCGCGGCGCGGCCTGGCGCGTCGTGGGCAACCAGGTCGTCTTTAGCCGGATGACGCTGGGCATCCTGGGTGACACGCCGTTTAACCGTGACCAGTGGGACGGCTATCTCGCCAACCGCGACCGCGTCTATCAGTGCCTGGAGGAGGGCAAGATCAACAACACGGTCATGCTGTCCGGGGACTCGCACGCCTCCTGGGTGTCGGACCTGGCCTGGCTCGGGAAGAGGGCCTACGACGAGGACACGGGCAAGGGGGCATTTGGGGTCGAGCTGGCGGGCACTGCGGTCACCAGCTCCAGTCCGGTGGGCGGCACGCCCAAGTTTGCGGCCAACTTGCTCTCCCAGTGGCTGATCAGCCAGAACCCGGAGCTGCAGTGGCAAGATCTGTTCTACCGGGGGTATTTTGAAATGAGCATCGGCTATGAGGCCATCAAGGCCACCTTCTTTGGCATTTCGGATGTCAAGAAGCGTAGCGATGACGAGGTCGTGCTGGCGCAGTTCCTGATCAACAGCGGCGAGAACAGGCTGGCCAGGAATCCCACGGTTGGGGGCGGTCGGGCCAAGAGTGGTGCGTTGAAGAACGGGCGCGTGGACATATTTTGAGTAACTGGCAGAGATGTGTAGGCATCTGACAACGTCTCAACATGACATGTCCTGAATAGTTAACAAATTGCTGAGGCAATCCAGAGCGGGTCAAGCTCACAAGGAAGAGCAATACAAAGGAAGCAATGAAGAGGGAGGAGAAGAGCAAATAAGAAAAAATGAAGAGTAAAAGTCCTGGGAAATCCTGGGTAACTGCGAACGTCTTTGACTCCAATCTGAGTTAAGACAGAGAGACACAGGTTCTACTAGTATCCGGGCAGTCATCTGATACGCTGAACGACTCCAAGATTGCCCAACCCAGCAGCAGAGGTGATTATTCTTACGGCCAAGTGTTCCTTGGCGACGTCCGGTCGGTCAAAATATCAAACAATTGACAAATGATCTAGAAGACGCGCGTTCGACGAGGCTCAGTACTAGCCAAGACTCGGATATATCTCAAGATTCGGACTCGGCATATCCGAAGCAAACCATGCTGACATGTCGGTGTAGGACTTGGCAAACTGTTTAGGTCGACGACGGTTATATATGGCAGGTGGTACCTAAGATACATCCTTGCCTTATGCAGTCAACCCACGCCGCTCCCTTCATCCCCCTTACGAGTCACTGCCAGTCTCAATTCCTTTTTTACCCGATCAACCTAATCAAATCCGTCTGGTGTGATTCTCAACTTCAAAGTTCTCCCACTTCCCGCTCCCTTTTCGCAACCAGCATGAGACTCCACGCAGTCTTCCTCGCCGCACTGCATGGCGGACTCGCCTGGGGCATCCCCTCTTCCGGCCATTGGAAGACCCTCGCCCCAATCCCGATCTACCCTCGCCAAGAACGTACGTCCCTTACGCTCGCACGCCCCATGTGTAACCCCTTTCTGGGCACCAACCCAGCCTAGAAATCAGCCATACACTGACCCCCTTTCTTGAAACAGACACAACCGTCCTAGTCAACTCCACCACCATCGCAATCCTAGGCGGCATCATCCCCGTTCCCTTCACCTCCTCCCTCACGGACAACGTCACCACCATCCCCTCCCTCAATACAACCTCGCTCCTCCATACCTACCACATCCCCTCCAACACCTGGTCCTTCCGCCCCTTACCGGGCTTACCCATACCGCTCAACCACCCCAACGCAGCCGTAGTCGACAACAAACTGTACCTCCTCGGCGGCCTGTCCGACGCAGCCGGCGACGGCGTGTGGCGCGGCACGGGCCGCAGCTGGGTGTTCGACTTTGTGACTCTCTCATGGAGCGAGTTGCCGTCCATGCCGGACGTCCCACGCGGGAGTGCGGCGGTGGGCGTCGACGACGAGACCGGACTGGTGTATCTTGCGGGGGAATGAGGCAGTTACCTCTGGTGTCCGGGATGGGGGTGCAGGAGAGTGTGGATGTTGTCAGTGCCTTTGACACAAAGAGGAGGGTTTGGGTGCTCGTGGGTGGGCGGGCGGGGAAGATCCCGGGCCGGAGGGACCATGCGGGCTGTGTGGTGGTGGATGGGGTTATGTATGTCCTGGGCGGGAGGGATACCGGGCAGGTCAATGTCAGGGGGGAGGTATTTGCGTTGGACTTGAGGAGGGTGGGGAAGGGGTGGGTGACGAAACGGGGCAGAATGCCTACGGCCAGGGGAGGGGTGTGTGCTGCGGTGGTTGGGGGGAAGGTGTTTGTTCTGGGTGGGGAAGGGAACCCGGCCGAGGGCAGTGACGGGGTGTTTGATCAAGTCGAGGCCTACGATACGTGGAAGGATAGCTGGGAGAGATTGGGCAGGATGAAGGTGCCACGGCACGGTACCTCAGCGGTCGCGGTACAGGGAGGAGTGTACATCCCCGGAGGGGGGATCAGGATAGGAGGCGCCCCGGTGGACACGTTCGACGTGTTCTATCCGTAAGTTGAGGAGGTAAGGAGCTGGCATGGAAGGGAGGCGTGGTGGCAAGGGGGTCTGAGGAAAACAAGGGACAAGGGGTTGTAATACACCGAGAGGCACAGTTGGGACTCGATTGCTTAGCATTCATGCGCACAGCGAGCAATCGGGGAATGTGAGCTGTGCAACTCAACGTTCCCCTTCAATAATCCAGTCCTAATAAGGCGCCCGTTTAATCTAAAAGGCGCCTGCCCAAGCCACTGCACTAAACCCAAGATCAAAACCAAGACATGGTAACCAGCACTGCAACAACTAGATGCGCTGTAGACTTAAGATGCCTGCCTACTCCTTTTGAGCCAGGCCATCAGCTGCCTTCCCAACCTGAATGAACCGGAACTTCACGCTCGCCCCAACGTTTCGGTGGCAGAACATGCCATGAGGAAGCGGCAGAAACTTGGAACCGATATGAGCTCGATTCCTTACATTGAGAGTATAACGAGTGGAAGGGAGAATTAAAGAAAGGAGTGTATATCGCTCTCACAAGCTAAGGATGTCCTGATGCCATCTGGCAAGTCACCGAGTCTCTGAAAAGCAACAAACTTAATTCTCTGAGTCCATATCCCCAAATGCTATTTGAATGAAGGGGCTGCCCTCTAAAAATGCTAAGTCAGGTCCTGCCATGTGCAAAAGATCGCAACGCTGGAAATCAATACCATGAGACCTGGCAATGCACTGCCGCCACGAGGTGCTCTGCAGGCCCGAAGGCCGGCCAGCCGGTCTCAGTCCCACCGAGCAGCTGACTTGTTGGGCGCTTTTCCCGGTTGATCTCGGCCTCCAGCGCCAGCTGAGGACAACAAGCGAAGGATATCAGATGTCCATGCCAGCGGGAAGGCGGTAAGGGACCTCTGGGACGAATTGTGCGGCTCTGGGGTTCAGCCGGCTGTCGCGGAGTCGCCGTGCTCTCTCCTGATCTCCCGCCTCCTTCCCTCTGCGCTTGTCTCAGGCCCTCGCCCAATGAATCTCTTCCAAATACGGCTCGTATAGCTCCCTTGTTCATCAATCCCGGGGCAGAGCCGAGCAAGGGGGAAGAACCTAGACGAGGTGTCCAGTTAGCATACACCTGCGCGAATGAAACGTAAACTTCTGAACGGAAGCATAACAGTCCATGGTCATACAGGTCTTGGTCTCGAGCACCAGCATGACGCTCAAAATCTGTTCTTGCGTTCCGGTTGTAGTACACGAGCACACCACGCTCCCAGGTCGCGTTCGGCTGCGAGTCGTCGGTCACCCAGCACTCGGACACGTCATTCCCCTAGGTGGCGACCATGAGATCAGCATGATCCCCGATCCAGTCCCAGTGTTCGTAAGGGAGGAAAACGACGTCGTATCCCAGCTGTGCCTTTGGTTAGCTTCAAGAAGCAAAGACTGGTAGGACGGGACCTAGTAGAATACATACCCATTCCTTGGCCTTGGCAAGAACTTGCTCGTCGGTCCAGCCTGTGACGTTTTGGAATTTCTCGTATTTGGGATCACGACCAGCCGCCTGGGCAGTTGGGGTGCTGGACGACTCATCCTGCATATTGGATGCGCCGTTCAGCATCGGAGTGTTGCCGTTCTGCATGGTTGATATGTTGACCTTGCCTTGTGGATAGTCGGTGCTGCGTTGGAAGTTGATAATGTGAAACCTGAGGAGAATGGCTAGTGGATGGGAATTCTGCAGTGACTGGGGAAAGCTAGGGTAGATGCAGAGGGCATTGGTATATATACTAACAGGTTGAACCGAGAGGTTTTGCGGCAGGCACGGTTCCAGGTAGCCTGCTGCTCGTCAGCGCTCTCTGACCGCGGTGGCACAGGTGATGACAATGACGTGTCAACCTAACGTCGGATGCTCGACTCAAGATCAAAGTGTGTTCGTGTACTTATTCTGATCATGTTCTTTATGAATCCACCACGCTCCAGCCCAGCTTGGCAGCCCCTGGTGTGCCTGATATTGACGTGGCCCAAGACACCACCGGCTTGCGACGGAGAACTAGCGAGGCACGTTAGCCCTCGAGCTTGATAAAATCATAGTGCCAGCTTTTTTCACCTCCCATCTCTGACTGCAGACATGGCAATACAGTGTGCCAAGTCAGTGATCAGTGGGGTACAAAGTAGTCGTAAGGCACGAGAGTGCCAACACAGCAGCAGGCGAGAAGCCAAACTGTGAGAGTGCACGTAGGTGACACGGCTTGTTAGCATAACCGCATGCCAGGTAGTGATGCCATCAGCAACGTGCCGTGGAAGGGGAGGCTACCTGTAATACCCATGACATGATCCAAGATTTGGAAGCCAAAACAATGGAAGAATGCCCCATGTTCCAAGCAGGTGTAGGTCAGAATGAATGAATGACTCCTGCTACGTCCACCGGTTGGCTGGTCCTTCCCTGGATAGTGACTGGCAGCTTTCGAATAGGAGAGCGTACTAGGAACAGAAGCTTAACCCGCTAGGTTTCCGCCCGGTGAAGCTCGGGAAGCAGCTGAGCAGCCAACTGGGCGGCTACGAAACTGCAGGCTCGTCAGTCACGCAAACATATCGTCATTCAATTTCTGAGTTATTGCTCATCTCACTCGGCGTTATCATCATCCACCTCGTGTGCGTCCTCATCCTGGTTATGCTTGGGCAGGATAAAATGGGAGTTTGCCACGGAGTCGGACTGACTGGGCGCATCTGGATGCTCGGAGCCGCTGACTTCGGTGTGTGGCGGTGAATGGACGGATTGGTTGTTGTTACCAGCAGGATGTGAAATGGGCATCGCGACTGGTTGCTGCTCGTGTTGCTCCTGGAGGATATCGGTCATGTCTGCATCTGGTTGGCGTTGGGCCTGGGACTGGGACTGAGCGTCTGCTGGTGGTTCAGGCTGACGATGTTCTGGTGGTTGATGGTTAAGTGGCTGCAACGTAGGCAGGGCGCTGCCCTCACCGCTCGCCTCGGCAGCAGTGGCAGTGTCGTGCCCATTGGTGCCGTCAGCGTTCTCAGGCGGCCCAAAACCGGCTGCCGGTGGCTGTGGAAGCTGCTCCTTGGCCTTGCGCTTCCGGTTTGGTTTCGGCCCCGTGTAAAGCGAGCAGTTCGAAGTGTTGTCGAACCACTTGCAGTTGGAGCAGCTGTTGTGGTAGCTCCCCGGCAGGACGCGGCAGGTCAGAAAGGGGCCGAGGGTGCTCTTGGCTCGCTTCTCGCTACACTGGAGACATGATGACGGGGCGTCTTGCCCTCTCGAGTGAATCAACAAGCCGTTGACATAGCTGGGCCGCTGCGAGGCGATGTGCTTGGCTGTAATCCAGCCCTGCACGAACAGTATTGTCTCTCGGCTCGGCAGACGGAAGATGGCGCGCTGTGTCTCGTGAACAAGGGACTGCTCTGTTAGAGCATCGCGAATGCGAATCGAGAGCATCGGAATAGCCCGGTCATTCTTGGCCGCGTTCCACGCCTTCACCAGGGGGTTATGTTCGTAGTCCGCATCGCGTACCGTGGTGTTGGGGCGGCCAGGGGGGCGGCCGCGGCGCTTTTTAGGAAAAGCAGAGAGGAGGTGGGTTGGAGTGGGGAATGGAGCGGCCGGGCAAGAGAGAGCAGGGTCGATGTATTGGTGTTCTGATTGCTGTTGTCCGGTCTGCGGTTCACTCTGTTGGTCTTGGTGATCTTGGTGATCTTGGTTATGGTGTTGAGAATGTGAGATGACCGCCACGTCTCCCGCTGCAGGTATCTCCATCATGGCGGCATCGCGAGGTGACCCTGCTGCCTCGGCCATGTCTAATCGTCCACGAAAGGGTCTGTAGTTCGCGGTAAAAGGTACAAGATCTGCCCGCTACAAGAAAGCTGCGACAGGACGCGCAGATGGATGCTTATTTTGTAGTCGTGTCAAGAGCAACACGACGTTAGATTGAGGCTATTGCGCACGGACCATGCCGCATCGTTACACAGTAAGCACAACGAAGGAAACTGCGACACTACGTAATGCGCCAGCCGACGGTATTTCAAGCCGGGGACCACAGCAAGGACAATCAGCCAAACGAACAACAGACCAGACCTTCACACTCCTTGCATTTGACGTTCCCGTTCACTCGGTCATTCTCTGGAGTTTGCCGCGCCAGCTCGCTGGGCTTTAGTTGTTGCCCAGTTCATTCAATCGCTCGCCATGTCGAACCCCAACGCCCTCCTCCTCCTCGCCGACCACATTAAGTTGTCTCTTCTCGAGCAGCAGCGCGCCAAGACACTCAAGCTCCGGCGAGACTCGCAAGACGGCCACATCTCTCGCTCACTCGACCAGTTCCGCGAAGGCCTGGAATCACTCGAGAAGGAGCATCAGCGGCTGCAAGAAGCCGGCGATGAATCGTCCGTCCAGTCCCCTACCACTCCCGGACTTTCCACTTCTAACACCCTCCCAGCAAAGCGTCCACGCTCAGCGACACCCTCGCCTCCTTGCGCAAGCAATACACCGACCTCTCCTCGCAATTCCAAGGACACGCCTCGCCCTCCACGACCTCGACCCTAACGCACCCCAACGACCCGTCTCTTGCATCAGATTTCGCCCACGCCCAGTCCTCCCACGCCGAACCCTCCTCCCCACCACCACCGCCGCCCCCTCAAAAGGACACCCCTCCCCCCGTCCCCCCAACCAAGAAAGCAGTCCGCTTCTCCTCCCCCTCCACAGACCTCGAATCCCAACAAAAACAGCGCCGCAACCTCTTCCCCTACCGCGACGACCCCGACTCTTCTTCCGACCCGGACAGCGCCGGCTACGCAGACCACATTGCCTCCGCCCAGCTCTCTAACACCCAGATCCACGCCTACCACCAGCAAATTCTGCAGGACCAGGACGCGCAGCTTGACGCGCTGGGAGCGTCCATTGCGCGACAGCGGGAGCTGAGCATGCAGATCGGCGACGAGCTTGACAGCCAGGTGCTGCTGCTGGACGAGAGCGAGCGGGCGGCGGACCGGCAAATGAACGCGCTGGGCCGCGCGCGCCGGCAGGTCGGCCGGGTTGCGCGCCGCACCGCGGGGAGTGGGGAGGGGAGGCAGTTGGGGGCGATTGTGGTGCTGATTATTGTGTTGGTGCTGCTGATTGCAATCTTGAAGTGAGGATTGTATGGGTTGAAACAAGAGGGAGGGGGTGTGGGGTTGTATGGGTGGTCAAGAAGGGCGGCCTGGCCCAGAAATGGGATATTTCTCCGTACTGGTGTTGTTGCTAAATTTTCTTAACGCTTGCGAGGGTGGGCGGCTGGCTGATGACTACGGCTTTGAAGGGAACACTCTATGGCGTCTTGGGGGATCTTGGGTCTTGCTAGACGACGGCTAGTCTACCCGTTTTTCTTTTCATTTCTTTTTCTGTTTAGTATCGGTTTGTACATGACACACCTTGGCTCTGTTGTTCACTGCTGCCTCGATAGGAGAACATCTGGCTGTTGCGGCGGGCTTCCTGATGTCCCAGTTCAACAACATGGGCAAGCTCACCATAGTGATAGTAAAATTTGGGCAGACAGTCACTCTATCCAGAAAGCCCGATTAGCTCAGTTGGTCTAGAGCGTCGTACTAATACCGGTTAACCCCTGTGTATGGTATGCGAAGGTCAACAGTTCAATCCTGTTATTGGGCATTCATTTTCTTTTGCGCCTTTTGCCTGCTTTTAAGAGGGCATTCGTCTTTTCTTCCGCCACACTCGTGTGATGACCCTGAACCACCATTATGTGACTTAGGAATGGGAGAACAAAGAGGCTCATGACCGGTTTACACTCTGCGTGCTCAGCAATTGTCAGGCAGGGTCTCATCTGGAAACATGTCATTCAACCCGGGATGCTCACATCGGATACGAAATACGGTTTAATTAATGTGGTTGCGTCGACTGTCTCCATTTCCTTCCCCACACAACAACTCTCGTCAGCCAGGCCAAGCAACGCTGTGCAGCACGGACTGTTGCCCCTGCTGCGTCCAAGACCAAAACTCCTCAAATCTCATGCCAACCTGAAAATTTGCGTTCAGCAAGCAACCCCATACTAGACGTCACAGCTCCTTCTGAGCAAAGCTCCCTGAGCGTAGAAGACGATCCCCCTCACCTACCGAATAACTTCACCCTCTCTGTCGATTCCCTCGAGAAACTCAAGAATAGGACTCCCGCCCAACACACCCGCCACGCCAGCGGTTCCCTTCTTGCCGGCCGTCCAGACCTCGTGGAACTTGACGCTTTTATCGCTCGACGCAACAATAATGCAGCCTTCCTTCGCGGTGCGACTGAGGCTCGGCGCCTTCTTAGCTCTTCCCTTGCCCTTTAATCCCGACGGGCCGATCTCATCGGGCCCGCAAGGATATGGGATGGCGTAAAGTGCACGGTGCTCGCCGGCCCAAGGGATGGCGGCAACCTGCCGGCAGTCCGGCCAGGAGAAGACGGCGATCCGGACGGGATGGTCCGGCTGAGCATAGCCGAATGTGGCTGCGATTTCGCGTCGGGTTGTTGACCAAATGAGACTGGTCACCTGGGCGGATACGGAGATGGAGGCGAGGGCGGCACCAGAACCGGTGTGGAAGAAGTGGATGCACTTATCGTTGGAGCCCCCTCCGGTAGCCACCAAGCTCTCTTGCCAGGGACAGAATGCAATAGCCTTGACCGCGGCTCCGTGAACCCACCGGTGCTTTTCGTCGCCTGGTCCGAGGCGCAAGGTCGGGTCGTATATTGGGCTTTGGGAGACCTGAATCTCCGTCTGGGCCTCTGATACCTCACTGTCTCCACGGACATGGGCTGCTGCCGACGACTCGGCCTGGTGGTCCTCGTCAAGGACGCAGTGGGCTGCGTGAGCTTCGAGCACCCTGGTAGTCTCAAATACGCAACACAAGTTGTCGTTCCCGCCTGTGCCAAAGACGTCGCCGTTCTTTGACCATGCCAGGCCGCATATCTGTTGCGAATGGGCGGCAATGCGCGCCAACAACGTCATGTTCCCCGGCCAGTTACGGCGCTCCACCTCCCATCGCTCTGGCCACTCGACGGCATAGTAGTAGACCAAGCCGGTTTCGTCGCCCACTAAGAGATCTTCATTCTTCACCGGAATACCAAGGTGGACAGGGTCCTTGGAAGGCCGGACGGTGCAGGAGGGCTTCCAGCTCAGGCAGGCAACAGTGGTGGGCTGAATCACTTCGAACCGCGGTTTTGGGCCGGCCCGCGAGGAAGCAGGGTGCGGACCATCGTACAGCGACATCAACCCAAGTGTCTTGTCAGATCTTCCAAACGCCAGTATGGACTTGCAACCTTCGGCGGACGAGAAAGACAGGCTGGTTAAATAGCAGTCCGGGTCTGTCCCAGTGTTTAGAAGTTGCACGCCCCTGGTCTCGGACCAACCGTAAAGCAGGTTGCCCAGGCCGACCGCAAGAGTCCGGGAGGTAGAAGAATATGCCAGAACCGAGCAGTAAAAATCGTCGCGCAGGTTTGGCGCATCGAGAACTCTTCCGCGAACGTTAGTGTAGTTGGCAAAACCAGACACGCTTCGGAGAGGAGGACTCACTTGAATGGGGCTGTGGGCAATGTTCGATTCCCGAAGGGCTTCTGTGGCTTCGGAATGGGGCCATCGTTGACCCATTCCGTGCCGTTCCAATGTGTGTGAACGTAGCCCGGTTTTCTGCGATTGCTGCCATGATGGATAGCAGCGTTGACCTCGAGCACCCGGTGCGCCCGATCCAGCCCAAGTGCGGCCGCGAGCCTGGCTTTGTGTTTTTCCAGCTCCTCGTCAGTTTTCGGTTTCGCCGTTGGAAATGTGGTCCGAAAGAGGCGGGCGTTCGTTCCACTCCTGACGAGCTGGCCTCGACCGTTGTTAACAGCGGTTCCTCCGAGACCAACAGTCCAGGCGATGTTGGCATCGACCTGTGTTTCATTTCCATCAATACTATTTTGGTCGAGCGGGCCAAGCACATTGCCCACTAACCCGTGTCAGCCTCATTTCCTGTTCCCCGCCCACTGCAGTGTCCAGTGGTGCTTCACTGACCTGTGTTGCGGCTGGCAGCAGTTTCGCCGCGCGATATGGAGCGCGGCCTGAATCCGAAAGGTGTAACAACCCTTCGCCGGTAAACAAACGCGTCCTCAGTGGCTCCGCTGTGCCGAAGCAACCTTTCCGTGGACGTCAACTCATGCGGCGCTTTGCCGGTCTTAAACCGCTCCGAAGCTTCTGTGCCCAGAGGCCTTGCCGGTATGAAGCGGTCTAACCGGCGGACCGAAGCGGTGTTAGGAGCCCTTTGTTGAGACCTACTCCTGTAAGAGGGGAAGAATGCTCCAGGCAACCCTGGACGGGAGCGAGGCGACTGTCGTGGTAAAGTGGCCGATCCCCTCAGGAATCCCTGGGGTGTCTGGTATGCTGCTGAGGGTGAGCCGGGGGAGATATCCGCCACATTTGCGAATAGGTTCTCCTGATCGCTGTCGACAAACGGGTCATCTGAGTCCGATTGATTGCCATCGTAGAGGATCCGGAGCTCTGCCGATGGTGGCCGATTTTCGTTAACGGAGCGCTTCGACGTCGATGGAGGAGGAGAAGCAGAGCCGTAGCCCGAGTCCAAGGGGCTCAAGGGGTCTGGCTCGCTGAATGCATGACGCTCACGACGGGACTGCGCTCGGAATGGAACACCGGGGAGCATGATCTGATGGAGGCCGACTGTTCGGGTGGTGGTTCACGGCACAACGACGAACCCTGGCCGGGGTCCGATAGGGATTTGGAAGTTATAAAGCTGATGGGGCAGAAGCGACAGGAGGCAGTGAATCAAACGAGTGCACGCCCGGATTGCGACCTTCTTGGCCAGAGAAGAGCTGATCAACGAGTGACCTGGAAGTCTACCATGACAAGGCGGGAAGAGAGAACCGTGCTCGACGTGGCCGGGTGTGAGCTGCAATGGGGGACGACTAGCCTGGCGATTGAGTCAACTCTCCCGGACTGGTAGTGAATGGTGTATTGATGATAGTCGACTAGCGTAGGAAACTGGAGGCGAAGCGTCGAGGTAGATGAGTGCATTGCACGTAAGTACTGAAGAACTGGAGAAAAAGGAAAGAACGTCGAGGAAAAGATATGACTCCAATTTTGGTTCGGGTGTGCACACTTGGGAGCCCAGGTTCTCAAGTTGTCGAAGGCAAGGTCGACCTTTGGGGTTGAAAGACGCCCGATGGTCAGGATTCGGGATGTCATCCGAGCAATCGGACACTGGACGGCTAGGTGCGGAACAAGCCATCTTCTAAGTTGGAAGGAACAACTGTTGTTAGATTTTGCGGCTACCTTGATTGGCTTCATTCGGTTTCAAAGTTTCCGCCCATAACACTAGGAACTTGAGGTGGGAGCGTAGCTGTCGGAAGAGGAAGGAACGAGGTCGGCAGGCAAAAGATGGGTCCAAAACCAGGGTTAGGGTTGTAGTCGATCAAGTGCCGCTGACGAAGCACTACTTGAACAAGGACAGCTGAACAGCTCCCTGTCATCTGGAAAACACCACAACCTGAAGCTCTCGAGACCAGCCAAAGAACGATGGCCGACGTAAGAACCTAACTTTCCTTTTCTGTCACTTTGTCGTCGCAGCCACTGGGCGGAATGTTGACTGATAGCAAGGACGCTTCCAGCAAGGTGGATCACAACACGGCATAGCCCGAACCTCGCGCGTGCGCACCGAAGAGCAAAAGAATCGCGACCTTGAGCGCATCGCCAGGTACCACGAGCTCGAGGACCAAGTGCGCGCCCGCGTTGCCCAGGGCGACTACTCGTCCGCCGTCTTCCAACTCACTTCCAAACTGCTGCGCCTCAACCCGGAGTACTACACGATATGGAACGTCCGCAGACGCTGCCTAATCTCTGGCTCATTCTCAAAACCATCGGCTGGATCATCATGCTCGACGGCGTGCTTGACTTCTTCTCCTACCGCCACTACAGCACCCTCTTCCATCAGTTGCTTGTCGTCCTCCTCGGCCACGACCCCGCCCGCCCCCGGCCTCCCGACAGCTGGGAAGAGTGGTACAACAGCTGACCCGACGGTTGCAGCGGCGGCCGAACCGCCGGGAGCCATTGAGTCCGCCCCCTCCGAGGCAGAATCCCACGATTTCACCACGCTCAAATCCGAACTCGCCTTCACCATCCCCCTCCTCCTTGAATCCCCCAAGTGCTACTGGATATGGAGCTACCGGCTCTGGATCCTGCAGCAGGCCATCGCGCGGCTGCGCCCAGCGCTGGCCCGGACGGTATGGGAGGAGGAGCTGGGACTCGCGTCCAAGATGCTGGGCAAGGACCGCCGGAACTTCCACGCCTGGGGCTACCGCCGGCACGTGGTGGGCCAGCTGGAGAGTCGTTCCCTCCAGGGCAGCAGCATGGTCGAGGCCGAGTTCGCCTACACCGACCGCATGATCAAGTCGGACCTGTCTAACTTCTCGGCGTGGCACAGCCGGAGCAGGCTGATACCGCGGCTGCTGGAGGAGAGGGCCGCGGATGAGGCGGCGAGGAGGGCGTTTCTGGACAAGGGTATGTCCCTGACTTTTCCTTTTTGCTTCAGACCCAGTGACAGTCGAGACCGGGTGGCTAACCAGCAGGATGTTTTCAGAGTTCCAACAAATCCGTGAAGCGCTCAACGTTGGCCCCGAGGACCAATCGCTCTGGTACTACCACCAATTCCTGGTCCTCAACCTGGTCTACCCCGACAAGCACCCGGCCATGACACCCGGGTTTACGGTGCACGACCGGGTGGCGTACTTGAAGCGCGAGATTGATGAGATCAAGGAGCTGCTGGAAGACTATGCCGACATCCAGCTGATTTATGAGGGGCTGTTTGAGTACACACTCTACCTATGTCAGCTTGAGAGAAGAAATCCCAAGGCTGATGAGCGGGCGGATCTGGTGGAGTGGCTGGCCAAGCTGAAGCAGTTAGATCCGATGCGGAGAGGAAGGTGGGCGGACTTAGAAAGAGAACATGAGTTGACGGCGGGAGGGAGCGATGTGTAGCTGTGCTGGGAGGCTGAAGTACATAAATTATCGAGCCACCGGTTTGTAGGACGTCCATGGTCTGCTTAAGCTGAAAGCGAAGCGTTTCATGACGGGCGAGCATATTTGCTTTCGAGTCCAGCGACCTGGAAGCTATCTCCCCATCCCTGCAACGCCTTTCCTCTCCCGTCTCGTCCAACGGTAAAACCACCTTACTCTCCTCCTCAACTCCCTTCTCCCAATCCGCCGCCCGCCAAACTTGCTCAGCCTCAGCAACTCGACATCTACCTTACGGTACCGCACCTCCCAGCGTAACCATTCTTCCAGCCCGGGCAGACCAATGCCCAGCGTCGGCAGCGCAAGCAGCTGCGGCTTGTCACATTCCTTTAGTATCTGTTCCCACTCCATCCGAGCCGCAGCGAGGCCACCCAACCCCTTTTTCCTAATCAGATCGATGACCTCGATCTCGGCCATCTCCTCATGCTGCCTCGTCTCACTAACGCCACCACCACCAGCCGCAGCCTGAGCCTTGTCGTGAGCCAGCGGCAAAACCTCCAACTCCTTTGGCCACCATTTCCCCCTACGCAATAACCCACTCACATTGACCGTCGAATAAATCGCCGGCAGGGTATACCGTGTCTTCCCCGGTGCATACCTCCTCAAAATTGCCGCGAGCTCCTTGTCCTTCCTGTACCCCTCATCATCATCCTCGGCGAGAGTCTCGCGGAACGGCTTGTAGTGCTCGGCCTCGAACGGCGCGACGCGCACATGGCACGGCAGGCGGTGCAGAAGGCGGACCCAGTAGCGGCCATCAAACAGCTCGGTGTCGGTCCATCCCAGCGTCTTCCAAGCGCTTGGTGGTTTGTTGAAGCGCTTTGTGAAAGGCACGCCTGAAAAGCTGAGGGAGGGGCGGGGCACGCTGGAGACGTGCGGGGCGCGCGAGAGGAACCAGCGGATGGGGTGGTAGTCCGAGCTCAAGAGCGGAGTGAAGTGGACGCCGCAGACCACGTAGGGTTTGGGTGGTGGTGGCGGAGTGGTGAGCGGGGAGGGGAGGGAGGGGAAGAGCATTGAGACGAGATGGGCTAGTTGGGAAGGCTGGCTGAGTTCGCGCTCAGGGGTTACCATGGAGAGGAGTTTGCGGAGCACGAGGGCAGCGATGTGCCTGTAATGGTCGATTCGTCGTTGGCGGCTAGCCGGGGATGATGCGGACTTTCGGGACGCGGTTGGCAGAGAGAAATGCGGTAGCGTGACCACCACGGTGCCGGTGTTTGGGCCGAATTCATGAATCAAGACTTGGCTGAGGAGTCTGTCGGCCTCGGCCTCGGCGGAAGCCACTTTCGCCCGGCAGCGCTCAGAAAGACGGAGGATGGAGGGTTTCTGCAGCGCAACAGGTAGCGTGTGGTTCTTGTGCATATATCGAACCGCATTCCTCATGGTCAGCGTCTGGTCGGCATTGGTGTGGTCCTCAAACCAGGGGATGCCGTTCTCGAGGCAAGTTGCGATGAGCCGGTCTTTGGGGAAGCGAAGGAGCGGGCGGTAGACCATGACGCCGCCGTCCTCTAATTCCAGTGGAGCCAAACGAGGCGCACGCTTGCTCCCCTTGACGATACCGTCGTAGTCATCTAGATAGGTGGCGGTGATGAGGTCTGGCCTCAAGCCTGCTTCGACTTCTCGAGCGAGGATGGCCGGATCAACTTCATTCCTGAGACCCCTTTTCAACCAGCCCCGGTCTTTGTGGGTTGGGGTTAGGTTGTAAAGAGGATTGCCGCGCCTCTGGTCGTCGACGAAGCCGCTCTGGTAGACACCGTGCAGGTCGTAGCACTCCGGGATGTCGGTTGCAGGCCGCATGCCCTGCAAGCCGCGGTAGCCATGGCCTGAGAGCAGCCTCATCATGACTGTCTCGTACTGGTCGTCCTCGTGGTGGGCGGTAAGTAGGGCGGCGACCAGGTGGCCCCTGCAGAAGGCGCCCAGTCTGCGATACCTGAGGTAACGCGCGACGGTCTCGACATTGGGCAAATTGTTAGGATTGGCGTCTTTTGCGATGACATCGTTCCAACGGGCCTTCAGAACATAGGGCCTGACGCGGAGCTGCTGAAGCGCAACGGCGACATTGTTCGCCTCCTCAGCGCTGCCTTCGCGCAGGCCATGGTCGACGATGAGGCCGAATGGATTGCTCACCGGGTGGTCGGCTACCTTGAACCACTCGTCCGTTTGTCGAATCTTGGTACAGAGATAGGCTAAGGCCATCGAGTCGACACCGCCACTGACGGCGAGGGCTATGCCGTGTTAGAACACGCAGCCGGAGTGATGAAGCGGGCATGGCATTTGATTGTATGTTACCAATTGGTCGGTGAGTGCGCCCCCGCGATTGAGGGAAACGGGGGACACATGTCGCCTGAAGGGCTTCGAGGAACTCATTTGGGGTGATTGCTCGCGCGCTGCGGTGCAGGACGGGCGGTATCGTGGTCATTCCATCACAGAGCAGTTATGCTTCGATAGGTACCTTACTGAACTTCGAAGGATGAATCGTGGCGGGGACAAGAGACAACGGAGGGCTTCGGTTTTCTGTCGGATTGGATGCAGGGACTCGGTCTTTGGTCCGAGCGCTTGCAAGTAGATCGACCCCTGCAATCGCCAAGCATGACCTCACAGACTCACAGTGGCCATTGCCTGCCGGAACCCGAGCTCAGATCAAACCAGAAATTTAGTTCGCAACGAACCTCGAGAGTCGAACATACACTGTCGCCGCGAGGGCACATATTGACCTTGCCATGTCGCAGTGACAGCCGCTGTCCACCACCTCACCCAGACACGTCCCGGGCGCCTTCGACCCAACCATCGTCCCACACAAACAAACCTTCCCCACCCTCACTCATCTCGACGCTCCTCCGACCACCTCAAATTCTACTAGTACCTCAAGCACCATCACAATGGCCACCGCCCCTCAGCCACTCCCCTTCCAAACCGCCCTTCTAGCAGGCGCGCTAGCCGGCACAACCGTCGATCTCTCCCTCTTCCCACTCGACACGCTCAAGACCCGCCTGCAATCCTCCCAAGGCTTCTTCGCATCCGGCGGCTTCCGGGGTATCTACCGGGGCGTCGGCTCCGCGCTCGTCGGCTCCGCGCCCGGCGCAGCCTTCTTCTTTTGCACCTACGAAGCGACCAAGTCCTTCCTCTCCTCCTCCGCCTTTTTCCAACAACAAATAAGACAACATGGGGGGTCTGGGTCCAGCCGTCAAAGAGAAAAAGGCGCCGCCGCCCTCGAGCACATGCTGGCCGCGTCGGTGGGGGAGATCGCCGCGTGCGCGGTGCGGGTGCCGACCGAGGTGGTCAAGCAGCGGGCGCAGGCGGGACAGCACGGCGGGTCGTCGCTCCTGTCGCTCCTGCACATCCTGCGGCACCGTCACACAGTGGGTGTGAAGGGCGTGTGGCGGGAGCTGTACCGAGGGTGGGGGATCACCGTGATGCGGGAGGTGCCCTTCACGATCCTACAGTTCCCTCTATGGGAGGCGCTCAAGGCGTGGGGCAGAGAGAGGAGGGTGCAGACGGGGAGGGGGTTGTTTGGGGACGTGGGGGATGGGTTCGGGGAGGTGAGCGCGGCCGAGTCGGCGCTGTACGGCAGTATATCCGGGGGGTTGGCCGCGGGCGTGACGACGCCTTTGGATGTGCTCAAGACAAGGATCATGCTCAGCGCGAGGCGCGAGAGCATGGGGAAGATGGTGCGGACGATATTGAAGGAGAACGGGATCCGGCCGTTCTTCGCCGGCATTGGGCCACGCGTCATGTGGATCAGCATTGGTGGGGCCATCTTCTTGGGAAGCTACCAGTGGGCGGTGAACACGCTCGAGAAGCAGCGCCTGGTAATATGAGAACGGGTCTTTCGGTGGTGAACAATGGTCTGATAGAAGACGTCTACCGATACACTACAGGCGGGGCCGCCAGGAACCATGTAAGCTGACATATGTACAGTAGCTAAGAACAAATATACCCGACTGACAAGCGAAAATGGCGCGCCATTGTAACGCCGATGGATCCCGAGAAGCTGACCGCCGCCGGTCCTCCGCGGCTCATATCACTCCACACTATGGAGGCGGTGCGGCCGCTTCCGACTTGTCAGCCTCATCTGCCTCCGCAGGAGGTGGCATCGGGATCTCCTTCCTGCCGTTGGCCTTGTAGTGCAAGACGATGTCGGCCCCGCCCCGCCAGACATGCGTCCGGAGTGTGTTCAGAGTCATCTTGTTCGGCAGAAGCTACACGCAACCATCAATCAGCCAATGGCCAGACAACATCACAAGCACAGTTGGCAAAAGCTCACCTGATCATTGCAATACAGTTCCAGATACTCCTCCGGCTTCAGCGCATCCGGCGCCGGCTCCTCGCCCTCGGGCACCGGGTCAATCCGCTCGGCGACATACGCCAGGATCTTCTTGACCCGCAGCATGCGGTTGGCATTCAGCCGGCTATTGCCGTCGGCCGACGCAACCGGCGGCAGCGTGTCCTTCCAAGGGTACAAGAAAAACGAGATCTTGGCAGGGTCTTTGGGTGGCAGCGCGTTGAACAGCAGCACCTCGCCGAGCCACTGCGGCCCGCGCTCCTCGATGACGTCGGCGTCGGCGCCCACCGACGCCACCGTGCCGCGGTAGATCTCGGCCGAGCCACCAGACGTCTCTTCCTGAATGATGACCTTGGTGCCGGCCGGCAGCTTCAGCACGGGTGTGTCGTTGGCCAGGCTGGGTGTCAGCCTGGTCTCGACCAACTGGTCGGGGTTGTCCGAGTGCTGCTTTTCGTACTCGTTACGGATCTTCTGAACCACGCCGAGAAAGCTGTCGTCGAACTCCTTCTCGTGGTTGGACGACGACTCCGACTCTTCCGCCTTCTCATCCAGGACGGGGGGCTTCTCGGTCGTCGCCGTCGACAGAGACCGGCCTAGCTTCTTCGTGCCAAAGGACATGTTCATGCGGAACTTCTTGCCAAACGTGGTGGCAGGCGCCTTGCCGTTTTCCTTATCCTTGTCCTTGTCCTTGGCATCCTTGCCGGTCTCCCCGGGAGTCTTTGCTGGTGTCTCTGCAGTGGGAGGTGCCTCGGTGACGGGCGTCTGGACCGGCTTTTGAGCGCCGTCAGGGCTCTGTATTGCGTCTGAGAAGTAGTCCTCCCTTTCCTGTGACGGCCGGCTGACCTGCGATGCCCGCCTGTCGAGCGGACTGAGACTGCCCACAACCCCTTCGGGCACTGGTGGCACCGGCGAGCCAGGAGTCGCCAACCCTATCCCCAGCCCTGGCGTCATGGGCGGATATTGCAATCCGCCAGCTCGAGGGGTCGCGGGGGACAGGTCTCCCGAGGCCCAGCCAGGACGCGGAGGGATGGCGATCGCCAGTGGGGGCGCTGCTTGTCCAGCCGCTATCCTCTTCGCTGCGCCTTCGTTCAGTTTCTGTCTGAACGCCTCGTCACGTCGAATCTCCTCGTCGATGAGGTTGGCAAATAAGTATCTCAGTATCCATTTCCCGAGGTTGACTACCCATGTCAGCATATCAGCGTTGAACCCTGAGTACACATCAAGGGTATGGCGTACTTCTCTGGTCCTCCCTGAACTCCACAGGCTCCTCCAAGACAAGCTCATCCGCGTACATCTCGGCATCGAAGCAATTGTACGGCTCCAGCACGACAGTCAGGTTCCCTGAACTGATGTCAATCGAACACCAGGGTGCCACGGCCTCCCGGGTATTGACCTCTGGTTCCACGTCTTCGAGATGTCGCTTCCCAAACCTCTGGATGGGGCGGCACTAGGAAGCGGTCAGCAGGATGATCGAGAGCGCCACGAGCTTCAGATCTCACTTGAATCAGATCCCACATCAGGACATCACCAGCAGTATCCAACGTGAGGACCCTTCTCCGGTCATTCATCAGCTTGTGTTTGACCAGTCCGAAGTGTCCTTCAATCGTCTCTTCAGGCAGGTGATGGACCGGCTCAACAATGCTAACCACAGGCTCAGCGAACTCCGACCCCTTCCGCACCAAGCTCGGAATGGGGTCCTCGCTGTCCCGGCCAATGGCCAGCGGGAAGGATGCGGTATTCGATATCCGAAGGATAGATTTAGCAGGGATCGTCTGCTTCGCACCATCGCCAGCGCCAGCTGCCGGGGCTGCGGCCTCCTTGCTCCGCATCGTCGCGATCGACGCGCGGTGCTGCTTGTAGGTTTCCGGGAGCAGCGTCCCGTTGCTGGTGTCCGCGTCCTTCCAGCGATTGATCGAGGCCCGAGCCGTGGCCGTCCATATGCTGTCGTCCCAAGCCACGATCTTGCTCACCCCGTCATTCTCCTTGGCAATTGCCAACGACAAGCCATTGTCCAGATCACCTTTGGTCTCCCGGACGTCCGTCTTGACCACCAAGCCGGAGCGGTCGCTACTGTAAAAGATATTGAGGCCCGGGTCATCCGAGAACAGGGCCCACACACTATGGTCGTGCATCGTCAGGGTGTGCATGCAGCGGCCGGCGGTCACGCTCCAGACCTTGACCGTCTGGTCGGCACTCGCCGACAGCACCATGTCGCCAGACTCGCTGATCAAGACGGCCCGGATCATGTCGGTGTGGCCGACGAATTTGGTGATGCGCTGGCCCGACTTGAGGTCCCACAGCCGGACAATGCTCTCGGGTCCGCCGTTGGCGAGGATGTCGTGTGTGGCGCCGAGCGCGTACACGCTTCCTTTCTGGGAGACCTCCTCGCCTTGGACGTCGATCTCGAGCGTCTTGCCGGCGCCGGAGAGGTCCCACAGGTAGATCTTGCGGTCGAGGCCGCCGGAAGCTACCCAGTTGGTGGACTGGCTCGGCGTCGCAAGGCATTTCACGTAGTCGGCGTGCTGGCCAATGGTGACTGGTTCCTTGATGTCGCTGGCCAGGGGACGCCAGACCTTGACCTGGAGGTCTGCCGAAGCCGACACGAGGGCTGTGTGCTGCTGGGCGAGAGCAATGTCGTTGATCCAGTGCGTGTGGGCTTGCGTCTGGGCACGGAACCGCGTGATGGACTTTGGTGGCTTACCGTTGGCTTGAGAGGTGTCGACGACGGCCGAGTGACCGCCGGGGGTCATGCGTCGGTTCAAATCCCAGGCGCAGATGACGCCATCTCGGCCGCCAGAGTAGCTGTAGAAGAAACGTCAGGCAAGATGCAATGACGAGAAGCAGGGAGTGGGTGAATGGTTACAGGATCGCATTGTCACGATCAATGGCCAGGCCGTTAACCCCCAAACGATGGCCGCCTGGCGAGGAGTTGGGCAGTTCAAGGACTATACCACAGCAACAATGTCAATAAGGCCTTGCTGAAACTGCGACCTGATGTGCTGTACGACATGCAATATGTGTGGCCGCGGATCTCGGAACCATTCATCCAACAGACGCGGTCGAGCGCGAATTGCCACGTGCGGGGTTTCCTCAGAGGCGAAGCAGAGGGAAGGGCGTGAAAAGTGAATCACGAACCATAGCTTATCCTCTGGCGCGCCTTTTTGGCCATGTTATGGAAGAGCGAAGGTGTGGGGGGTGATCATGAGACGGAGAAAGCAACTTTAGAGAGAGAAGAACGGGGCTGTATGTGTCGGATTCAGGACAGCTGCCCTGATCTTGTGCTCATGAGCTTGGAACTGAACGTTCCGGGCACCCAGAATGCGCCCGTCTTAGCCTTCCACTCTGAGAGCGGGACTGAGGCAAGGAGTGATAAGACAATTTCAGTGCTGGGCAAGCGTTGACCTCTCCACAAAACATACAGACCTGGAAGCTTCATTCAAACCAGTGTCTCCAGCAGGGCGCAAGCCGTTTGGAAGCAGACGCCAAGCATCGGTGGATCCAGTGCAGCCCTGCATTTCTTGGCAGGCATCTCGAGGAAGTGGGGCAATCAGGAGCAATCGCGGGGTCCGGGGTCTCCGCCAGAATCCGGAGCCCCACAAAAGCCGACTTCACAGGAACTGCTTCCAGCCGATCAGTCTCTTATGTGCTGGGCTTTTCTGTTAAATCGCAATAGGGTGTACCATGGCATTATCATCATGCAGAACATACCATATTGTTGGAGATGACGAGGTTATGGATCCTTACAAAGTTCTCGTTTCTATCTTCCTGGGCATATTTTCTCACGTCCTCCCCTGTTTCCCCTTTGTCTTCCCCTTCTCGTCACGTCGCGCATGATGGAGATGCTGAATCGGATGGGAAGCGAAACAAGTGGTCGTAGTACGAATGAGTTTACGTGGTCCCAAGTTCCCCGGATTACCAGATACGTGATACCAATAAAGTAATTCCAGTAAAGGTCCCAACACCCAGAGCCAGGTCCAACTGGTTCGGGAATGACCACCTGGGAGTGCAGTCGGGCTTGAAATCGGGGCCGGCCGGGCCCAGGGACTCTCCCCTCTTTTTTCCTCAGGCTTTCCACAGTACATCCAAGTCAGTCAGCCAGCTCAGAGCTGTAGGTTGGGCCAACGGACCATCATTCAATCCGTTGAATCAGTCGACGGTCATCACTTCCATCGACCAAGCCGTTTCTGCCGACAATTCGGCACTCTACGCATGTATCTCTGAGGCACCCATGGATAATCCTCCCAGCTACCCTGCCAGCCATCTGTCAGCCCTGCAAAGTCCGGCAAACGTATATTTTCCGTGGTGTTAAGGTAAGCTGCCGTATCCTGGGTTGATCTGGTATGGTATGTCGTTGACTAACCACAATTATGCAGAGCAATGGCCCCCACAAGTTCACCATTGCCGAGCGAACCCAGGAACTGACCCTCTGGGGCAAGGGAGCCACCTACTCTGAGATTGAGGAATTGACTGGTATCGAACTGTCAACGTTCAAGGCCCTGGCGAAACGAGCCAAGGAGCGAGGTCACGAGAAAAGGTGGCCCTATCAAGGACCATCATGTGGAAGATGGAAAAGGAACGGGGGATGGCCAGGGCGACGGCTGAGGCTGTGAGGGTGACGGTTGAAGCTGTGGGATCCAAGGACTTCACCATCGAAGAAGGATATTCCAGCCCTTGCCTCCAGGTCAAACAACCAACTCATGACAGGACGGATATGTTAGCACGGAAGCGATGTTTTGGTTGAGGGGATGCTGAGAGTGAGGAAATGGATGTTGGTCGGTAATCAACGCATTGCAAACAATTGATGAGCGGCGCATTATGTGCGATGCTCTCGGCTGAATCGCACAGTGAGGACACCATCAACACCGACAATTACTCAAAAAGCGCCATTTGACACTCGTTTTGGAAAGCGCAATTCCTGGTAAGTCCCTTCGAGCAACTCCAGTTTCCATCCATACAACTATGTTCAAACGGGCATCCACGGGTATCTTTAAACCGACAACTGAATCAACATTACAACATTGTCCTACTCTTATCCTTTAAGAAGGTCGCCTCTACTTTGCGACCCCTTCTTTCCCCGAATCTCCGCCCTCAGGTTCATTTCTATAACAAGAAGACGACCGATCACCCGCACCGATATTTCTCAACATCAAAGCCCCGATCAATAAAAATGGTGTTCCGCACCCTGGTAGCAGCGGCCACCGCCGCAGCAGCCTGCTCAGCCGACATTAACACGTGGTCCAGCACCGGAAACATCCTCGCCTCAGCTTGCGGTCTCATCAGCCAGTCTTGCTGCTCATTATTATCTTGCGCTGCTTGGAGCTGGGACTGGTGCTGGGATTGGTTTTGGTAAATACTGAGACCCACAACATCTGTTTACAGAAACGCAAAGCAGTTAGACCACTGTGCGGAAAGCAAAAACGGACGAGCGAGCGAGCGAGACAGGGCATGGAGAAAAAGTGCTTGGTTTCTTACCCATTGACGCTTCGGCCTCGTATGGGCTCATCATCGGGTAGTACGTGAACTGTCCTGCTATGGTGGATGCGGTCGAATCCGGGGCGGATGGCGCAAGTAGAAGAGGAAGAGGGCGGGGGTCAGGTACGACAGCCGGAGCGGGACGCGATCGGGAACCCACGGGCGGGCCGGTATAACCTAGCACTGTCTCTGTGCTGGTGGGGTTGACTGACTGTTGGGCGCTGGCGCGATTGGGCGTTTCCCAGTTGTGACCTTGGTTTAACCGTTGGTGCTTTGACTTCCTTTTTGGTGCTTTCTCTTTGGTGGGAGGAGTGGTGAGACTTACGAAAGGCTGGCGACGCAGGGTACCCGTATGGACTGTCCGGGTCAAGGTCCTGGGGTTGGCCTGGGAAAGTAATGTGTGAGTGTGTTTCCTTATGAGGATATGGAAGTTGAAGTACGACTTACGCAGCCTGGGGAATCCCTCGGCAGGCGAGAAAGAACTGCTGGCGTTCGAAGGAGTGGCCGAGGACGAGGAGACGAAGCGATTCTGCTGCAACGACGCCCTGGGCAGCGAGGGAGGGGGGGGCAGGGGTTCGATCTTTGGAGACAATGAGGACTTGGCCGGGACGGGAGTTGACGGCGTCCGGGCTGGACGCTGCCTCACCCTCGCCGACCGTGCAAGCTCATCGGAGACCTTTTTTTGCCAGTCTTCCTGCTGCCATTCTCCTTGCCTCAACAGAGGAGCCCCAGGCGGCATTGGTGTTGGTGCTGGCGTCGTTGCTGGAGCTGGAGTTGACGTTGCGGTGAGCGCCGTAAAAGGAAGGACTGGGACCTCGGAGTGATCCCAATTGCCTTCTTCAATCGAGCCCAGGCTGCCCAGCTTGCGAGAGCTGCCCGGGGCGCTGACGCAACGAGAACGAGACGGGCGAGTTCTTGGCAGAGCCAACGAGTCGCCAGCCTGTACGTCCGGCAGCTGGGGCCGCCGCCGGTGCTCTGCCGGGATAGGCGGGGGAGGCGGAGGGCGAGTCGGGACGGGTGGGGAAGGCGGATGACGAGCCGGCGGCGGCAGCACACTGCTGGCGCCGTCCCGAGACGCCGTTGGGTCACCCCGGAGTCTCGACAAGGGGAAGTCGGCACCCCCTGGTGTGTCCGGTGTCAGTCAGCCTCTCAAGACCTGAAGCACCCATGGACCCTAACTCACGGCCAACGTCACCCAGGGTTTGCTCAATTTCGTCGATTGCCTGGGCCGTCAGGATCGGCGAGTCACGGTCTGCTTCATGTTAGTAGGCGAGGGGGTAGCAAAAATCTGCGAGAAACACTGCAAAACGTACCCTTGGCCGGAGCTGCCATGCTGTCTGTCGGACTTCTTTCTGTTTGAGCTGAAGAATTGACAAGAAACAAGTTGGAAAGAGGGATTTGTGTCTGTTTAAGTGGGCGTTTGGGCATCGCAGGACAAAACAGGAACAAGCTCAGGATAGGTTGAGTGTCGGGAAGTGGGTGATGTGGTCGGGGCGAGAGGGAGTCAGGAACTGCGGTCAATGGCGGTTACTGGGGGAAACAGAAGTTCTGGATTGTCTTGGATGGCGAAGATGCGTCTCCCCAAGGTTTCGCGTCTTTCGCATTCATGTTTGGTTGCCATGGGCCTTCGCGATATTGCTCCATCGACGCGTCGACCTCGGACGGAAGAAACAAAAGATTACATTGGCTTAGATCATTACAGCAGGGTCAAGGCACGGTTGCTTTGCCAATGGTTAGTTATAGAAGGACCAATCTTCAGATGTGCCACTATATAATGCTGCCATGAGCGCCTATTCAGGTTGTCTGGACAGGCATCATTACAACTAGCTCAACTATCATAACAACTAGCTCAGCTAGTCGGCATGGGTAGCACGGCACCGTGAGGTTCTGTAAGGTGATACCAGGAATGGAAGCAGAGCAGAAGTACCTTACCTTATTTCATGTCATTCTCATGTAGATTCTCGAGTTTTCTCAGTTTCGCTTGGGACAACACGCCTTCTTTGAGACAGATGTGCAGAAGAACCCTTAGCATCCACACGGATTATCAGTAAACTGAGCCGTTGTGACTTTTAGCATGCTTTTATATATTTCCTCTATCGATACCTGCCAAATGACAGACTTGCTAATGAGAGCTTCGCTTGTCAGGCACTTGAATATAAGGTACTCGGGTTGTTGAGTTAAGAAACAATCAGGATAAGCCTTTGCCCAAGCCTTCCCGTTGCTTTCAAAACTCATTCCTTGCCTCTTGACTCTTGTATTTATTCATGCCCACTTTCAGCCAGATTTGCAGTATTGTGAAAAGTAGGTTACTTAGCCAATGATACTTACATGTTAGAAAATGTGTGTTGACACCTGCCATAGAGCACATTCAATAGTTAGGTAGGCATGAAACAACAGGGGTATATACCATTCACTGAGAATCACCAGTCGTGAACTGCCATGCGGGTTGCCACTTACCCTCTTGTACAAGTACAACCATCACCACCAATTTCACCATGGCAAACCATTTCGCCCTGGTAGCTTCACGACTGAAATTCACGTACAACTTTCTTCTCAATCTCTCCTCCGTCCAACACCCTCTGTCTCGAATTTGAGGGCAATCCCACCTCTCACAAACCTTCTCCCTGAGAAATATACAGACTGACTACACAAACCACCTCGAAACACCACAAGGACGTTGCTCAAAATCTATGGCAATTTTTCATTAGCAGTACGTTCTCCATGAGTTCCAAATTGACAAATCTGGCATACTCTCGCCGCCCAACCACCACCACTTGCTACTCCTCGCCCTTGCTCCCGCAACGCGTCGATGTCATGGGTCTCAAGGATAGAATCGAAGGCCGTGAGTTGAGGGCCAAGGGACTGGTCACAGTTGTCGGCATGCTGCGGCCTGATCAGAGAGGTGCGCGCCGAGGACGGCGATGCGTCAGATGGTGAAGGAGGAGGTTCATGCGCCCGACAAGCGTCGTGATGTCTGAAGATGGCATGACCAAGCTGCAGGCAGATTTCGAGAATACCACCCAATGAAGAGATTCCTTCCGTTTACCGTGGCGTTCTCCAGGGCCTTATCGTATGGCCTAGCAACAAAAGCATCTAACTCGTATGAGCAACACTATCACTCCTCAGCAGCCCAGCAAAGCCACCACCTCTGAGAGGCAGAGCACAACCAAAACAACGGTCAACCCTGAACCTCAACGACACATCTTGCGCATCACAAGTATCCAGTCGGGGTCTTTTTTGGCTTATAAATTTCCTCAACTTTCCTCACTTGCTCACCCCGAGATGTACAGCGGATTTCGCATTGTGTGTCAAAACTCGAATGCCCCTGGAAGAAGACAACACTACAAGATTGATCAGGGTGGAGAGGAGGCGAGTGAAGAGAGTGGAGAAAAGGAGACCCTGTTTTCGTCAGTTTTTGTTTACCTTAGTTCCCCGTTGGGGATGGCTAGAACCGCTGCTATGCTTCCGGGGAAATGATATGCGTCGTGTTACTGACTACTGCCCATGTCAAGACTGTGCGTGAGGGACTGACAAGGAGCCCAGAGTTCCACCGTAAAGCACCGCGCTGCCTCATAACGAGCCGCACCCTTCTGCTCATGTACCGCTCATCTCCAATTTGCGGAGTCTTACTTGATGTTTATGCCATGTTCCCCTGGCCTAGACGCCATCAGACCCTGGGGAGCCCCATCGAGACTGACGTGTATCCCTCTTTACCTACCCAATCCAACCACCAGTGGCTGCAGGGCACACCAGAAAGCGCACACAGTAGTAACGATGTAAGACATTGCCGATCTTATCTCGCCTCCTCATCTCCCCGAGGAAAGCCCTTCGAATATAAAAAACTAGTAAAAAAGATCGCAAATGGCTGAGACATTCTTCGACATGACATCCATGTCGTATATCCATGTCTCCATCATATATCGCATCAAACCACCCGTCATATCCAAATCAACGATTTACCCACGAAGACCACCCGCTGCGTTCCCTGTCCCTGTCCCGGTCCCAGTCCCCAAACCACCCCATTCCTACCCATCCTCATCCGTTTGTACGCATTACTCCACCCCATCCGCCCCTCACTCCTTCTTGCCAACCGAAACAGACACATCCCCACTCGTGCTCTTAGCGGTGGTCTTCCCGCCATTCCCCTGCTCCCCCTTCCTAGCAAGCAACTGCTTATTCACCCCAGGCCAGTCACTCCCGGCCTTGATCAACTTGACCCCCTCCCCATCCACCTGCAACAGCCCCGTGAGCGACGACAAGCCGATATCCCCCTCCCAGCTACCGGGTAACACCACCTTGATATTCGCCGACGTGCTCGTGTGCGCGGTATGCAGGCACCGCAGCGGTGTTCGCCGCTCGTCACCGACCTCCCTGAAGGAAGGAGAGACAGCAAAAGAAGAAGTAGAAGAAGGCAAAGTAGTCTTCAGCGCAACATACCCCCCTCTGGCGCCGCCTTCCTCCCCTGAGTTCCCTCCTCCCAGAATGGCCGCCGCATCCACCCACATCGGCTCCAGCACGCTCACATCCGTCGCGCCGCTGGTGCTCGCCGTCGACAGCGCCACCTCCCTGGCGTCCCCTGAACCCGCGAGCGACGAGTCCAGCACAGGAAGCAGATCCACACTGATCGTCCCCGAGGTCGACTTGAACCCGGCCGAGGAACTCCACGCCGCGGCGCCTATAATGTCTCCACTGGTGGTATGCACGTCGACCCGATAATCGCGCGGCGGGAGGACCGACGCGGCTCGGAGTTCCGCCTGGCGGCGGTCGTTGGGCCTGGGCAGGGCCTGGGCGATGCGAAAGGTGGCTTCGGCCGTGTGGATCGGTTCGCGGAAGGTGACGTGGCCCGAGAGGGATTTGAGGTAGAGGATTGCGGGCTTGGGGGTATCCGGATCGGCGGGCTTGGGGTCAATGCCGACTTTGATGTTGCCCGCTGTGGACTGCAGGCCGAGGTAGTCGTACAGCGGCCAAGTGCCGATGATAGGTGCTGCGGTGGTCTTGACGTCGATGATGCGCGAGTTAAAGGTGAAAGAGGCCGGTGCGCCGATGTCGATGAGCTGATTGTCACGGACGCTGGTGCCGGTGGACGCGGCCGTGATGGCGCCGACGGTGCTGCCCAGCTTGGTACCCTCAACAACGGAGAGTGACAGGTTGTCGAGAAGCTTAATGTCGAGGTGTACGGCGTCGACGTTGAGGAGTTTGAGCGCGGCATTCTCGGGGACCCATACGGTGGCTTTGACGTTGACGCATGCCTTTGGCCTGTCTGGACTCCATTCGACGCGGTGAGGTACGATGATCTTTAGAGAACCGGAATCCGCGTCCCATGAGCTGTACACCGGGAGGCGCTCGTCAGTGACGGTGACTTCCAGTGTCACTGCAGAATTAGGCGTGCCAGTCCCGGCCCTGCGCAGAACAACTGTGCCTTGAGTATGAACCTCACCCCAGCCGCGGCGGCCTTCATCGTCAGACGTCTTCTCCACAACCTTGAGCTGCTTGTCGGCGCCAAAGTCCACATGGTAGGTCTGGATATGGCGGGGAATCTGGGCATCCTTGCAGAACATGCCCGTGTCCCAGCTGAAGTCGCCATCTACATCGGGATAGCTCATTTTGGGTTGATCCGGATTCGTTTGAGGTTCGTCTGTGGCAGGACTGTGACGTCCAGTCTGATTTTCAGTGTTAGTCCAGGTTGCCTTAAGCGTCAGGCTGGAGACCTGAGGAGGCAGGGGTTCATAAATGGCTTGCAAAGGACTTGAAGAGGAATGTAGATATGTGAGAGAGGGTTGATGAAGTCTTGAGGCCCACCAATGACATATCATAAAGAGACGCGTAAAACTAACCTTGGCCCTCGTGGCACTGACGAGGCCAGTGACAAATCCCGCCGTCACCAGAAGCAGTAGCAAAGCGCTGAGCATCATCTTGTACTTAGCCCCACCAAGACGACGCCGGGCTTTCCTGATGCGGCCTCTCCATGAGGGTGTCTCCTCGTCAAGACCATCCGAGTTGTGATCCCGCATGCTCTCGGGCTGGTGGGACAGGAGGCCCTGTGTCTCTTCCGGCCTCCCCATGTTGACGACTGTGTGCGTGGCCTGGGAGAATGTCCTGTAGTTACTCGAAGCGCTGTCAAAGCCGTGCGAGTTGATGGGAGAAATAGGGGAAGGCGTGTAAGCGGGCGGGGCCTCTCGTGGTACGAAAGGGAAGCGCTCGCCATGGTAGGCAGACCTTTGCGAGTACGCTGTATATGACGTTGGCGTGGCAGCAGAGGGCCTGCGGCTGGATGATGACGGGGCGTAATACGTGGCTGCTACAGACGCTGAGCTCGGCGTGGCGCTTTGCGAGCTCGGTGGCACCTGGTATGCCGACGTGGGACCGTTTCGTGACGCTCCAGCGGCAAGAGACGGAACGGTTGGTGTGTCGCCATCGTTCGAGTCCGGTAGGCCTTGGTCATTGCGTCGTCTTTCCTGCTCTGCCTCCCTCGCCTTGCCCTCGGCCGCGCTCCGTTCCAGAGACGGATCCTCGACCAGGACGTTGGGTACATGGGGAACATTGGATGACGCGGGCACCACAGTTCCGGATGAAGTGCCGGCCGCCGCGCCAAAGTATCCATCCGTAGGCGAGAAGAGCTGTGGATCCTCGGCGTCGACATCGTCCCCTGCGTCGTAGACTGCATGCGTCGCCGCCGTGGAGACGGTATTGGAGTCGAACGCTGGGTGCTGAGAAGTCACACCGTGCTCATAGCTCCCATGCTGATTAGAGGTCCCTTCATTTGGCTCGATATCCGACTCATCGTCCAACATCGAGTACAGGTTGTCTGAGTAAGGCATGGCTTTCGAGTGTCCTAACCCTGTGCTCACGGAGAGGGCCCGTCTGGGAGCCAAGCCCGCGGTAAAACAATGCTAATAAACCTTCTTTCGACGTCACACTTCACTGACAGCGCTACTTGGAGCAACTGGGCACAAAACAACAGCAATCAGAATCTAGAAGAGCGGTGCCTGGGTGGTTGTTGCCGACTGAGGATGCAGTAACAACACTGGTTGTCCAGTCCTGAGGGTAGATGGAAAGAATTGGGAACATTGAACAGCAAAGATGCACAATTGTACAGACAGATCCTGTCGATCGAAGACAGTAGGAGTCAATCCATCGATTCCAGTTGAGGACGCATGGGCGGGGTAGGGTTGGGGTCGTTGTGCAAACTGGTCCCGCCCCGGTATGGCGGTCTGCACGCCGTGTATCCTTTCCATGGCCTCGTCAGCCTGGGTCGCACCCATGCCATGCTCAAAGTCCCAGAATCACAACAAGCGGGAAAGGCCTTCACACCACTGCCAGTGCTGCGGGGGCATGGGAGGCCGAGATATCGAGTGATTGCCGAAAGAGGAAGCTGCGAAACACCTCTGTGAAACGATAGGGCAACCGCCGAATGCGGGGCACAAACTACATCCAGCCTGGGTAGCCCATAAGTGGAAGATGACGTAGCATATCACGCCTGGCCCAGATTAAGCTCCTGCCGGAGAGAAGGTTGGTAACCCCAAAGGTGCCAGTCACGGCTCCCAATCCTTTGATTCTCCTCGATCATCTGTCAGCTTACGAATGGTTCATACAACCTGCAGGACGAGACAACCCCGAAAACGCAAGCAATGACGAGGCAACTCACCCCCATGATTTGGTCAGTTGACGTTTTGGAAAGGACGAAATTTCATATTGGAACTAAGTTAGTCACTGCGATATCTTCATCGTCTATCACCTCCTGCTCCCGTCTGCAATCCAAGGCCCTCCGCGTCGCAGGCTCTTGTTCAGCTCCTCTAAGTGGTATCTTCCAGCCACCCAAAAACGCCGCGGCCATGGATAAGTGTGGCCCTCAAAGAAAATGTGGAAATGCAGTAGACTAGATACCCTGACGCCGACGGAAATGCTTGCTTCACTCCTCCTGCTCGTCCAAGCCAGCCAGCCACAGTGTTGCGAGAAGCTTTCTGCTGGGGGCGTCGATAACAGCAACCCTCCCTTTGTATGAGGTGGCCAAAGGGTTTTTGTGAATTTGTTTGCCCCTCAGTTGAGTTGCAAGAGGCTCTTCATGTTCTCGTAGCACACCCAGGTGATGCTCAGCGCAGGGGCGACCTTGAGAAGATTGGGCGTTAATCCCTTGTACAGACCGTGCATCCCTTCGTTGCGGACTGTCTTGGTAGCCACATCGACGATACCCGTGTACGTGGGTGGGTGCATGGCGGTGCCCTGGGTCTGCAGACGCGTTCGCAGGACGTTGAGCGGATAGACGATGGTCGCGCCGAGGGCACCCGAGGTTGCTCCCAGAACCGCGGTAGTCACATTGCTTATGTGCATGTCGTCTTCATGGATGCCGTAGTACCGAGCCATCGTCCGAGTGTATGACTTTTTGAGCATCTCAAACGTGCCAATGTCTATGGCACTGTAGGGAAACATGCCGATGAGGCCGAGGCCAAGACCGCGGTAGGCTGCGCGAAGACCGCCATCTGCCCACATGGTCTTCGCCGTGCGCAGGAGCAGAGCATTGCCCTGGGGTCCGCCCTGGACCGTCTCGCACTGCAGCCGGAACTTGAGCGTGTCAATAGGATACACGCAAAACTGGGCTGTCATGCCACCGATGCCGCCAGCAACAAACTTGGAGACGGTGCTGATCTGGGTCGGGTCGTCGTGGCCTTCATAAGCCGCGAGAAATCGCTTGGATGCTTCGTACGAGCCGAACTAATTGGGCGTTAGCAGAGCGAGTCCTGTAGAATCGGGGAGGTGTCAATTACCCGAATGGCAGACTCCGGCATGATCTTGACGACGTTGAGACCGTTCCCTGCCAGCAGTTAGCCCCGCTGAGTCGAGAATAGCACTCCTCAACTAGCGTACCTGCGAAGAAAGTGCGCACTCCACCAGTCTTCCACAGAGTCATGATGGCGTCAACAATGGGTCTACCGGCGTTGCGTAATGCCGCCAGCGGGCGGCCATTTTTCGCAGCAGCAATGGCCGCAGTGGTTTGGGGCTTGGTGTTGACAAGGAGATAGACTTTGAGTCGGTCGAGAGGCGCGGTAGCTGTCCGTGAGACACCACCTGAGACGGCACCGGCGAGGAAGTATCCTGGGTCAGGCAGCAGATCTGTCAGTTTGTTTATAATATCCCCTGCATCCTCCTCGATAATGTCAGAAACTTGCGAGGCGCCAGACTGCTGGGCGCCCTCGTATTGCAGGGTAGGTCGCTTGACTGCTACGTCGGTCAAGACTTGCGAGGTGATGGCGACGGCCGGGCCATAGCGGACAGTGGCTGAAGATGCCGCCATCTCTGTCGGTATGCTCGATGTTTGATCCGTGTAAGGAAACGAGCCAGGTGCACTTGAAGTCGAGCTGCGATCCACGTCCGCGGGGCGACGCGAGGTGATAACCAAGTTCGGGTTGGCGATTCTGAGGAGCGAACCAAAGAGAGCTTGAAGAAGGAACCCGGCCGTACCTAGACCTTCTAGTGTCTCATCACTGACCAGCGAATCACCCTCTGAGCTGACCGTGACAATAGATGAGTAGAAGGATAGCGCAGCCTCCAAAGGCGATCCGTTGTGGTTATTCGGCATGAACAGCAAGAAATCGCTTGAACTCGGGTGTCAGCATCCGGCTCAAGAACTTTCACCGGGGTTTCGAAGTCCTTGACAATAACAGCCCACAAGCACGGACATAATACGGCTTCTCAAACATAGATAGGCTTGAACAAGCAGTATGGAAACACACATAATCCACTTCAGGGGACCCCCATTGGGCCTCTTCAGCGAGGCACAGAGCAACAAGAAAGAGGCAACAAGACACAGACCAGTTGAGACTTACCGCCATTCGTCAAATGTGATGAAGCCATCATGGTCCATGTCGATTTCATCGAAGAAACCAGACAACCGCTTCTTGGGCACCGACAGGCCGGCATGCTGGAAAGCTGTCTGGAGCTCCTGCTGGTTCACCCTGCCATCCTTGTCGCGGTCAATGGATCGAAACAGCAGCAGTAGCTGACGCTCTGCGGCTTCGACGAAGACACGGAATTCTGTGCGCAGGTTGTTTCAGCTTGCGGACTCGCCTCCTCTCGGCCTCGCCTGACTCTTGTACTTCCCGAAACGCACCTTCATACTGGATCTTGCCGTCACCGCTGGTGTCGACAAGGCCAATGATAGCCCTGAGCATTTCATCGGCGTTTTTCAGGGCTGTATCGGTAGGATGAGCTAGTATCCCTTCACCCAGCGAAGGGATAGCATCTTACGGTGGTCGATCCGCCTCAATCCCCTCTTCAGCCCCTTGAAATCCAGCTCCCCATGTCCTGCAGGGTCGAGCCTCCTCCACAGCTCCTCGACGCGCTTGTCGCGCTGGTTCTGCGGCTCCTCCATCTTGGCCGCTAGTTCGGACACGGCATCAGATACCCTCATCCCCAACACCGGCCATTGATGGTGGTCGTCGTCACGAGAGGGACAAGCGGCGACAGCATGCGAAGTGGGACTCGGCGTCGTGTCGTCTGCTCGGGACGTCCCGTACAGTTCAGCAGTCGGCCGCGCTTATGACGTATGAGGGATATATCGCGGGCGACCAATGTAAGGGAGCGAAGCTAGAGGCTCAGAAAGGGAAAGGACGCTTAGTTTCGATCGATATTACGGACACGGCATCCCGGGGCAGAGAAAGAGAGTTTCGGCTTTGCGCGGTTTCTCAATGTCGCATTGCTCCAGGAGGATATGGGGGAGGATGCACCCCTCAAAGGATGGTGACCAATTGGGCGGGATGGCGTCGATCGCTGGTTGCTTGCTTGCCGAGCTTGCTTCAGCTTCCCTTGGTGCCGGGAATTCTTGGGACGTCAGGTCCTGCAGGGTTGCAGGCAGAGAAAGAAGCGGAAAAAACAGGGCTGTATCTTTCAAGCTCGCCAAGCAATTAAAAGGTGCATAACTACCTTAAGAGTAGCCAGCCATTTTTACCAATGTCTTCCTGTCTCAAAATGATGTTAATTCCGGTTGAACGAGAGGTAAGACAATACCATGTAGCTGCTTCCGCTTGGAGGTTCATCTCAAGATTTGACATGATTGGGGATCGCTTCATCAAAGCAGTCCGGTTGCACTGTTGGTGTAAACGCACCTTGTCTGTCACAATACTCCGTATAGAGCGTACTAGGACGTAAATTGATTTGAAAAGCACAGCCTTGCGGAGTTTCCCGTCACAAGGAACTATCCGTAGTCTGATAAGATAAGCTCGAGGCCATGACTATCCACGCCAGAAGGGAGGAGAGCGAACCATCCAAGCGACCACTTCACGTTCAGAGAACCCCCCCTCCCACCGGGCCTCGACCGTGGAGGGCCTAGATGGCGGCCAACTATTGGGAATCGACACAGCGCAAGCACTGGCAGTTCACCAAAGACGACCTGGCCGTCATCCGCCAACGGCTCGACGACGAGGACCCGACTCTGGTGCAAATGTTTCCCCTGCCTCCACTTCGCCATCTCAATATCTACTTCAACCAGCGTGCGCAGCCATGTCCTCTTTTGTTTTCCATGATCGACCCTTCGAATGCATACCGCTGACCATCCTCTCCTGACAGAAATCAACCGGCTCGGCAAGCGCCTCGGAGTCCGACAACAAGCCATGGCCACAGCCCAAGTCTACCTCAAGCGCTTCTACACGCGCACCCCAATCCGGCAGACCAACCCGTACCTGCTTGTCACGACGGCCCTCTACCTCGCCTGCAAAATGGAAGAGTGTCCGCAACACATCCGCCTCCTCACGCAAGAAGCCCGCTCACTGTGGCCGTCGGACCTGCACGGCCACGACGCGTCGCGCGTCGGCGAGTGCGAGTTCTCCCTCATATCGGAAATGCACGCGCAGCTTATCGTTCATCAGCCCTACCGCACGCTGCTCAGCCTACAGGGCGAGTTCGCTCTCACCCACGACGAGACGTCGCTTGCTTGGACGGTGATAAACGACCACTACATGACGGACCTGCCGCTGCTGCACCCGCCGCATGTGATCGCGCTCACGGCGGTGCTGTTGGCATTGGTGCTACGGCCGAGCGGGAATGCGCCCGGAGCGGGAGGCGGTGGTGCTGGTGCAGGTGGGGGGAGTGCGGCCGCTGCGGCGGCGGCGGGCGCTGGAGGCGTCGCCATGGCTGCTACTGCGTTGGCGCAGGCACAGGCGAGGGCGGCTGCAATGGCTGGTGGCGGAGGGGCCGGCTTCGGGTCGCAGGGTTCACAGCAGCAGCAACAGATGGGGTTCTCGCAGGGTAACTCGCAGGGAGAAGCCCCGGCGCCGGAGCCCAAGAAGGTGACGGACCCGAGGCTGGCCAAGGTCCAGCGGTTCGCGGCCTGGCTGGCCGACAGCAATATCGATGTGGAGGCCATGGTCGACTGCACCCAGGAGCTGATCTCGTTTTACGAGTGCCATGAGCAGTACAACGACAAGCATACTCGCGAGCAGATCAGTCGGTTCATCAAAGCGAGGAATCTCGACAAGTGAGCAGTGCCGCTTGTACACGTGTCTCGGACCTAGCCCCTATCTTTCTAGACTGGGACGAGACTGGCAATCCTGGATTCTGCGCGCGCCAAGCAGCGGTGGCGGGCGCCACCGGCTTCTCCCAGTTCTGAAGGCCTCCGGAGCAGACCAGGACCGCGTGCGAGCGCTCTGGAATGAACGAAGTGCCTCGGACTCTGGGTCCTCAAAAGATGTTCTGAATCCCAGCCCTCCCAATCGACCCACGCTACTCAGCCAATAGCGCTGCAGCCCGTCCTGCGTCCGATTATCCCATGCTGCCAAACGTCGAGCCCTATGGGCTCTGATGCTCCCTGGAGCGATGGTGACAGGCATGGTGAAGCATGATGGTTGCGCAGTGCAGAAGTGCGTGGACACTGAGAAGGAGATAGGCGAATACGAAAAGAGAAGTGGGCACAGAAGAAGGGTCATTCCAGCTGGCTGAGTTCAGCGCGGCCCTGGATACTATCGCCCGACCAGCAGCCGGGTATCAACCTCATCCCTAAAAAGCGTTGCTCAGGGACTGAGCGCGGCTGCTGGAGCATAGCGTCAAAATTCCCCAGGCAACCCGTGTGACCGACCCAACACGCGGCGCGAACGAGGGGAGTCGATGCCGCGACAGAAACAAACATGAATAGAATGGGATTGATGAGTCTGAGAGGCTCGGGATCACTGGCATTTGAGCATCCTTTTACGCTGTCGGTGAGGGCGTCTTACACGATGGCAGATTGCTATGGCACTCTACTAACCTGGTCCTTCCTCAGTGTACCTGGCAGATGCTTCTTCTGTATTGGACCAAGGGGTTGAAACCGCCAATCCGGCTGGCTGCCAGTGGGGCGGTATGATCATACGCTGTGCCCTCAATCCACAGCCTGGATCATAATCCCTTGAGGGCTGCCGATAGCCGAGTCAGATAATAACGCGCCAGAAAGAAAGAATGCCATTTTCGCTGTGTCGATCATACTCATAAGAAAATATTGCTACTCCTCTATCTATCGCTGGGTAGTGATGCTACCCTCCATCGCCGGAAAACCAAGCAACATCTTCCAACTCAGTGTTTCCAGACAGCTCAACAACCATTACCGATGTACCATCACCCCGATCACCTCCTGCTCCTTCCGTCAGGCGATTCAGGTTTCCCTCCGCTCTCTTCCTCCCTCCCTATTCAACACTGTCTTCATCCTCTCTCTCTCCACCGCTATCGCTCTCCCCATTCCCTTCCTCGCCTCCCTCATCCTCACCAACCGAGAACTCCACTTCAACTTTTTCATCACCCTCTTCATCGCTGACGCTCTCCCGGTTCCCTTCCTCGCCTCTCTCATCCACACCAACCTCTTCCTCGCTGCCCTCATCTTCACCAGCCTCTTCCTCGCTCCCCTCATCCTCACCACCCTTGCCCCGCCGATATAGGCTATAGCCATTACTGAATTGTGGTGTTGGTGGAGGGGAGGATCGTAGTTGTAGAACAGTCGAGACACTTGGGGGAGAGGAAGGGCGGAGGGGAGGGGAGCGTCCCTGTGTTGCTCGCTGATCTCCCAATCCCTCAACCGGCGCACCAACCTCCAACGACGGCTCATCCGAATACACATCCTCCCCCTCACAGCCCGCCCCGCGCCGCACCTTCAACCTCCTGTTCACCGGCTTGGGCACCTTGGCCAACGTGTTCTTCAACCGCCGACTCGCAAGCCACATGCCCGGGCATGTTTTCCCGCATATCGTCCCTTCGCATGTTTCCCCGCATGCCGTCGGCGCCACCATCCTCAAGCCCAGGAATGGAACTCTCCGCGCCTCAGGCGTGGGGCCCACGTCGGGGGCCCCGTCTGAGATGGCGAGCGCTGCTGCCGTGGCGACCAGGTTTTGTGAGTCTCTCGCGGTGCGGACGAGTTCTTCGGCGGCGCGTTGGTTTGGGTCGGTCGGGGGTGGGCTTCCTTCTTTTTCTATCCGCCTGCGCTGCTGATTGAGGAACTGCTGTAGGAAGAGGCGCTCTTGTTCTTGGCGGCGCCAATGCTCTTGCGCCCTTGCGAGCTGTAAAGGTTGGTGGGAGTGCTCTGGATGGAGCTGTTGGTCGCTGCGGCGCCCTGCGTCTTCGTGGGTTTCACGTTGCTGTTCTTGACTGGTCGGGGCCCGAGTTCCTTCTTCCCGCTGTGTGCGTTGTTGCAGCAGTTGCTCTTCGAGGAATCGCAGCGCGGAGAGCCGTTCTTTTTCATAGTCGCGCCATCGCTGTTCCCACACGGCGACCAGGTTTTGCTTCTGGAACGTGTCGGGGGGCATTAGTTCTCGCCGCTGTGCAAAAAAGAATAGCTCTACGTGGCGCCGCTCTTCTTCTTGGCGGAGCCATTGCGCTTTCGCCGCTGCGAGCTGTTGTGCTTGCTGGTGCTGCAATGCTGCGGCGATGTGCGGGTTAAGGAAGTTCGGGGAGGCGGGCGATGGGTCTCGGGGTTGTTGCTGCTGTGAGGCTGGGCTGGGTTCGTCCGGGTGTGCCGGTTTTGTCTCCGGCGATTCGTGTGTTCTTCTCGCGTCCTCTGGTGGTGAGCCCGTGTGTGGCTGGGAAATCGGGACGGTCGTCGGCACGAACGACGTGTAGCCTTGCCGATCAGAGTTGGGTTGTGCCTGGGTGGATGATTCCTCCGTCGCCTGACCGTCAGCTGTTGTAGGTGACCTGGGGTAGATGAGCGGAGGATGCCAGTCGTGAGGAGCATGGTAGGGGGCTCCTGGGATGAATGGCGCCGCTTCGGGGTTCAACCGCCGCCGCTTGCTGCCGAGAACGAGCACTCTCGTCTCTTGGGTGTTCGAGGCCGGGTCAGAGCTCGTGCCATGTAGCGGAAATGGCATGTTGAGGGCGTGGATGCTGGGGTTGACGTAATACCGTATGAAAGAGGTGTAAATGTAACTGGGCAAGGCGCTATGTCTGGTTGGTTATTTCTGTAGGTCGTCGCAAAGGTGCGGTGGACGAGACGATCGGTGTTCGAGACGATCGGTGTTAAAAGTTCAGGACCGGAGACGGAGCGTATTTGAGCAGGCGACTTGGCAGACAGAGCACTGGGTGCGGGTTCCCATTACGTGAACGTTAGTGCGGTTCGCTGGCAGAGCAAGTGCCAGTGCTATGAGGCGTGATTATAGGAGACGGAAACAGAGATGGTGAGGATCCGAGAGACCAGGCAGCTTCACTCCCGGTGCCTTCCAGTCTTATGTTGAACGCTGACACACCACAAATGGAAGGCAGTAACTGTAAGAATTCTGCATTATCTCTGCTTAATCAAGAGTAGCCAGCAGGAACTCATTATGTCCATGAATGCCCTATGCGCCAAACCCATCGCCACGCCAGAAACGATGCTCAAGAGACGAAGTCGACTTTCCCGTCCTCATACCGGCTGCCCAAACCTCAGTACCGTATTGTTCATCTCGGACGTCGAAAGTCCCACCAAGAGCCAGCTAACTCCAAGGAAATCCAAGTTCTCGTCGCCAGTGATGGATTTGCGATTATGTCGCGCGCTCAAAGCCGGATGCTGCCCTCGGGATCCTCACGCTTGATGACCTGAGGGCGGGGAAGCCTCTCGTGGAACTCGGCGCGCGGCTTGATGGTCATGCGCGGCGCGTTCTGACCCATGGCCCAGTTCCACTCGCCCAGCATCTTGATCATCTCAAAGCCGACGTCGCAGTGGGCATTGAGCACCTCGACCCAGTCCTCCGGCAGGGGAGCATTGCGCCGATTCTTGCTGAAGAGGAAGAACAGCGCGTGGGCAATCAGGAAGCGGCGCATCGGCGCCTCGGGCTTGGTGTTGTTGAAGATGTACTTGACGTCGTGCAGGTTGGGGGACATGTGGTTGTCGGAGGCCTCGCCGTAGTAGTTGTAGAGCATGTCGATGACGGCGTTGCGCACGCCGACGATGCCGAACTTGCCGCCCATGACGTAGACGCCGAGGCTGGGAAGAGATGTGAGTGTTAGAGTAGTGAGGCGAGATTGCAGAGAATGGGACAACGTACTAGTCACGAACAGTGACCTGCTCGCCATCCGGCGGCAGGAAGCGAAAGTTGCGAGCGCCGCCCGACGGCAAGAAGGCGGTGCCGTAAAGCCAGCGGATGAAGAGGGCAAACAGCTTGGGCTCATCCTCGGGTAGCTTTATCTCGTCGTCGCCCTTCTCGAAGTAGTTTCTGAAGAACTCGGACTGGTTCGTGAGCAGCTTCTCATGGACGATCCAGCGCTTTTCTTCAGGCCCGACCGTGACAGTGACAATGCGGTCGGTGAGCCACCTGCAGTCGTAAGAGACGGTTTAGCACTGGTATGTTCCTCCCTCCAGCGCACGACGGTCGTCGGCGGTCGTCGCACTGGCGAAGTAGTCTACTTACCCATCGAGGGCCTGAAGCTCTTGCGACGAGCTCTGGGTGCCCGTCGGGCGGGCTGCCTGCGAGTACTGGCTGTATTCGTTCATTCTGTGCAAAGCTGGGGCGAAACTCAGTAGCTGAAGGCTAAGACCGGTGTGAGAGACAGGTAATGAGCGAGGAATACGTACTAACAATTCTGCTGCTGTGTGTTCACTTGTTTGGAGATAAGGAACTTTCGGCGCTGAGGATTGCGACCGATTGCTGGGGTGTGGAAGGGCGGAAGTAAGTTGCGTGTGGAAATTTTGAAGGAGAGGGCATAAGTAGAAGAATAGAAGAACTCGAAGAAGTAGACCGGGCCAGTGATCCGTGGAGCAGACGTTGAGACGAAGAATAAGAGGAATGGAAGACGAGTCCGGTGAGAACGTTGGCCAAAGTGTGAAGCATGAATGTATGGGAAGGAGGGGAGTGAGGAACAACAGAAGGGCAAGCCGATGCAGTATCGGTAGCATGGAAAACAGAACTCACATTGTATCAAAATCACTGGCGGGAGAGAAAGACAAAAAAAAACGAGATAGAGAGAAACACTGCAAAAAAGACACTGTCTTTCCGCAGAATGAGAGCCGAAGTTGGGAAAACGAGAGATTATAGGTACAAGTCCTACACTCCGACCGAACCGGAAAACTGTCGAATATCTTTCAGGAGATCGGGACATCGAGAAGACACGGCAAATTTGGTGGAAGCTTGGTGGTCTACCCACAGCTCTTTAGGTCAATCCTCGTATTTCATGAATCAAAGCAGAAAGATCTCGAGGTCATAGGTGTACTTACCTGACTGTCTCCGAGCACCGACTTGGAGAGCCGGAACGGTGGCCAAGTGCCAGTCCATCGATCCTCGATGGCGGCAAGGCATGAGATTCCCTCTCAGAGTATACACTGGCAAGTTTCCCGTCATGCCCAGACTGACTTGGTAGCAGCCTGAACTGAAGAAACAAAGACCCGAAACGCCTTCGATGAACAAGCTTAGGAAACATTGCAGTAACAGACCGGAGGAAGAACATCTTCCTCTGCAGCCCCTAGACAGATACTAGGGGACTGACTCCTGCAAACGACCACCGCAGCCTGAGGCGCAGGACGCTACCATACAGTCCCTCAAGCCACCTATAACGACGCCTTTTCTACGTGTACTCGTCAACAATCAAAGATATCTCACCCCCTTAACCGCGCCGGACAGTAATCATCCACCTTCCTTCCTCCCTGCGAACCTAGAACCCTGTCAGGAGTAGACAGCTTAACCTGCAGGCCGTTGCATTGACCCCGACAATATGAGAGCAATATGCTGATGGGTAAAGGACTTGCCGGTACCCCTGAAGTAAACAATTACCTCCATATGCTCGGCGCCAACCATACATCCATTCTCTCCATAAGCATTGTATCAGCAAGACCAGGAATGCCACAGGACAGTGCCTACCTTGTTTGCTGTCCTGGAAGAACGCAAAACGCGATTATCAGGGGTGAAAGACAGAAGCACTGCATCGGACCAAGCGTTGAACTATCATCACACCAGGCAGCAGATCAGATCAGAGCGAAGAGGCGCAAACGTCGCCATGTTTCAGTTCCCATAATGACAGCTTTGCTTGCTTGTTGCCGCTTTAAATGCTCGCTTGCTTGAACATCTTGGCATACACAAAACGCCATGCTGTTCGCCGTCGCCAGACCCAGAGAAGCCGGTCCAAAGGGCAGAAAGCGCCGAAACCAGAACGGAGAAAGCGAAGGCGACATACCAACCCGTTCCACACACAACAACACGCGTATCCCACCCACAACAAACCTCTTGAGCACAACAACAAATCTAGGTCGATAAGAATACCTGCCGCCCTGCCCCCAAAACGAGGCACACCCACACCGACCAACCGAAAGTCTGAGCCCGACAGGGACAAACCCAACAAACAACACAACGCTTTGCTACGCCACGCTCCCGAGTTGTTTCCCGAATGCTTGCCAAACCAAACCCGCCAGTTCCCCAAATAAAGACATGGCGAGTGGGCAGAAAATGAAGCCCTCAGAACAAAAACCCAGGGAGCCCAAGCGACAAATGCGAAACACTGCCCACCAACTTCCGCCCATAACCATACCCGAGATGCAGTCCCAAGAAAATTCCAGACATGAAAATAAGAAGGGATATAGAAGCGGGAGCAAGCCGCAGCTGCTCCCTATCAACCCATGATACAGCGAAGTCAAGTGACATGGAGAAAGGGAATTCAACCAACTCCTCAATCCGGAGCCCACCACGTAAACCGATTCGGAAATACCAGCTCACTGAGATTCCCCAACAAAAACCGCACAATGTCTTTGCCAATCCGCCCTACACCGAGATGTTCGCCCATGTAACCCCCTAATAAGATCGAGAAACACCAACAGCCCAAGAAACAAACAGCGCCCCGCTCCCATCCATCGCAAGTCGTTCTATATGTCGATATTCTTTTTCTTTCGAGCTCGTTGACCCGTGAACCGTTAGAGCTTTTTATCGTAATGATGAGGGAAATCGCCGCTTCTGTGATGACGAAAAAAAGAGACGCCCGAAACACCAGGTATATGGTATCGAGATGAAAAGCAAACCCGACGAACTCCGCCGAAACCGATGCAAAAAGCTGGCTTGATGAAGATGCAAAACCGCCCAGGAAACGCCCATTTCGTTGTAGTCGCAAAAAGAAACCGCAGCCTCCATCTTTTGAGGCGGGAACACCGTATCCGAAGAGAAAATTCGTTTTCAGTATCGAGATAAACAACGAAGAGGTATCGATTATTCTTTCATCGCGCCATCTGAAATTGTCGAAAAGTTTTGTCGCTTCGAAGAGGAAGTGGCATATGTCGATCCAGGTCATTTGTACAGGTAGGGTATCGTCCCGAGGTGCCGAGGAAGTCGTAAATCCAGTCGACCTGATCGGTTTTATCGCCCTTGCCTGCCAGAGGGACGAGAAAGAGAAAATCGATGCCTGCTACTTTGTATGTCGGTGCCCGCCAAGATGAACAGCTGAAATGAGCGAATGCGCAAATTGAGATGCATCGCATTTGCAACGACGACGGTGGGTTTCGGATTAGCTCAATCTCGTCTGGCCGTCACAGAAGCGAGACGTCGCCACCACCTTACCACCGTCTGCCGACGGGCTGCTGCATCCTTGGGGGTGACACTGAGGGTGGCGGGCTCGACATGGAGATGCCAGTAGCGGGGTTGATGATGGGAATCGCGTTGCGGGCGCGAGTGGCAGAAGGCTGGTGAATTTTCAAGGTCGACTGTTGGCTGTGGTACGTCGGAGGGATGAAAGCCGGGGAGGAAGAGTGCAGCGAAAAGCCCGAGGCAACTTGGGTAGGCTGCTGAGTCGGAGAGCTTTGCGGGGAGTTGCTCGCCAAAGACGAACGCTCCGAAGACGAGCTATGAATCGACACAAGCTTGGGTTGCCAATGTCAGTCCAAAAGTCAACCCATGACTGCAAGACAGAGCCGACAACTCACATCGCTCTCGGTCAACAGGCCCGGGCAGAACTCCATGTCATCTTCCAGGTCAAACGACCGCACAGCTTCAAATCGCATGCGGAAGGCTGCAAGGTTTGCAGTTTCGGTGAGCTCTTTCATACTCCTGACGCCGCGGAATTGCTTTTGTGGGTTCTGCGCGACGGATAATTTTGGCGCCCGACGATTCCGCCCGCCATGGTGGCTGTGCGAGACGGCGGCCGCTGTTGCGGGCGTTGGAAGCTGCTGGTGGGCGTTGAAATGGTAGTACGTAGACATTATGGTGGGTAAGCCGACAGGGCGATGGAAAGGAGTTCAAGAGCCGTCTTGAAAGTGAGGCGAATGGTTGGAGCTGCAATCGGCTGAGTGGCACGGTTGACGTTGAGTCAAATCGGACGTCGAATCAACAAAGGAACCCTAAGTGGGTGAGGTCCGGCAATGATCGAAATAGGCGATTTGTTGTGAGGTCGTCGAGAGTGTCGCTGATGGTCTCGTTGCGACTTGAAGGTTTGGAGAGCAATTTTGTGGTGGTGGTATTTTGGTGGGACGGTGGGATGGGAAAAGAGAAGAGGTCAAGTACGGAAGAGGCGAAGGAGAGAGGGACAAGTCGGAGTGGGCGACGGGTTGGACAAGATGAAGGAGGTGGGGGCACCAGAGGGCCGCGCTAATGTGCGCGAGAGCCAGGACCCCGGTCATTTCCCAATGCACTGGCCACTCCGCTTGCGGGCTGGGTGGCAAGACTGCATCAAAAGGTGGAGCCAATGCTGTCCTCGATTGGAGGGCAGTGCTAGCTAAGCTCAAAATGATCTAGATTGCTGGGCCTGCTGTCGTGTAATCTTGGCCTTGGGCGGTTGTTCCGATGCTCGTTGGAAGCTGGCAGTTCCAGCGCCACCTGGCTCCGTCCACAACCTTCACCCGATGTGGCCGGATAGTAACGGAGTACTCCGTACATCGCCAGCGACATGCCATTCCAACCTGGAGTCGCTGACTTCAACGTGTAGGAACGAAGGTATCGGCTGCGATTGTCATTTTGCCCTCTCGCCCGATTTCCTAGGTATTCTCGAGGCTTCGCCTCAAGATATGCAACGGCTATCTGTTTACTTCCAGGAGGCGGAGAACTGGTTTGCCACTTCTTATTCACACTGTACATACAATGGGTCTTACGTGATTACCGTACGCTGAGTACAGTGACCCACTCTTTGGACAAAGAGAGTCGAGAGTCGATTCCAATTCTTACCTACGCTGTTCGAATGAGGGTGTCGTGGGCGGCAGTCATGCAGTCCGGCGCCATAGAAAGATGAAACTGGCGCTCCGGGGCCAATTGGCCCAGCCACGACTCCAGATGCATGGTAAGGACATTTACATAGCAGTTGAGTGGCCAGCCGAATGTCAGTGAGGTCGGGTCCAGGCTCTCTCCGCAGATGGTCAGAAACATCGAGGCCCCGGACCTTGTAGGTGACAAGTGCTGGTAGTCCAACCATTGCTGAGTTGTATTCGCGATGTTTTACATGATACGAACAACAAACTGCGGCTCAACAGATCGAGCCCGCAAATTCGGATGCAGAGAGAGAAGGGTCATCACGTACGGAGGAGATCCGGCAAAACTGCGCATCACTCATCGAAGCGATGGTGTTGACGGATCTCGCAGCTGTCTTTCCAGAAGAACATTCGTAGGTCCCTTCTCCACGCCAATCAGTTCGGTACGGCACAGTATCCGCACGATCGTTTAACGCAACGTAGAATGATCAACAAACTCCTCCCAAGGTTACATACATGGTTATGTACTAACTAACGACCCGCTTCCCCTCGACTCGCCACGCGGGTCGCAGGCGTTCTCATTACCCCGACGTCTGGCTGGGGGGTGCCATTGGCTTGTTCCATCAGCCGCCTTGTGCGCCGAAGCGATGTGCATGACGAAGGAGGCAACTCAACTCTCAGCTGACGGTCCACCTGGACCCGGTGCCTGTCATCCACAACCTTAGTAGTTGTCATCAGGGAGAATCGACAACACTCGGCTGTTTGTGAAGGACAAAGCTTCAGGCGACTCTTGGGTGGGTTGACTGGACGGTACTCCGTACACTAGAAATGTCGTCCCCCTTGGCTGGCGGTCAGCCCATCTATTGGGAAATGCCTGCGGGGCAGCCAACACTTGAAGAAGTCGAACGAAACAGTACCTTATGGTAGTAGCTTATTACGGTACCTATTCGTTCATTAGGCATGGAATCGGGCTCATCTCAGCGCGGATCTCAGAGCGAGTTGCTGGAACGGATTACACCCCTCCGTACGTGTCCTGACTTCGCGGGCCCGATTCGCCGCTCTCCAACAGGGAAGGCGTTCGAGGGGTTGAAACCCAATGACCAAACGTCTCTCTCGGCACGCCTTGCTTCAAGCGGTGTTTTGGAAGGGGAACATCGCCCACCACAGTGACCACACAATTCAATTGAAACCAGTGTATCTGTACAGGGCAGCCTCTCTGCGTCCGCTTGCAGGAGGAACACAGGGCCCAGGAATCTTGCAAATGCATTCCTTTGACGAGAAAAGGGAGACGACTACGACATGGAAATTCTCGCGTGGCCTTCAAGGTCTGTCAATTGCCGCCAGTTCTGCGCCTGCGGCATCGGGGGGGGCTGGCAGAGCGCAATGCAACCACACATTGCACTGTCCAACGTCGAACCCACGGCAGGGCTTGGGCTGTGCTCCCTTGCGTCCCTTGAGGTCCCGTCCTCAACACCCTGCCGCCAAGCCACCAAGCTACTTGATAACGAATTGCGAGACCGAATATACGTACGGATCCGTACACGTGTATACAATCATTCCAGCATCTTCAACGCTGAAAGTGTCACTCGGGTGTCCCGAAATGGGGACAGTCCATGGAGTCATTTCTTCGAGCGGGGCGGCGTTCAAGTGTAGATGATCTTCAAAGCTCGAGCCACACAACGCCCAAAACGCCGGCAAGAGTACCTCCAGCGGGACGTTTTTGGACGGTGTCACACTGCCACACACCGCTCTTTTCCGGCGGCGGCATCCAGTGGCAGGCGAAACGGCATGGGAAGGGCTACGCCGGGGGTGTTTCCAGGCTGTGAGAGGCAACAAACGCCTTCTCGATCTCTAAAGTACAGAGTAGCGCCATACAATTGCCTGGTAGCTTTCTTTTTCCCAGATGTCCACGTCAAACCTATGCGATGCTAGAAGGCGCAGCTTAGAGAAGGCCTTGAATAGAACTGAAGTGGTATAACTGCGAACTGCATAGTTAGTGACTTCTAGGTATGTAGATTAGCTAAGATATTTTGCATTACTACTCTAGAGGCTAAGCAATCTTATCGTCGACTTTCCTGAGTCATTACTCCTCTAGCAATGAAAACTTTTAACATATTCTATTAGCTTAACGTAAATATCTGATCTTTAGCAAATATATTATATATTATTACCTCCTGACTCCTCAGTTTACTGTGACGAATCCCAAAGCGCCAACTTCTGAAAGGGACTCCTGAAGGTTATACTTGACAACGGGGTGAGGTTCGGTGAAGCCAAAGGGTTCACAGCAAGCAACGTCCAAGGGTACTGACAATCTTGCACTTGAGTTGCTTACTGGAGAACTCCCAGAGTCCTCCAGAACGGGTGACTATATACTAGATGCAGTTGGTTGCTCTCGAGAGCCTCTTAGAGCGTCCTCTGATTGGCCTTGCACTGGTGCTCTCTCATGCTCCTGAGAGCTCTCTGGAGCACCTCTAGGACTCGTTCCGATTGGTCCTAAGTGATTGGCTCAGAACGTCCTACGTTCCCCACTGGCTTCTGCAAGTAAGCCGCCGTTGTTGACTCTCGTTGGTTCATTTGTGACATTTACCACATCTGACAATAAAACCTGCAATAAGGCCTACAACAAAGCTTCCTCTTTTAAGCTACTAGCCTTCTAGCCTGCTAGTTGAGGAAGCTCGTAATAGGATCTGTAACTGCTTTCAAAGACTACAAAGAGCTAGAGGGCCAACGCAACCTCCAGCATTAGAGGAAGCTACAGAGGCTATTTGTCACGGCGATTGCGCCGCGCCTGCCAGGACCCACAGGTGAGGGCCGGCGTGTGGGAAGCATGGGCCCCTATGAGTTGAAGATCCTGCACCTCGGTGCCGCGAGTTCTGTTCGTAGCTCCTTGAGCTACGTGTTGGAAAGCCAACAGCCACGAATGTGCCGCACCGTAGTAATTGGGTACCGAAAAGATGGGCAACCACTCAATTGTTGATGATGTTCCTGTCTCTGTTCTTCCAGAAGTTCCCTGCCTGTTCCTGATCCTGAGAATCCCGGTGCCAAGCCATTGGTCACCCCTGAACTGCCCTCTCTGACCACCTGCCAAATCCAACACTACGTCTTGACAATCAAGCCTGCTCGTACCTGACGGAATAGAGTTCAGACTGTAGCTTAGCCCGAATATAACTGCCATTGGACTATCAGCTTGTCCTACCTGTGACAGCCCGTACCTGACGGAATAGAGCCTAGACTGTAGCTTAACCCGAATACAATTGCCATTGGACTAGCAGCTTGTCCCACCTGTGACACTATTGCAGCCTAGAGAGCGTTAAGGCAAAAACTCTACAGGGGCTCTCAATAAGGCCTGGAAGGCTAAGTGGGCCCAGGAGGCCACCAACTGACTACAATGGTATAGGGCCTGGAACCAGGCTCTGTTGAACTGAACTGGCTCCTTGGCACCTGGAATCAGGTGCTGGGCACTGTTGCCCAATGCAGTAAGCGTGGAAGACTCGTCACCCACCCAAAAGCAGGGTCTGGCGAGGGTCCCGAAGCCCTCGGTTCTTTCAAGCAACACACACACATCACGCATGGTTCAGACAGTCAATTCAAGCTTCATCTTGTGCCTCAATTGATGCAGTGTCACCTGGTTGGTCTATGCCTATTCGAGCCTGTAACTGTTGCTGTCCAACAGGCTCTACTCACCGTATAGCCAGTCAATCACCGGCCAAAACTTGACAAAAGGGCGCTAGAAAGGCACGAGGGCCTCACAAAGGCTGAGAGCTCCCTACTAATCTAGGCTCAGACTAGGGTTATAGGTCTCAAGAACTTTCTTGTCACGGGATACCCCGTTCCTATTCTCATGGTTATGTCATATGCCTACGGTCATGCATACGTCATAGGGTCTGATTATATGTCTATAGTCATGCTTACGTATAGGCCTCTCCTCCAGTACTTAAGGTCTGGTTGCACGCCCATTCCTGTCATCTAGCTCTTGCTCTCGTTGTAGCAATATCGACCTTGTATATGCGAGCTGACCAGACCTTGAGTGATGCCCGTCACATTCTCTTCGGGGCTGGGGTCTCTCGAATACCTACCTTCTACTGCGAATGCGGCCATAGCAGGGAAATAGTGGAATACTTAGCTGTGTGGTGCCGTTAACTACCGAAGCTAAGGACCTAGCCAGCTATAGAGATACGCTCGCAGAGAGATCTATTAGAGCTCTCAACGGGTAGGGGAACAAAGAGAGAAGGCTTGCAAGGAAGGTGATTAGGTAGCTACTATGCTCTAGGAGGTTCCTGGAGTATAAGCTAGCTGCACGGCTAGAACTAGGCTAGTTCAATAGCCTAGTTAGCTATCTACGCCTTTCTTTTCGCTATAGTAGGTAGATTCAGGACTTAGACTAGTATAGGGGAGATAGAGGTTCTTAGTCCAGCCTTGTAGGCATGGTTTTTCTTTGTAATCAGCGGTAGAGGGTCTGGCGAGCCCTAGGGCATAGCGGTATAAGAAGAATAATAATATTAATTTGCTAGTAGAATTCGCTTAACGTTACTCTTTACTATATATAACGTTAGCGAAGTTTAGCAATAATTATCACGTAGAATCTACGAGATTAAGGTAACGTATTTTATTAGCAAGTGCACTATATTAGCGAGTGCACTATATTAGCGAGTGCACTATATTAGCGAGTGCACTATATTAGCGAGTGCACTACTAGTAAGGGCTGCATAGACAGTTAGTCGAAGTACTAACAGCTTATTCCCCCACTTAATCCCATTGTTAGTGCTGCACCCAAATATCTGTGCAGCCCTTACTAGTGGTGCACTCGCTGATATGATGCACTCGCTGAGAAAATACGTTATAGCTAGTTTGAAGAGAGGCGTGTCTCGAGTGCCCTGAACAATGAGCCTTTCCGCAGTCAAAAACGCCAAAGTTTGGAAGGTGGATGCACGGGGTGGCTAGTTTGCAACTGGACTAGTTCAATCCTATTCAGGGTCGAAGTGGGGAAGAACGAAAGGAGGAAGAAGACGGCAAATGGTTCGCATGCAGCATTGATGACTCGTGCGAGCCATGCGCCACCGGGAAGACAAGCTAGGAAGCTTGCAGCAAGGCGAGCTGCCACCTGATCCTACAGATTTGCTGGTTCAAGCAGAGTAGTGAGTTTCCGCCTTTTGGTCCGCCAAATGCAAAGGGAACCACAGCTTGCATGCCTCCATGCTGGAAAATTTGCCGACATCAACTCCTCGTCGGTTTGTCCGACGGTGGAGCCGTGAGAATGCAATCTTGTCGGCGGCGGAACGGGATCATCGGAGTGTTCGGTGAATATCAGAGTGAGGGGCAGGCATCTCAACCTTTACCCCTGAAAATGAGGGTTGCCGAAACGTCACAGGATGCGACCCTTATGCCAAGCTCGATGCTCACCATGGTCCTCAAAACATCTCCCCTTCACTTGACGGATCTTATCAGGCCAACAATGACACCCGACCAACTTGATCAGGAGCGCGCCGGGCGGCCACGATGGGCCGATAAGCCGTTGAAACTTTCAGTGCCTCTTGTCCGACCTCTCGGAATAACGCTTTCGGGCCGAGAGGCGCCGGCCCCGGCTGACCCGCGATGACGCCGTAGTGGCCTGGTCTGGCCGGCCCAACACCTTTGTTTCACTGCAAATGTTACACAGCTTGAAGATGAGATGTGGCTCGCCCATCTGAGGGTTTGCGCGTTCCGATGATTGAAAAGCTGGACTGCTTTAATATTCATTGTCGCCATCTTCTCTTGCCTGTCATTTACTTCTATTGTCCCTCTCTCGATCTACTGCCGGAACGAGACGAACCTTCCGGTTTCTCGTCCCCTTCCTTCTACTTGAAGGAGGTCTGACCGACAAAAAAGGGACTTATATCAACCGAACACCATGCCGTAGAGCGAGTTTTCATTCGATTGGAGTTCAACCAGCCGAGGCTCGAATTATCCAATGACGTGCAGTGGAACCCTCTCATGAAGTTGACGAGTTTGCTGCAGTGGAAGAGACGGGCTTGGGATAGTGACGTCATAACTAGCGTCTCTACTGCTTCGGGGCAGCATTGTACAAGAAAAGCCGCCTCCTGAAGTCGACCACACAATGTACTTGACCTGGGAATGATAGCCTCGACAAACAGCTGCTCAAATATTTCCTTCTCCTACAGCAAACCACCATTTGACAATCATCTAAACGATTGGGTCCTGAATTGGGGCTTGAATTCGCCACCAATCCCCCTCCATCCTCGACGACCAAAACCACAACGCAATCCCGACTCCGTCCACCCTCCCGTTCCCTGTCTACCGATCAACACTTGAGAGTCCACAGCAATTACGATGTCTGCCCGCGCTCTCTTGAACACCACCGCCAAGGCGTTGCACCCCTCGCCCATCTCCCTCACCGCGCGCAGGAGTCTCACCCAAACCACGCGTGCCATGATCAAGGAGAACGCCTCCAGTACGCTTGCCCCCCGCCCCCCCCTCAAAACCTAATCTGGCCACTCTTAGACCCCCCCCCAAACTAACCAAAACCCCTTTTTTACTTTTTCGAAAGCCGACCCCGACCCCGAAGCCATGGACCGCCACAAGCAAGACTCGGTGTCCAAAGCCAAGAAGGGCGAGGGCCACTGGAAGCCCGAGCTGGCGTCGGTGAGCGAGGAGAGCGTCAAGGCAGACCGGGCGGCGACGGGCGACTCGAGCGACGCGGCCATGAGACGGCTGCAAGAGCAGACCAAGGCCCACGCGGAGGAGACGAGCAAGAACCGGACGAGTATGCGGGATGGTCTCTGAGCCATTTTTCCTCTTTTTTTCCGCGCTCTCTCTCTTTTCTTCGCTAAAAGGATGGGATTTGATTTGGGCTGCGATTTGCTGACACTGGGAAGAATAGGGGGAAGATAGTAGCTAGGCGGGCAGGCTGCTTGGGCGGGAAAATTGCATGTACCTCGATGCTTTTTAGGGAGCCGCGCCGGGGACTTGGGAGAGAGGGGAGTTGTACATATGTTTCCGGCGAGGCAAGCTAGTCAGACTGGCAAAGGGCGAGACGGTGCATTGCATTGGGGGATTTCGTCTTCTTAGACTGACAAAGCAAATGGGCAGGATATTCGGAAAAGCCTGCTGTACCGAGATGTCGAACACAGCTTGAGTGAGAAATAAGCCTAGTTGCCCTGAGGCGCGAGACACTTGGCCAAACCTAGGTAAACAACCATCAAGACCTACCCCCTGAAAACAGACACAACAACCTACAAACTGAACGGTCTAGTTGGGTCCGTCCTGATTACAGGCCTCTGCCCCGACCCCTTCCTCTCCCCCTCCTCCTCCCCCTCCCCCCTGCACCACCCCTTCCCCTAACAGCAGCCCCTCGTCCCAGGCTTGCCAAACTAGGTCTCGCAGGTATATCCTCGTCATCATCATCCGAGTCCGAGCCACTCTGTTCCCAAGCACCACCCGGCTCATACCCCGAGTGCAACGCCTCCTTATCCTGGCTCGCATCCCCGCCAACACCATAATACTCTTCCTCCTCGTCCGAGTCCAGGAGCCTAACAATGGTCAAACCGGAGGGCACCCGTGGCGGCGACGGCGCTGGCAATGGCGAAGGTGACGGGGCCGGCTCGTCTGCAGGCAGGGAAGGCACCGGTTCGGCTTCTGGTTCGGCTTCAAATTCGGGGGATTGCGAGCCAGGCGCTACCCGCGCCGAGACAGTCGAGGCGGGAGAGGGTGTGGCAGAGATGCTCGGCGCGGAGGACCCGGCCACGGGCGCCCGTTCGGCATGCGCGGGTGGCATTGGAACTGGCGACGGTGAAGGGCTGCGCTCTTTGTCCGAGACGGCTTCTTCCGCGGCTGTTGTATCAAAATCTTTATCTACAAACTCTGTTTCGACAGGCGGTGCGACGGATTTTCTTGGCCTGCCCCGACCTCTGCCCTTGGCAGCTGGTTGGGCGGCTGTCTCTCCAACCGGCGCGGACGATCTGGACACGGATTGAAACTCAGATCCGGCAGGACTGCTTTTCCGAACCGCGCACTCTCTCGCAGGCGTAGCAGGCTTCGTGGCCCCTGAACTCTTCCGCCCAGCCATCTTGAACTTCTTGCCCTTCATTCGCATCCTCTCGGCCATCGACATCAAGGGCTGCGATGTGAGTTCCACTGTAAGCTGCTTCCACTGACCATCGGGTTGGGCGTTCCGCGGCGGGCGGCCCCGTCTCCTAGGCCCAGCAGCCGCCGCCGGCTCATTTGGAGCTGCCGCCTCCGAGTTAACCACTTCGCCCTCCTCGTCGAAGCCGTCGAGCTGCTGAGCGAGCTCGGCGTCAAGATCCTGAGTATGCTCGTCAGCTTCGGCACCCAGGGACGGTCGCGCTCGCGGAGGCCTTCCACGCCGTCGCTCTGGCTTCTGGGGTTTCTCTGCATGGTCGGGCTGCGGTTCAGAAACCTGCGACTTGCGTGGTCGACCCCGCTTCCTAGTGGATGTCGCTTGTCCGCTTGAGTTTTGTCCTGCGGGCATAGCGGAGGTGCCTGTAATCGCCAAAATGGCGGCCGATGCCACATCCAGCGGATCCTTGCTGGCGTTCTCAGGATTGTATTCAGTTATGCCAGCAGGCGGCTTCTGCGACCGAGGAATCAGGACGTCGTTAAACTCATCCTCACCCAGCTCATCGACAAGGTAGGAAATCTTGGGTCGGGCGTGTCGGAGAGCCGGCCGGTTCGGGGAATACGCTCGAGGTTCCTGCGGCTCATTCGCATCTTCATGCCCCTCCGCGGCTTCGCGCTCGGGCGCTTGTTGAGCCGCTTCCGTCGGAGCCTCGGCTTGAGCTGGATGGTCTTCCTGGGCAGGTGTGTCGACCATCGTCTCGTCACCTCCAAACAATGCTGGATCCATGTTGCTCAGAGCGATTTCTTGGCCATCCCGCTGCGGCTCGTGGTCGACCTTGGCCCTCTTCCTATGGTGTGAGCGCGGCCCGCGGAAGTCCGGATCGTCGTCCTCTTCCTGGCGAGCTCGTCGCTTCGCGATCCGCAGTTGCTTCTTCAGATACTCAGCCATCTCTGGCTCGTCGTCAACCGTCATGCTTTCGGCAGAAGGCATCTGGTAAGGGTCGAAGAGAATCTTGTCGTCAGGGTTGTCATTTTGTTCGTAGTATCCCATGCCGAGCATGCGTTCGCTGCCGAGCATTGACGGATCTGGATACGAGGACTGGTCTCGAGCCATGGGCATAGACATGTCAGCCACCACCTCGGCAGGACCTGCATGGTTGCCATCCGGTTGGTGACTATCGACAGGACCCGCGGGTACGACGTATTCGCCCATAGGTGCGCGTCCAGGGCCAGTGGCTCCATTCTGGTCGCCATAGCCGGTTGCCGCGGGCTGCTGCGCGGCGGAATCCAAACTTTCTGCCAGCGTGCCGTCGGGCAACGCAGGAACCTGGGCAACCAGCTCTGCTTGCTTTGCTTTTTCCGCTTCGGCTGCTTGTTGCAACCTCTGCATCCGCTTGCTCGACAGGCTTCGGCTTTCATCCCCAACATTCTTGAGCCACGACAAGTTATCGACCCGAAAGTCAACCAAGCTCTCGACGCTACGATCATCTGCAATCCTGCGGGTGTCATGCCCGAGCAAAGTGGTCTTCGGGATGTACGGGTTGCCGTTGCCGGCACGGCGGCAGGCGGCGCAATTGCAGATGCCGCAGCACTTGGGACACTGCCACCTTTCGTTCTGCATTACCTCCTGGGGCATCATGTCGAAGGCCCGATAGAGAACGCCGTAGCAGTAGGCGTCAGTGCATCCCTGGTTGGAGCAGAACGCCAGCTTGTAGATGTAGTCTTTATGCCCGCAGACATGGCAGCGGTAGACGTCGCCCTTCTTTCTCTTTCTTCTCTTCTTCCTTTTCACGACCCGGCCGTTGTCGTCAACTTCGATGTCTGACTCTGCAGGCTCGGAGGGTGCCTTGACCTGGGTGATATCGTTCCAAGGCCGCATCCGGAGTTGCTCCTGGCAGATCTGGGCAACTGATTTCTTGCCGAATTTCTTCCTCGCCAACTCCAGGGGAAGGGGAGAGCTGTCAAAGTTGATGAAGCCGTCATTCTTGATGATCAATGCGCGCCAGGCTTCGTAGCGGTCAACCAGATCGGACCAGTGCCACTGCTCGCACCAGCTGAGCTTAGAAACACAGAAACACGAGCGGCCCATGCTGTAGCACTCCATGCAAATGTCGTATGTGTCCTCGTCCCCGTTAACCAGCTGGCGCACGCAGTGCTTGCATGTCAGGAAGCGGTTGAAGATGTTGGCTCGGCAGTAGGAGCAAGTGATGCAGGAGTCAAACGGGATGTAGTCGACGTCCTTCTCCTTGGTCGCGAACATCTCGTCGACAAGAACTTCAGTGAATAGACGGAAAAGTGCATTGAAGTCGGCCGCCATCTGCTTCATCCGGGTGGAATTTTTGATGAGGTCTTGCCCAAACCCAAGCAGCCCAATGTCGGCCGTCTTTTCCATGTCCACCATCTCCTTGTAGTACTTTTCGAGCGTGTAAAAGATGATGGCCTTGTTCTTGTACTGCTCGTCGCGGCAGACGAGCCTTGCCTTTGGCAAAGCTTCGTGTAGCGCCAAATCCAGCGTCTCGACGGTCGTTCTGTTCCATGCAACCTTTATCGTCCTGGTGCCACGGTTCCAAACTTGGTGAGGAGCCAGGGGCGGAACTAGAATGAAGTCTCCAACCTTTTGCTCGACGATGTAGACTGGAAACGTGGCCTTCTTCCAAGCGTTGATCTGAGCGAAATGCTTCTCGATCTCGATGTCGTGACCCAACATGGACAAAAAATACTCCTTGACCACCTCTCGGTCCTTCGTCTCGGTCATGAACCAAATCGAGCTGCCCGGTTTCTCCCCGTTCTCGTCCCCAGACGCATCCACCATGATATTCTGGCCCAAGCTGGCGCACATTTCTCGATGTGCTGGGGTGTATGTGCCCTCGTGGCCGATGTAACACATGAGGTTTTGCGCACGCATCTCCTCGGGGAGGCTGCTCATCAGGTCTCCCGCAGGCGCGACCGACCGCCCTTCCTGGAAGATGTCCATGTCGTCGGCACGGCCTTTACCAGACCGTTCGTCGACATTGGCGTTCATGTAGAAGAGGTTGGGCGGAATGACACGCTTCAGGTACTCGTACCACTCGGGAGGACAGTCAATGTCCTTCAGGTACAACCGCTGCCGTCGCTCGTCTCGAAAGTTGTGTGGGGTCCACTGGTTGGTGAGAGTTTTCATTGACCGTAAGTAATGGCCAATAGTCATCGGAATGTCAGTCTGGCCGACGATGTCGCGAACATTCTCGGCTGCTCAGTTGTTTAGCTGCCGAAGACGACAATGCGAACAAGAGAAGGAGCGCTCACCTTTCTTGTTGTAGGTAGCCTCGAGCCACTCGGCGCTGAACAGCGACTTGGGCAAGCGGTCGTTCCATTTTTCGATGACCAGCGGTTTTCCGCCATGGACGACATGGAGAAACACGAGCTTCTCGAATTCTTGGGGGCCAATGTTGCGAATTTGGGCGGCCGAGATGCGCAAGACCCAATGGAAGTTTGCGGTTCTCTCGACAAGGGCATGCAGGTCGAGGTCGGGAGAAATGGGATCGAACTTGGCCTGTGGATGCTGTGCTGTCGGCATCGTGGCGACTGCGGCGCTCGCATGCGCCGACTACCGTTGTGGAAGGCGATGTCGCGAAGAATGAAAACGAGATATCGAGATGAAAGATGCGGGCTACATGGCATGATTCAAGTGCGATGGCGCATGCTGCGACGCCTGCGGATGGGCAGTTCCAGGTTGCGAGTTGCACATGCGCGATGCTTTGACGGAGTTTGGTAGCAGGAACGCGTCTGATGATATCGGCCGGAGGAGATTTGGCGAGTGAAAGAGGCTAGGGTTGCATTGGCCATTTAAAACGCACGTGGCTACAAGCCTAAGAGAGCTCCCTCTGGTTGCGCTCAGATTTGTGAGGCTGAAACTGACTCGCGTGTGAAGCTCAATCTTCAACGTCATGTTGGAGTGGGAGAGTCATGGGGATGTGCCGGAATACTGATTCGAGTGGCCACATTCATCTGATATTTGTCTCTTCAATCTGGACGAAAAAGGGCTGGAAACAGGAACCGTTACAAAAATTGCACTTACATCTCGAGGTAAGCAGTTCACTCCTCCATATTCTCTCGTCAGTTGACTGAATCAAATTTTGACTATCAAGTGATTCCGTAAATAGTCCGAGCGATGGCCGGCTGCCAAATACTCCCCAGGCTGCCGTTACCCCGGGCCTTTTCCTCGACCAAGAATTCCCACAGACTATGGCACCCACAGTTGTCAACTCGGACATCGCAATGGCTCTCAGCATCTCGACAACTGGGCATTGAGACTTACACCAACCGACCCCGTTCCCTCATTGCCTACCACACAACCACCCAGCTCCTTTCAACAGCAACCAATCCCTCTCCAAGTCCAGCCGCCCCGACTTACACGCCTCCTCAAACAGGCCTTCTTTCCTACCTGCCGCGCTCATGGGTTCCCTACGCGGAACTAATCCGCATTGACAAGCCCTCCGGCTCCTACTACCTGTTCTTCCCATGCATTTTCTCGACGCTCCTCGCGGCCCCGCTCGCCACGCCCATGGCTCCGCCCCTCACCGTCCTGGGCACCTCACTCCTCTTCTTCGCCGGCGCCATCGTCATGCGCGGCGCAGGCTGCACCGTCAACGACCTCTGGGACCGGAACCTGGACCCGCACGTGGCGCGCACCCGACTGCGTCCAATCGCGCGCGGCGCCATTACGCCCTTCCAAGGCCTTGTCTTCACGGGCGCCCAGCTCCTCGCTGGGCTGGCCATCCTGCTGCAGTTCCCTCTGCCGTGCTTCTTCTACGCGACGCCGAGTTTGCTCCTCGTCGCAACGTACCCGCTGGCGAAGCGCGTGACATACTACCCGCAGTTTGTGCTGGGGCTGACCTTTTCGTGGGGCGCCATCATGGGCTTCCCCGCGCTGGGTGTTGATCTGCTGAGCAACGGGGCGGCTCAGGCGGCCGCGGCGCTGCTGTACACATCGAACATCGCGTGGACGGTGCTGTATGATATGATCTACGCACACATGGATATTAAGGACGACGCCAAGGCCGGCATAAAGAGCATCGCGCTGAAGCACGATAAGGAGACGAAGCAGGTCCTCACGGGCCTGGCGCTGACGCAGGTCGCCCTGCTTGCTGGCGCAGGAATCGCGACGGGAGCCGGGCCGGCTTTCTTCATTGGGAGCTGCGGAGGCGCCTTGGTGGCGTTGGGGGTCATGATCAAGAGGGTCAACCTCAAGAACGTCAAGGATTGCTGGTGGTGGTTTGTCAATGGGTGTTGGATCACGGGCGGTGTCATCACCCTGGGGCTGACGGCTGAGTACCTCGCGAAGTATGTCGACAGGGACGGCGAGGACTCGGCGGGATGTATTTGAGTCTGCTTGTTACTGGTTACTGGTTTGTATGATAGACCTCATGTACCATAAACTCTCCGTGTAGGCCCAGCACCATGCTCAGCGTTGAACAACCATGATTACATGACGCCAATCCCAAACATGCACGATCCGCTTTTCGGCTTGATGATCTCTTATTTTCAGATCATGTCTACCGCAAGTTCCCAGATTCCCCAACCTGGTGATGGAATGCCAATGTAAAAAAGCCTCGCAGACTCCTCATGCCGAACCGATGCCGGTTTCCTTGCGCCCGCATCTATGACCGAGGCTTCTCCTTCTTCTCCTTCCAGAGAGCAAGCAGACCGACGCCAGAGACCTTGACAACTGGGAAGGTTTAATGACCGCCATCTCTTGAAACGCACGAGGACTCACCCTTGAACCGCACACCAGGAATATCACCCTTCGCCTTGCCCTTGCGACCGAAACCGGCGAGGAGGACCTCGTCGTTCTCATCGACGAAGTTCAGGCAACCATCGTTGGGGACTGTTTGAATATCAGTGCCTGGACCATCATATCCGTGATTCGTGTCTTCGAGAGTCCTGTCTGTGTCTCGCGGATTGGGGAGTTCGTACCGAAAGCAGTAACCTTCTTGCCGTTCTTGATGAGCTGAACCCTCACGCACTTGCGAATAGCCTGTACCCCCACCAATTAGTCCAAAAAGGCCGATGGATATTCGAAGTCGCAGATCTCTGGCGCGGGAGTTGACGTACGGAGTTGGGCTGCTTGGCTTCGACGCCGACCTTCTCAAGGACAATGCCCTTGGCGTGGGACGAACCACCGAACGGGCTATCCTCCAGCATTAGTCCCGCGTTCGTCTCATTTCGGATCACTCGTCGATCGTTGCGCACCTGGACTTAAAAGCAGTGCCGAGAGCACGCTTCTTGTAAGCCAAATCGGCCCACCGCTGCTCACGGCGGTTGTTGCGCAGCTTGCGGGCCGCGTTGAGACCACGGGGCTTTCCACCGGACATGATTGCTGGGCAATCGCAGGGCTAGTTAGAAACTGCAACCAAGAGACGAAGACAACGATATGGTCGACGGTAGCAAAAGAGCGGGGATGCTTACCGACTTGGTGATGATCGCGGGCTCTGGGTGCAGTTCGTGATCCGGAATGCTCGCTTCGCGGTAACCGATTTTTTTGGCAGGCAGCGGGAGTTTAGCAGTAGGGCGAGAAAACCCTAGCCTCTCGATTGGCCACCCAGCCACGAGGTCCACACATTGTGGCAAAAAGCACCTGAAAGCTAAGACTGGCCAATGCTCAGGCCCGCTTATTCCGGAGCTTGCCCCTTAGTTGCATATCCCCAAGACAGTGACTAAACACATCACAATAAGCATTACGGAACAGAAGGTGTTGATTACCTGCTTGGTAGGTGATTCGGCGCTGTCACAGCTCCATCAGAACCTGGAAGTTTACAACCTCACTCGAGTCACCGCACCGACTATGTAGCAGCCATGTCCCACCTCCTAAGAGGAAAACACAAGCCCCGCGACCACCCCCAACCCTCTCCGTCCACCTCCCATGGCTCACTCCCAGGCCCAAGCCAAGGCTCACGTCAACATGGCATCCACTCCACATCAATCTTCACCTCACCCAGCCTGCCAACCGCCACGACAGCCCAACAAGTCGGCAGCCGCACCGGCCCAGGCCTCAACATCACCACCACCCTCCCAACGCCCATCATCGTCCCCTCGCTCCGAAGCAGGGAATCCACCCGCGCAATGGACCGCACCGACGCCCTATGGGCCGAGATGCAGGCGACGCTTGAAGCAGTCGAGCTATCCGCCGCCGCCGCCGCCGCAGGCACAGGCACAGACCCCCCAGCAGGCGGAGGTCCTGGCGGCGGCAGCACAGCACGCGTCTTTGGGCCGGACCACGAGCGCAAGCTGGACGAGCTGCGGGCGGCGCAGATTGCGCTCGCGCAGGCGTGGGCCAGGAGCGAGGCGGACGACGCGATTGAGACTACTGCCACGTCCGGGGCTGGCGCCGGGGCCGGGACAGGTGGCACAGCGGGACTGGGAGGAGGGGGTGCCGGGGCTAGTGAGGGAGGAGTGATGGGCGCGTTGTCGGAGGGGAGGAGTGCTGGGACGGATGGGGGAGGAGGTGGTGGAGTGGGGAGGAGTACGGCTGGGACGGGGAGTGCGAGGCCCGGAAGTAGTGGGCTGGGGATGGGAGGTGGTGGTGGGCAGGAGAGGTTGGCAGGGGGGAAGATGGAGGAGGAGACTGAGGTAGATATCCTGTTGGCGAGGAAGAGGCGGGAGGCGAATGATCGGTATTTTCAGAGGGTGAACCAAGGGATTCTGGATGTGGTTGCCAAGCTGGAGGACGTCGCTATTGCTATGCGGGCGGTTGAGCAGGAGAGTAAGGAACTCTGGGGAGATGGCATTGAAAGTGTCCCCGGGAGTGCGAAGCCATGATCTACAAGGGCACTGCGACAGGGTTGGTTGTCTTCAGGACGGCGCCAGGCGTTTTTGGCCGTTTTATGGGATCAGACGCAGGCAAACAACTTGAAGTCTGCTGGGGGCCTTAGCATTACCATGGCGTTCGGGTTGTGAGTTCTCCAATGTTCAATGTTACTCCCTTTACATCTGCCCTCGATGAAGTCAAGGACCTGTTTTGAGCAAGTGGATCGAACGCCTTGGGACGACTGCTAAACGATTTCCAAGCATGACATCAAACCGGAGTTTCTTAGATACAGATATTTCGTGGAAGAGCTCAAACGACTTCTATCCCGTCCAACTTGGGCATTTAGAATTTAAGGTTAACCCCTAACTGATCAACGGCTCAAAATGGGTTGATGTAACTGACGCTGCACGCAAAGCACTCTAGATATCCTGGAATATTCCGCGAGTCGTGAGGTGTTCAGATGCTGAGGTTGCTCGGCCAGAGCCTGTGGGAATCACTCGGGGAACCCCGCTTACAGGCCCATTCATCCGGTTTTCCGCCCGGCTCGAGCTCTCTGATTCGTAGCGCAACATGAAAGCTCATGGTACCTCGGTGGATGGGAACTGCAACCTCAAGGCAAGCCCTCATTGCCATGAAAGACGAGTATCTGAAAGGAAAATGAGGAACCCACTGCAGAGCCTCAGAAACTGTGCCAAAGTTAAGCAATGTTTGATCCCAGTCGGAAGAAAAATGGCTTTATCTCCAAGGCGAAGCAAGAAGGAACATTTTTATGTACTTGTCTGGCGGCTTTCAAAGACCGTGACGTGATCTCGGCTGGGGCAACCAAGCCCCTGCACGTTCCGCCTGACCTCCCCTGCAGCCGCCTGGAACCCGCGTTGCACTTCCGGCCAAGAAAAAACGCCTGCCCGCGGCAGCCAAGTACAATAACATTCCCATCAAAATTTCGGGGAGCCAACCTCTTGATCCTGCACCGCACCCTCCTCTTCCGGGCCGACCTGTGGTCAATTGCGCTTCCCCTTTTTATCCTAGCTCGTCGTCCGGCTTTGGAACTCACCTTTCGCCCGGTTTCCGTTCCTCGCCCCGATCAAACCCCAACCGATACCGGACAAGATGGGATACCTCGACGATGAAGTCAAGCGCCTCCAAGGCATTATCGCCAACCTCGAAGGCCGGGTACAAGCCCTGGAGACCAGGCAATTTGGCGGAAGCCAGAAGAAGACGGCCGAGGAGATCCGCATGATTCTTATCGGCCCTCCCGGTGCTGGTACGTGAGCTGTCGGCCGGAAGTACCGTCTTCAAACACGCGCAACAAGTGCGCTCACACGATGCAGGCAAGGGGACACAAGCGCCCAAGATCAAGGAGAAGTTCAACTGCTGTCATCTGGTAAGCTAGTTGACCGCAACCGAGCTTCCGTACCTCGTCTTCCCCCGCTAACTCTTGCCACTTACGACACCCAGGCCACCGGAGATATGTTGCGGTCCCAGGTCGCCAAGAAGACGCCTCTCGGCCGGGAAGCCAAGAAGATCATGGATGCGGGCGGCCTGGTCAGCGATGACATCGTCATCGGCATGATCAAGGAGGAGCTGGACAACAACAAGGAGTGTAAGGGCGGGTATGTTGCGTCGCGTTCCACTGGCAGACTCGGCATGTGCGTGCTAACACATGTCCCCCTCCAGCTTCATTCTCGACGGCTTCCCCCGCACTGTCCCGCAGGCGGAGGGTCTCGACAAGATGCTGCGTGAGCGCAACCAGTCGCTTCAACACGCCGTGGAGCTCAAGATCGACGACGAGTTGCTCGTCTCGCGCATCACTGGTCGCCTGATCCACCCCGCCAGCGGACGCAGCTACCACACCTCCTTCAACCCGCCCAAGGTGCCCATGACGGACGATATCACCGGCGAGCCGCTGATTCAGCGCAGCGACGACAATGCCGATGCCCTCAAGAAGCGCCTGGCCACCTACCACAAGCAGACCACACCCGTCGTCGACTACTACAAGAAGACGGGAATCTGGAAGGTCATTGACGCCGCCCAGCCCCCCAATCAGGTTTGGAAGAGCCTGCTGGATATCTTTGAGGGCGACAAGGCCAAGGCGGGCAGCGCCGGCAGCGGCATTCTGAGCAAGCTCGCGCCCAGCTCGTAGATGGGCGGCGCGGGCGTGGACAGAGTTGGACAGGAGAGCGGGACCGAGACCGAAAGGAGACCCGGTGTTCTGAAGGCGTGGGAAATCGACATGCTGCTATAGTTTGGCCGCGGTTGATGATGAAAGCGGCCCGGTTCACGGCCGCCCTCCCTTAAAGCCGAAGACGGGGGGTCCTTTCCAGGCATCGCAAACTCGCGTCGCTGCCAACCCACATCCGATCGACGGACCTCTTCGACATGCCATTGGCAGGACTTACGAAAACTCGGCGTATACCCAACGTCAGGCCGGCGGGTCCCGACTGGATTCGCTGTTGGCGAGGTTCGTGTGATAGAAACCGTGTATTTACATCAATGTAGAAATGCTTAGCCTGCTGCTGTATCCAAACATCAATTGGCCGTTTATGGCTGAGAAGAGGTATCTCAAAGCGCGTGACATCTCGCATCCGCCGAATCGACAATGTACTGGCACAATACCACGCAAAATACCACACGCTTCCAACCGCTACCTTCTGACAACAAAGGTCCCAGAAGACTGTAGCGAAAATGGACTAGCACCGGGGGGTGTCATTGTTAGAAGTATATACCGATGCTGCCATACCATTCGGCCGTTTTGAACCTCGCTAATGGCGCTCGAGATTCCCGGGTACATTGGAGATCGTGACAGATGAGGCTCAAAGACATAGATGGTTCAACGGGGGTGTGCGAGTACAGACCCGCAAGGCTTAAGGGGCTGCTATATGCCTTTGACTTGGCGGTTAAAGCCTCTCAAGTCAGATGGTCAGCGAGTCCTAGTACTCCTCAATCAATCAGTATCACAATGGCTGCAGTCCCACACTATTACCAGCAATGATCTATTCCAAGGGGTATATCTAAAAAGAAGACTTCGGTGTGAACGGGAACCCCGTCTAGCAACAGACCGCCCACCACCGCTAAAGGACCAAACCAGCCATCTATAAGCCTACTCCCTCTCATGAATAAAACGAAAGGTGGGTATTCCTTATATATGCAAACCATGCCGACACCAAACCCGGTCTCAGAGAACGAACAATGAACAAACCAACCCCAACACTTCCCGATCCAATTCTCAGCTCAGAAAAGAGAGCGTCACGCCACACCAACCTCCACCACACACCATAGCCCAGGCACAACAAGCCCACGCGACGCCCACGACTGAACACCACAAAAACAGCCCCGCGGCACGCCCAAACTCTGCCGCCCACGGGACCGAAATGTAAAGGAACACGACGAGGGACCCGCGCAGTTGAAGAAGCCGGCGCTAACACTCAACCTGGAGCCCCTGGAGCCACTACCTCCTTGGCGCAGCTACATCCAACAACGTGTTTATCAACATCAACCCAACCAACCACTGAGGCGAAAATGGGATTGGGAAGGAAGCAAGTTCGATCGCATGGGAGGGTTTGCTAGGAGAAGGGCTGGGACTCACCGTTCACCATCTGCCTCTGCTTGTTCAGCCAGCTCCGAGGCGCGTCGTGGCGCCTCTGCAGCACGACATGGTTACTCTGCAGGCGGCTGGTGAGGTCGTACCAAGCCGTCGTGATCATGGCGTTTTCGCGCTGGAGATTCTTGATGATTTGCTCCGTAGCGGCCTGGAGAGGAGGAAAGTTGTCAATATTTAGCTGGGAAGTTGATGGTCGGGAATAGAAGGGGTGGGAGAGCAAAACCGGGAGTACGGTCTGATATGATAGACACACAATGGAAAAAGAGTTTGGAGAAAAACATCTGATGTTGAGAAGTCAGACATACCTTCTGAGTCGCATAGGCGCCACCATTCTCAGCAAGCTTAAGCCGTCGTTGTAGGTCAAATTTCTCCTGCTCCGACTTCTCCAATTGCTGTTGTGGTTGAGTCAAATTGTCAGTGCTGACCAGACAAATTAAGACCCCGAACACAATTGTGCAGCAAAACAAAGCTCAAGAAGATGAGGACAGGGATAATTTGCCCAAAAGACGACAAAACCACCCCTTCCTCTTCCTCTTCGACATTTTCTCCCCCTCGGCCTTCGGAGGGACACGGAACACAGTCGGAGACAACGAGGAGCCGTTTCCCCGAATAAGGCCAAATCCTGCTCTAGTTTTTGAGCAGCAAGCGAGAGAGACGGGGACAGAGATGGAGACGAAGAGCTCGTCACCCCCGCTTCAGACACCGCCCCCCTCTCCAACACAACCCTCAATGACGATACCATATACAGCGAATCAATCCTCGGTGTAGGGTCAAGACTCACCTCAATTTTCTGCCTCAGTGCAGCTTTCAGTTTCTCGATCTTCTCGGCATCCTCCTTCTTGCCCCTGGCCTGCTCCTCTTGCGGCGGTTGCTGGTCACCAGCAGCAGCAGACAGAGGAGCAGAAGCAGAGGAGGCTAGCGCATCCTCCAGCCTCTTCTGGACCTTATCCTTGGACACGAGCGCGCCCATGAGCTGCTCCTTCATCTCGTCGAGCTCAAACACCTTCTGCGCGAGCTGGCGACGCGTGGCCTCGAGCTCGGTGCGCAGCGATTTCGAGATGAGCTCGTCGGACGACTTGAGCGCGGTCAGCGCATGCGTCTGCTCCTGGCCGATGGCGTCGACTGCGGCGGTAACGCCCAGGTTGTTAGCGAGGTCTTGAATCAGGGACAGAGAAGAGTGGGGCTGGTAGGGGGAGGTGAAGTAGTCTTGCAACATACGGTCCGTCCTAAGGCGCAGCAGCTCGCGCTCGCGGTCTGAAGCCTCGCGCTCCAGCTCCTGTACCCGCCAGCGGACCTTCTCGAGGTCGCGCGTTGCGGCGAGCAGGTCCCGGCGCATGTTGACAAAGGCGGCGTCCCTAAAGTACCCAGGCATCAGTAAAACAGGGAGAATCGTTGACGGCCAGGACGGCGTCGATGCTGAACACTAACCCTTCGCCCGTCGCGTTGTTGATCAGAGCGTTGATCTGCTCTTGAGCCACGGCGTGCTTCTCCATTGCCTCGGTGCAGTTGAGGCGGTAGTGCTCGACCTTTTGGTTGGCGCTCTCGAGCTCACTGCGCAGTCTCTCGTTCTCGGAGGCTACCGTCATGTTATTGCGGAGGAGTCCATTCTCGGCTTTGAGGCGCTGGAGTTCCAGGCGCAAGGTAACTGTCGGGTCAGCAGTGGTCTCAAGCTCCTGTTCGAGGTTGAATTTGGCAGTACTGGCGCCCGGGCTCTCGGAGCCGGGCTGGGGAATGTCGCCTAGCTGCAGTTGCTCCTGAAGCTCCCTGATGGTGCTCTCGTCCAGCTGGCGTCTTGACTCGAGATACTCGACTCTCCGCTTAAGCTCCTCGTTGGTCTCCTGCAAGACATTCTTTGATTGAAGAGTGTAAATGATCTCCTGCTCATTGTTGCTCAAGACCTTGACCTTCTCCTCAATCTCCTTCTGCAGTCTCAGATTATGCGCCTTCACCTCGTCGAACTTTCGAAGCTCCTGCTCGAGCTGCAGGATCTGCTCGTCTAAGGCGCGGTTCCGCTGTTGTATGACAGTCAAGTCTTGAGCCTTCTTCTTGTAATTCTCCAACCCCTTGATCATCTGCTGCTGCTGTCGGGTCTCGTGCTCCAGGACCGTAACCTTATCTTCGAGATCTTTTAGCCTATCAGCCTTGGCACGCAGCGTCTCGTTCTCCTTCTCAAATCTTGTGGAGCGCGCGGTTTCCTTTTCCAATAGGTCCTCAAGCCGATCGATCTCGGCCATCTTCTCACGGATCTCGTTTCGCAGGTCCCTGATGGCAGACGACGCATCGGAGCCCCTGGCTCGCTTGAGGGTCGTGAGCTCATCTTGGGCGAGCCTTAAATCCTGCAGCATGGCTTCGCGCGTGTCGAGTAGCTTGTCCAAGCGAGACTGCAAGTCGGCATTTTGCTTCTTGAGAATCTCAACCTTGCCCTTCATCTGCTCCAATTCCTCGGCCATGAGCTCCGGGTCCCTGACGGCATGGATGTCGATGCCAGCATCCACATCATGTCCCTGTGGCTCATCCTCTGCCGTCTCCCTGTCCGTCTTTAGTTCGGTCTTCTGGCTGATGATCTTGGCAATTTCGGCCTGGGTTTGGCCGTCGAGCGTGAGGATGTTGGGGACGTAGACCTGAGCAAGGGAGCCCATGCAAGCAGCCGTCAGGAAAGCCGAGAGAAAGTCGCAGAGCGCATTGTCGGTTGGGTTTTCGGCGATGGCACGGAATTCGGAGGGCGACGGGGCGAGCAGGGGGTTGTCGGTGCGAAGGAAGGTGGCCAGGCCGCGATAAACGGTCTCAAGGTTCTGGCGGTTATCGTCCTCTGACTGTGGGTTGAGAATGAGGCTAGACGAATGGAACTCGGGGGCAAGCATCTGCTCGAGGATCTGGCCGAAGATGATGCCGTCGCGGAGGTCCTGCAGTGTCTCGGCCTTGCGCCGAGTACCGAACGTGTTGGCCCATTTAAGGAGGGCCACCTGGGTGAGCGGGCTGTACTGCGTCATGATCGGGCGGAGTGCGTGAGTAGAAGAATGCTGCGGTGTTAAGTTGGATGCAGCACGAGGAACGCGCTCCAAGCAAGTGCCAATTGATGGGTAAGAAAGGAGAAAGTCTTCCTCTCCCTCAGTATGATGTCGAGGGCAGTTGCAGGGCGTTTTTTATAAAAATGGACGCATTTCTCATGGTTCCAAAACACAAAGAAGCCAACAGCTGTGCTAGAAGTGTCGCATACTCAATCAGCTCCAGTCAGGCTGTCCCGCGTCTCATGGTACTGCTGTTCATGTCTGTTCTCGAGACCATTGTTCAGGCGTTTCGGTAAGTACCGAGGGCGGCACATCAAGTCTCGGCGCCAAGATAAATGGAATCCACCTTCAATATCCATACGCTCGCAACGTGCCTACCCTAACCCTTCAATTCCAAACAGCGCAGGCTCCGGCACTTGCCGTCCGCTCATAGGATATGTTCAACAATCTCCTTCACATTCCAAACACAGTTGTGTGATTCTCAGCTTTATCTAATTCATGTAGCTTGATCCCCTTTCGATTTTAAGCGAGCGGCAAGAGCCTCGATCTTACGGATACAACAGGGCTATGCGGATCGCAGTCGGGGGCTCAGCAGGGTCCAGACCACCCCCGTTGCTTAGAATCATCGGCACTTCGACACCTTTTCTCCTTGACATCCGCTCAAGAATTACTGGGATCCAGAGGCTCAGGGATGGAGTCGGTGGACGCGCCATCGAACCAGCGATATTTGTACCTCGCCTAATCAATCGATAATCAACGGCATCAACCCTCCGTTATGTGGCGTTGCCAGGCTCTGCCGGCAAAATCATGCTTGACCTCGTTGATATTGCCTTTCGCGGAATAGAGCGTTTCGCCCAAATGGGCCCGGAGACACTTCCCGATCTTTTCGTCCCCGCACACAAGCTTCTCCGCAGAAGCTCGCTGCGCCGAGGAGCGTGATCAACTCGATTGGTCTTACCCCATCACTGTCAGGGGGCATGAACCTGGAAGTGTCATGTGGGCTTCGAGTCTCGACCCTTGACCGACGAAGTCTCCGGAACCTTCACCTTGGGTCAAGCCTCTCTCACTCCGTCGCTTTATCCGTTCTGAACAGCACGACAACTTCCGACCTGTCACTGAAAACTCCCAACTTGGGCCTGGGGCATCGAATAATCTCTTCTCACTCGTTTTAACATTTATAACCATCGCTTCCGTCGCTGATCCGTGGCTAAGAAATAGCGTGGTGTGGACTCGGCCCCTCCAAAACACGACAAAGAGAAAAACTCAACCCGAGGAGCGGACACCTACGCAGGACCACTCTAGGGAGGAACAAAGCGACGGACCCAAGTGACCAGAGTGGCATATCGCCCTCTTGGACTGCTCAAATCGCTGTCTGATGGGGTAGGAAGGACAAGGGGGCAGGTGTCCATGAAGGTGCACGATTGGATGCAAATGAGGACCGGAGCTGCAGAGTTCTACCCCTGGACTACAACCAGCGAGACGAAAATGCTGCTCTACACAAGAGTTGCCCCTCCTAAACAGCCCAAGAGGCGGTCAAGAGGCGGTGCGTATAACTAGGTGGCCACCTTGAAGTTCCCGTGGTGTCCAGGATGCTAACCGGAGCCGTCGTTCACATGCAGGCTGCACTTACTGGTACGTCATACCTTTCTAACGCTCTATGCTCTGCTCATGTGTCATTCGAGAATTCGTTCTGACTATCCGTGAAGCAAGGAGAAGGTTTGTCGAGAACTATCCCCGTCGCGCTAGCTACCTTTAAGCTGCTGGACATCCGCTGACGGACATGCAGAAAAAGAAGTGCGATGAACAGCGGCCGAAATGCACCCGCTGCGTTGAGCACGGCGTTGAGTGCGCCTACGAGGCTGTGAAGCCACGCCAGCGGAGGAGGCGCGAGTCGGCAACCCCTGCTAGCCCTTCTAGTCTGCACCTGGTCTCCCGCAGGTTCTCAGACGTCAGCCGCTACAGCCATGGAACCGACTTTGGGCGGGAAGACGGCATCCTTCATGGCTTACTGTCGTGCTACCTCGACGATCCTCTTCTTCTCAGCCCATCCGACAGCAATTTTGAAGGCTTAACTCTCCCGCCCCTTTCCCCGAGCGAGCTTCTGGACGGGCACGAAGATGCTCCCTCAGAAGAGGGCAATGCCACAACCGGCACCGCCGTGGTCCCACGCTCCAAGTCTTTCAGCCCAGACCTGGCCATGATCGCCCCCTGCCCTGTCAGCTCCCCGCTGCTGGACTTTTCCGCGCCAACTTTTTCAGAGTTCTCGGACAAACAGAACCGCAGAGCTCTAGTGGACCACTTCTGCAACGTACTATCACATTTGATTGTCTTCCGCGAGGAGACCGGCAACCCCTTCCAGCAGCTGGTGTTGCCGCTCACCCAAGGGAGCTCACCCGTGAAATACGCCATCTTTGCGCTTGCATGCGCGCATCTGGAGTACCGGGGTGTTGAGAATGCGGAGAAATCACTGTATTTCCAAAACATGGCAGTCCGCGGCGTCGCGCAGCTAATCCAACACAGCAGCAAGGCCAGTCGCAACGAGATCTTGGCCTCCATCATGCTGCTAGTTTACTACGAAACCGTGTGTTGCCCAAATGATGAACCAGACCGGGATCAGGCTAACGGCATTACAGCTCGTCCAGAGTGGCCACTCCAACATTGTGGCCGGCCACCTCAAAGGGGCCCTGACCATCATGGGTACGGCCCCGGACCCGGCAGACTCGACAAGTGTCTTCTTGGAGCGTGTAAGTGGCGCCTTCTCCCTCCCTGAACGCACCAGACTCACTATCACAGGCGTTCCGGTTCTACGACGTAATTACAGCCCTCTCCAACGGCACCACGCCGCTCTCGCCAGCGCCCTCGCCAGGCTGCCTGCAACCACTTTCTCCACTCGGCGCGCCCTCCGTCTCGCCGCTATGTAATGTCGACACGCTCCTCGGCATGGCCACAACCCTATGGCCCATCATCCACCGGCTCGCCGGACTGCGCGCCCTTAAAACCGAGCTTGAGACCGCCGTCCTTTCAAACGAGACACCCTCCAAAATCGCTGTCCTCCGCACAGAATTCGAGTCCACCGCCCAAGCAATCGAAACCGCCCTCCTGCAATGGCAACCGCAGCTCCCACCAGGCTTCACCCCATCCTCCGACGACACTGACCTGGACGGGCCCGAATCCACCATCGCCGATGCCGCCCCGCAACCCGCCGACGGTAGCATCCCAGACACCATCACCACCACCACCGTCGACTCCCCGATCCCGACGCATCCGCGAACCCCACCACCACCCCGCGTCCTGCATTCCCAAGACCACTCCCGCATCGCCTCGATCCACAACAATGCCCTCGCCTACCGCCACGCCTCCCTCGTCTACCTCTACCGCAGCGTCCTGGGCCACCCGCGCGCCCACCCGTCGGTGCAATCTCATACCCACCTGGCGCTGTCGCACTGCGTCGCCACCGTACAGCACAAAGGCCCGATGTCGGCGCTGCTCTGGCCGCTTTTTGTTTCGGCGTGTGAGGCGCTGCCTGATTCCTCTGACGGAGGTGGGAGGGATAGGAAGCTGGCGGAACGGGCTTTTGTCGAGGTGGAGAAGAGGCAGGGGATGCGGAATATTGAGAGGGCGTGGGGGATTGTGAGGGAGGTTTGGAGACGCGGGGATGAGCTGGCTGCTTCTTCTTCGTGTTCTGCGTCTGCTTCTGCTGAGGCGGGGAGTGTGGTTGTTGGGATGGATGATGGGGGTGAGCTGGAAGGGGTCGTGGGTGCGAGCGGAGTTTGTGGGGCTGATGCGGGCCGGGAGGAAATGTGGCGGCGGGTGTGTAGGGAGATGGGGGTTAGTATTGTTTTTGGGTGAGGATGGGAAAGGAGTGTCGGGTAGGGATAGTAGGTGGAGGAGGATGAAGGAGGCGGGAATAAATGGAGTGCAGTGCGACGGGGAGGGAAAGCGATGGATGAGAGTAAAGCAAAAGAAGAAAACAAGAAGAAGAGGGATGGGAAAGGGAAAGGGAACAAGGAAAAAGAACGGCGAAGGGAACGCTGGAGGGTGAGGAAGGAATAGGGTTATCCATTGTGGAGGAGCTTGGTCGACCTCTACCCGTTGGAACAGCAGACCGGCGGTGTTAGGGGCTGGGCCGAGTCTGCTGTCGGTATCTAGCCGGCGCAATCCTACCACCAACAGTGTACGTCCTGGATGATGTACAATACGTGGTATGGCTCAGGGGATACGGAGAAGAACACGGTTGTCTTTTTGGCGTAGCCAGCTCGGGGTTGGGCAGGGGCAAGGACGATTTGGTGAGAGGGAGTTTATCTATTGGTTATTTGGAACCTGCACAAACTAGTTTCTCTTGGGGGTAATACAAGTGTATCTGCCACGGGAGGTTTAACTCTATAAATGCTCGCCATGCCCCATTTAATCCTCTTCCCCCATGCAATAACGAGTCGGAATTTTGGACGAGCCCTCTGTTGATGGAAACAGTGATGGGGTCAGGCCCCTATCCTGGCCAGTCCGCGGACTACCTGCCTATCGAGGGAATCATCTCGGCAGTCAACGTATCAAGAGGCATGCCGAATTCTCAACGGCGGCGGACATGGCTTCGGGCAGGGCTACGACGTCAACAATACCCTCACTCCATGGAGTCATATCCGTAGCACACTTCCCGGCCGCCTGTCTGCCGTGAAACGTTGAAAATCCGGTATCGGGCTTGATCTCTGCCCCTGGGTAGGCGATGAAACATCACATTATCTCCGTAAGAGTTGACTGGACAGTTTATGCCATTGGGGAGTGTAAGCCAGGGCGCCAGCTGTCAACGAATGAGTGCTCGGCCCGGATCAGGTGTGTTCCTGCGTGGGTTGCAGCGCCTTTTCAGATGCCGAACAGCAAGAGGCTCCCTGGGTACATGCTTTATCGCCAAAGGAGATTGGAGAAACAATGAGAAGGGCATTCTGGCTCCTCTGACTTGGATCTCTTGTGGCGAGGGGGAGAACATGGAGGCCTTTGCTGTGTCTCGTTTAGGCTATTTGGAAATGCGGTTGGTCCAGCTCAGTTCCCTCAAATATTGAACCTTTCACTTTGGAGGCTGTGGTCTTGACGAAATGGTTCCAGGACGGCTGCATGCTCTTCTGCCCATGCAGCAGCGCCCTCCGAACTCGCTTCCAGCAATGGGCACATAATCTAGGTGCGGCGGTTGGCCGATTTGCCATGTAGTCACTTAGGTAACTTTGTGCGTACGACGGTTGTGAAGGTGCTGGCGGGCCAGATAGCCATAGGGTTACCGCATGTAGACGAACGAAAGAGCGGACAGGGCATCGGTGCTTCAACGAGCGAAGATATGAGCGTTAACGTTGATTGCCAACGATCAGACAAGAGCGTGGACATAAAACGCAGCGGCTGGTCAGACACCAGGCAGGGGAGAAGATGGGTACCACACGGGAGCGGCCCGGTCAGAAAGCACGTTGATTAATGCCACTAACGCTAATCGGTTTAGGGCTTGAATAGCTCTGACAAGAAAGGTGTGCAGAACTTTTTGATTCTTGACGCCAGGAGCAGAGTATGGAATTCTTAGTCTTGTCGGGAAAAATGCTTTTTCTTTCTAAATGACTTTACTGTACTTAACGTTCGTGCTTGTCATCTACAACCCCCTTGATGAAGGCTATGTATTGTATAGCAATCGAGATGGGCACGGACGATTCGTGGATTGTGGGGAATGTGGAGAGCGCAGACGGGTTCCAGACCACATCAGACAGCAACCTGAGTGGCCGGAATGGAGTGGGGCGCACCCCGCTATCTCCTCAGCTCTGAACTTTGCCAGATGGGTTGAGCCGACAGTTGGACTTGAAGGAACGGTTGCTGACAAAAGAAAATCATGATGAAGACGAGTCGCTTCGGGTGTGAAGAGGGAAGCACCTTATAAATCGTCTGCGGCCCCCATTGGTGCTTTGCACAGGCAGACAGCCCAACATCCTGCAGCCCCGGCCAAAATAGGCGTGTTGGTCAGATCTCGCAGGACACGGCAATCCGTCGCAGCATCGTGGGATGACCATGCGAGAGACACACGGGAGTAGTTGCGCCCTGCCGTTGTGCGCTGTCGAGATTCAGATGTGGAAGAACCAGCGAAGTCAAGGACCTGAAAGCCGAAAGTGCTGTGTCTGGCTGGAGCCATGGGCGATGCCCTGGGCAGCATTGATCTCGGCCAAGCAGAAATTCCGGGAGGAAGCTTTTCGAGTTGCATGCATGGGATGATACCCGTTCCGTCTGATTACTGGAGTTGAAACTATTGGGCCTTGTTTCGCTTGGGCAGTCCAACCGTTCTGAGGCATCGCGCCTCGCATTCTTAGCGATGCTGCCCGTTCCTCCCGCCCGCTCTCCCCCCAATTTTGATCCATCTTCTTCCCCCCTCTGCTCTCGCATTTTCATCCATCGAGCGAGAGAGACTGCCCGAGGAGTTTTAGCTTCATCGCCACCGCTCTGGTGTGCAACGGTATACCCCTCGTTTCAGTCTTGGAAGCTGGAGCTTTGATTCGAATTCCAACCAACCGGCAACGCTTCGAAAACCGCACCAAAACTTGCAACAGGCTTCGATTGCTGATCCTCGCCCGCAGTTCACCCGATTCAACCGACCTCTTTACGGCTACTGCACTCCGTTCCTAGGCCGGCAAAACAAGATGACTTACTCCAAGGCTCTTCACCTTTTGTCCGCATTATGACCATGCTGTGCCTCTGTTGATCGCCACGATCGAAACCCTGACGCTCTGGGAAGCAACGTCCGCTCACACTGCAGCGCCAAGCTGACAGTCGACGCCCATCATCGCCATCATCACCCACCAGGTTGCTGAGGTTCCTGGTCTTCTCCCTCTCGATTTACGTTCCAGCGCGGCCGTCTCTCGTCATCAAGGACTCGGACTTACCACACCGAGTCCGCCCCAGTGCCACGCCTCGGCTCACCATGGTCTTGCTATGAGGAGCCGCCGACATGACCACCCCTATCCACGGAGCCCTGCCGCCGCCCAAGCAAATTCGCTTTGTGAATAACCAAGGCCAGCCCCCGTCCAAGCGACGGAGGATCAATGCAGCGTACGTTGCCCCTCTTTCTCTTGTACCCTGGTGTTGCTGTCACAGACCCCGCCCCACCTCTGTGCTCTCACCGCCGGTGGTGGGTCTGGGTCCGGGTGACGAGCGCGTGGCGGGCATCTCAACCGAATGGAACTCTAAGAGCGCCCTAGGTGCTTGACATGCCGTAAGAGGAAAACCAGATGTGCAGGCGAGAAGCCGGATTGCTCGACCTGCAAGAAGAATGGGCATGTCTGTCTGGGGTACACAGACATCGTGGAGAGGAGGCGGGACGACCGGCGAGATGCCGCCTTCCTCATACTCAAGACCGAACCTGCCGAGCCGCATACCCTGAGCAATGGCACCTTGGACGATTGTTTGGAGGACGACGATGAGCTGGAACACCGCCGTTGGGGAAGCAAGCCTGCGCCTCTGCCCGCGGGCTTCGTCGAGGACGTCGTGTCCGGGAGCGATTCGCGTTCCAGCACCACAGTTACACCAGGTCGCCCCTCGGAAGCCAGCGATGATTGGAATCAGGATACCAAGTCGCAGGGCTCAACTAACGCAACCAGGCGTTCCAATGCGCCGAGGAATGTCTCCTACTCGGAGGACAGCCGCAGTTCAAACAACCGCTCACCCGTCCATCTCGAACGGCACCGGGTGCCCTACTTCCGGTATTTCGGGCCAACCGCCATAGTTCCAGGTTTCAAGCAGATGGTGGTGGCTGTGTACCGAGACAGCAGGCGAAAGAGCCGAAGTAACTCCTTCTCGACAGCCTCTCCAGGGTCACTGTTGAGCCACGGTAATTCCCGCAGCAACACCTCGCACCACGAAACTGCCTTGGAGACGCTCGAGGATCTGCCCGTGTACGACGTGAACAGCTCAGGCCCGGTCCATCCCTTGATTGTCGAATTAGTCGAAACCTTTTTTACCTATCTCGGCTCCAACTACCATTTTCTGCGCAAGGGTCGCTTCCTAAGCATGCTAAAGGAGAAGAGGATCGAACCCATCCTGGTCGACGCTGTGTGTGCCCTCGCTGCCCGCTTCTCCGACCGCCCCGTCTTCAGGAATCAGCACGACGGGAAAATGAAGCGGTCCGAATACGGCCATGTGTTTGCGCGGCGGGCAAAGTCTGCCATCGTCGACACTTTCCCTTGTCCCTCGGTTGCTGCTGTTCAGGCCTGCCTGCTGATAGCCTACGAGGGATTTGGCGCCGACCAGGACAGTGCCCTATGGATGTACCTCGGCATTGCCATCAGGATGGCCGTGGATCTCGGTCTCCAGAAGATGGAGGGTGTCAAGTACCAGGGGGAGCGCGACCCCTGGTACACTCGATATTGGAGCCGCAAAAGCACGGATGAAGACGGCCCTGACAGCAAGGATAACGACGAAGAGGCCCTGAGCCGGGACGAGCAGAAGGAGGTCGAACAGGAACGCATCGATACGTTCTGGGCCATCTTCGTCCTGGACCGCGTCATCTCTTCGGGCACCGGTCGGCCTGTCACCTTCCGAGACGACGATTATGAACTGTCGCTCCCGCCGCAGGCCTTTGACCCCCTAACCAAATGCCCTGCTCCGTTTCCTCCTTTTATTGAACTCATCCACCTGTACGGCCGTGCCTCTGACGTCCTCAACAATATCCGCAATGCCAACGACCTCACCGAGGAGAAGATGAACCAGCTTAAGATTATGGAAAGAGACCTGACGGCCATCTACCAGAAGCAGCACAGCCGCCTCCACTTCAACGCCGTCAATTTCCAGGAACAAGTGAGCGCGAACCAAGGCACCACCTTCATTCTGCTGCATTTCTGGTTCCATGCGCTGGTCATCATCCTTCATCAGCCCACGCTCCTCACTCCGTTCCATAGCCTGAGGCCGGCACAACTGTTGGCGAACAGCCCTGAGCTAGGGAACAGCCGCGAGCTGTCCATGTCCAGCGCGAAGACAATTGCCGATATCCTTGCCTTTGCCGAGCTCATTGACCCCAAGAGCTTGATTGGCAACCCATTCACCTCGCAGCCCATCTACATCGCTGCTTGCGCCTTCTTGATGGAGTCGGTTGCCAACACCTCACAACCTCCGTCCCCCAAGGCTTCGCCAACCCCCGATGTCAAACCGGCTGATCACTTCAAGTCGCATGTTGGCAGATATAACTCAAACCACGACCCGCGACCCGTGAAGCATTCCTTGCTTGCATCCGCTGCCAACCAGAACTACCAACGCTGTTACAAGTCTCTCGAGCAACTGGAGCAGTACTGGGGCGGCGTGCGCTATATACTTCACGCCTTGGATCAAAAGTCAAAGGGCATCTGGGACTGCGAGACATTTACCACCGAGGAATACGAGGCGATGATGCTGGCACGGCGAGGTCCCCTGAGTCGGTTGTCTAGGTTCGAGCATCCCTCCTCGCCCAACGTTCCGCCTATTGCATACTCGCTTACCGGCACCACCAATTCTCCCAACTCCAACCTCACCGTCCTCTTTCAAGGCAGCGTCTCAGCGCAGCCTGGGGCGCCCACCGCTTCCACGACGTCGCTGCCGCCGCATCCACAGCTGTCGTCTGCCCCAACCTCTGCACCCACTCCGCCGGGCAATATGGTCTACGACCCTATTCGACAGAGCCTCCCCCAAACGCCCTCTCCCTTCCCGCCCGGATACGTACGACCCAACTTCTCGGCCGTGCGCTTCGAGCCCCATCCGTCCAAAGCCCACCGGCTCTCCCAGTCGCCTGCGATGAGCAAGTCGATGATGAAATACGAGTCGCGGTCCCCGGGCGACATGGATCAAAGCCCGCACCACGACACCAAGTCGCACCTCTACGGCATGTCGCGATCCAACCACGGCCCGCTCCATCACTCCTACAGTTACCCCGCACAGCAGAACCACTCCCCGTACGGCTCGGTAAACCACGACCGCTCCTCCTCCAGCACGCCAATCGACTCCGGCGTGGGCCAGCAGCATCATCACTCCTCCCACAACAACCAAAGCCATATCCATGCCCACGATCACCACCGGGACAGCGACATGGAGCACCACCTCCACCAACAACAACATCACAATCATCACCACCAGCATCACACCCAGAATGAGAACAACAGCAATAACAATCCTGACGACGGAGGAGACTACGAAGGAGAGGCAGGAGCGGACTTTGCTCAGAGCGGACTCGTCTCGGGCTCGTATTCGTACATGGCAACGGCCGGCCTGCCGATCAACTCGAATCCGATCAACAACGACACAATCACGTTCAACAGCCAGGAGGTCAACTTTGACATGCTCGGCCTGCACAGCGAGATGATGCCGCCTTGGTTGGAGATTTTGCCCGGAGACGTGCTGGGGGAGTTGTTTGAGGGCGGGATGGTCGGGGTTGGGGTTGGGGCTGGGGAGCATATGGGGTAGGGGATGTAGGACGGGAGTTTTCTCTTGGTCTGTGGTTGGTCTATGGGCAGGGAAGAGAGTGGGACGGAGGGTAGGTGGGTGGTTTGTTTGGTTGGGCGCTTGGGCAGGGCCCGGGTCGTGTGATCGATGAATGGGTTTTGGGCATGGGTGTGACTGGGGTGGGTAAGGTTGGATGTGAGATGAGTTTGATGATGTGCCGGGTGGTGGATTGCAATATGGTGGTATTTTGCGGCGTTGTTTACGTTACGTTACGTTTTGGTGTCCGTTTGTCGACGTGTTTCGTGTTTACTCTGCCTTTCCCCATCTGACGTCTCCTGATCTATCTACCTGACGTTGATATCACCACACACTCTCCTCAGGACTACCAAAATGGGGATGATCGGGATTGAACAGTTGAGAGGGACTCAAATGACTACGGACAGAGTGGTGGATATCTCGTGAGCTTTAAGTGTTAACAGTCGAGGCTTTTCGTGCCCAGGTTGAGATAAGCAGTGGGATTGACTGGATATCTGGTGGGCCTGTTTTCCTCTCGGATTCTGTTCTCAGCTGCTGTGATCACTTTCATACCACGCATCACACGCCCGGTAGGCCCACAGTGACTTTCACGTTATTCTATTTCTCTTATTTTTTTTTTTTTGGTTTATTTTTTATTACCTGGCGCACGGGAAGGAATGGATGGAGAATGGAAAGGAACAGGACCAAGAAAAGGCAGGGCAAATTCAAGAAGGGCGACGGGGAAGAAGGACGGTTTGCTGTCATTCATCAGGGCTACTTTTATCATACTCGTCAGTCCTGATACATGTTTTCTTGCGGTGGAGTCCGTGGTGCTTTTTTAGCGAGCGAGCGAGCGAGTTCTGTGAGGTTCAATGTGATATCATGCTTCGGTGTGGGATACATTTCTTGCATGACTCGGGCTTCAGATTGCGTGCCATACTTCACCGAGGAAAAGAGGACGCCATAGCCCACATGACTTTCTGTAGGATCCCGCTGTAGGGCGACTGAGGAGATGATATCTAAGGTATGTTCAGAGTGTTGTGGATGGTTGTGTCAGGGGGGGAGTGCGAGTACGGTAGACAATTCGCAGCAAAAGCGGGGATGAGAGCCGTCGACTGCACAGCAGCGAAGAGTGCACAGCTCGAAATTCTTCGATCAAATTAAATCATCCTCAGCTGAAGGCCAGAGAGCGCCGAACGAGAAGTCCACTCTCTGAGAGATTTGAATGCGAATCCCAACCCAGCCCGAACTCTCCTCTCCACGCGGCGCGAAAATGCCACTCCAGGAATCCTTCAGCCTCGAGTCCGCCAATTATTTCAAACACAAACTCACTCGCGACAAGGATAGCCAAGCAGTGTTCTGGATGTCCAGCTTTGGCGAAAGCGTTGCTCGCTACAGGAATGCGGGCGTCACATATGGCCTCGGGTCGTGGGGATACACTGGTCAGGCCCTTTGCTACTGGGAATGCCCCTCCAGTGATTTTCCTGTCGTTACCGTTGGGGCATCGCTAGAATAGTCCTGCGAACCGCCTCTTCGGACGAGGCGGATGCGCTCTGGCCGATGGCGATGGAGAAGCTGAAGCGCTGGGCCACACGGTACTTTGTTCACTATACCCGTTTCATTGACGGCAAGCCGGATCCGTCAGCCAACGAAGATATCGCGAGCCGCTTTGCCCTGGATGTTCTGGACGATGTATACACGGTGGCGGAGATCCAGGCGCTGAACCTCCCCCGTGACCTCTCACAGGCAAGCCAGGAGGACATCAGGTCGCTCACGCGCTTTTTTGATGCCTGGGCTGAAGGTATTCTTAGCAATACCATGGGTGGTGTTGGCATCGGTTGCGGTGTTCGTAATGATCATGATGAGATCGTGTTTGACGCGGTGACAACCCGAGGTTATGCGACTTCCTGGTTATTGAAGGGACACTTCGCTCTCTTGCCAGACTCCTCGATGAGACGCCGCCATTGGATATAGTACCATAGGCCGAAAGATTAGTAGGTTTTCCCCCTCGGTACTACGATCTTACCTACCTCAGGCACTAAGCATCTCACTCGCATCATCTAGGCTCGTACCGCACTCTATGGCCATGCCTACGTTTGGCTGGTCGACTCACAGGCTGTTAGATCCTTGCCGGCTTCGAGGATATCCGGGCGTCTGATGCGGGCGGCTGCTGAGAGAACTCTGCCACAATGGCTGGCTGAAACTGGAAGCTTCTTTATTAGCCGATGCCTGATTCGAGAGGCTCACGAGGTTGAACTATGAATGCTGGTTTTCTTGCTCGCCGCAAGAGCGAGCTGGGGTCGGGAACTGGTGGTTTCGGCCTTCTTAGACGTGGACCAGCACTCTATTTAATTTGATCTCGGTCAAGGCGGCCTTTGGACGGCTCGGGCAGTACGAGCCCGGGATGTGCTCCAACGTGGCCCTTGACCGCACCGCGGTATCCCGGGGATTCGCGCTCGCCGACCACGCCCGTCGACACCTTGAGCCACGCCAGTGCGGACGGGACGAACTCGTAGAGCCACACATCGCGGCTCTGTTGCGCCTCGAACGCGCGGTCCTGACAGTCCTCAGTTTTCGGGCAGTACTGGGTGTAATCGTTGAACCAGCCAACAGGCTTGTCCCGAGCATGTAAATCGAGGGCCGATCGATGACTCCGACGGCCCACGAGTAGGCGCATCCCGACGAGGACGTTGCGCCCACGCAATCAGCGAAGTCTGGATTGTTGGGAAAGAGGCCGATGGTAATCGGAGACGGCGCTTTGGGAATGGCTGGAAGTTGGGCGACTTAATCTGGATCATACAGACAGCTGCTGCAGTCCCAACTGCTGTATCTCTCTAGCTATCCACCAGGTCACACAGAGGGTGTAAGCAGTAAACACTTGGAGCACGAAGGTCAAACTTCAGAGTCTGTTTATATACATGACACTAGGTCCGAAATATGTACAAATGTAATAGCAACGCAACCTTCCCGCCGGCCTCCATTAAGGCTCCAGTTGCAACGAGAGAACGTCCCATGACCCTTTACACATCTATACATCATAAATCAACGATCATTATCCGATTTCCCACTATCTCCCTCCTACCCCTTACAGCTGCGCCTGCGTCTTTCCAAGCTTCTTGGAACAAAACGCCCCAAAGTACGCATTCAGTGCATCGACCGTGGCGCTCCCCTCCTGCAGTGCCACCACGACACCAACGTACCCGTCCGGCCGGACGACCACCACGCCGCCTTTCTCCTCGTCCAATCCCATCTTGGCGTGCGCGCACGCTTTAGCCTCTGGCACGCGGCGGTCCCACCGGTCGTCGGCGTACACGTGGTCCCTGTACCGGGCCAGCAGCGGGGGCAGGTCGCGCGAGATCTCGATCTCGGGGCGGCGCGCGGCAAACACGGTGCAGATGGTGAAGAAGAGCGAGTGCGGGTTATGGCGCTCATGGTGGCTGACGCGGTCGATGTCCGGGCGGGTGTAGGCGGTGTAAAACGAATCCTTCTTGGCCATGTTGGTCGCGAGGTCGCGCAGGGCCTGGGCGGTGGTGGTTGGTTTGCCGGCGAAGACAAAGATGCGGAATGAGCCGTTCAGGGGGATTTCCTGCTCGAGGTGGACGACGTTGGCGTCGACGACGCGAGTGACATCGGCGTTGATGAGCAGGCGGCCCGGAACGAGCTTGGTGGAGTTGGGGTGCACGACGTGCGACTGGGCCGGGTGGGAGGGGGACCAGTTGAGGGCGTTGGCCTTGTAGGCGACGCCGTAGCCGCTGGTGAACTCGCAGGATTCCTTGAAGGTCTTGATGAACTCGTTCTCTTCGTGGTCGCTGTTGGCCTGGGCTGAGGCAGCGGCGACTTCGTTCGCGGCGGGCGGCCGCTGGGAGAAGAGCTTGGCGTACTTGTTGTCGAAGGCCAGCAGCGTCTCGGCGACGTCCTTGCGCTCAGGCTCGTACGTCTTAAGGATCTCGCGGTTGGCGAAGCCGGCCTCAACGGCGTGGATTTTCCACGCAAGGTTGAGCGCATCCAGGAACGCCGTGTTCATCCCCTGGCCGGCCTTGGGCTGTTGTATCTGGAGTTAGCTCGGCTCTAGCTTAGTGCTGATGTCGTGAAACTCACGCTGTGGGTGTGACAGGCATCACCGCCGAGGAAGACGCGGTGGTCCAGAGTGTATCTGTCAGAGATACCCTGGCCAATGGGATAGACAGAGTACCATTCCACCCTCTCCCACTCGATCGAGTAGGGCTGCAGGATTCGTTTGGCGGAGGCCTGGACTTCCTCCGCGGTCGCTGTTTTCCGTGGGTTGAAGTCGGGGTCGGTAGAGGAGGCGATCTGGATATAGAGACGGACCATGTTGTTCTCGCGCGGAATAACCATGATAGAGCCGTGCTCGGAGTGGATTGTGCATTTCATCTAGATGCGCATAAGAAGGGGGACCGCTGTTTGCAGATTGGATTCGACATACCTTGATATCGGGAAAGTCTGTCTTGACGACGCCGTCCATGACACCCCACACGTAGGCAATGGGGTCTTTGTGCTTGATGCCGATCTTGAGCTGGTCACGGATAAATGACCGCGCACCCTCGCCGCCAAACAGGTACTTCGCCTTGATGGTCTCCTTGGCGGTGCCATCGACATGCTCCAGATCAACCGTGACCGGGTAATCGGGATTCTCCTTCTCGTTGGACGTGAAGGCTTTGATGGTCCACGGCCTCTGGACCTTGACGCCGTTCTTCTCGAGGTCGGCGATAAAGACGCGCTCGATCAGGCCCTGATGAAGGAGGGTGGTAAAGGGGTATCTGGCGTCGATGAAGCTGGGGCAGCTGGCCCAGGTGCCGGTCCTGACAATGCCCTTGCCGGCCTTTGGCGGGTCCCAGAAGGCCACTTCATAGACACGAGCGGGCTTGTGAGCCATGATGGCCGACTTGAGGCCCATGTTCCGGAGCAAGTCGAGCGAACGGGGCTGGATACCGTCAGCCCGGCCAGTCGGAGTGGGCTCCGCCCTGTTGTCGATGTGCTTGATCTTGTAACCCCATCTCGCCAGGCAGGTCGACAGCATCAAGCCGACGGGGCCGGCGCCAACAATGACTGCGAGTTCCGTCAGTGAACTGTATTGAGGATAAAGTTAGGGAGTTCTCGGCTGACCAATGTCATAGTGGCTGGGGCTCAGGTGTCTATCAGCTGAGCCAACCATGATTTCCTGTTTGGGTATCTCAGAAACGGAAATGTGCAAAGAAGAACGGGAACGACAGGAGCACTGGGTATCTCAAAGGAAAAGCGAAAAGGTTGAATGAGGTGGTGGAACGGAGACATTCAGATTCAACAACATCTGGGAGTCACGGGCACAATATTTGAAAGCCGAGAAGCCAGAGCCCCAGGTACCTTGCGAGATCCGCGTTGAGATCCCGAACGTCGGGCTAGAGCTACGGAGAGAGCATATCTGGTGGCTTGTGGAACTAGATGGAGTTGGCGTACCCAACAGCACGGCAAGGAGTTCGGGAAAATGCAGCGTCTGATTCGGGCTGATGAAAGAGCGAGCGAGAGGCGAAGACTAATAAGGTACTCGTTGACACGGCGCGCAAGAATTCGCAAGAACCTGGAACGCGGCTCAAGGGAAGCAAGGGTTCAAGGCAATGCAACATTGCGGCCTCGCATTCACAAACGGTCAAAATCCATTGTGGGGTTGACAGCGCCACCAATCTGTGACGTTTGTTTCCAGAACTTTTTGCTGGTGATGGGCTCGGGTTGGAGCTGGCATGTCGGGCATGTGGGATGAGGATTGAGGAGGGGGATCATCGGGACTTTGGCACGGGACTTCATCGGTGGGGCCGTTGTGGGGCTTGGTGATCGGGAAGCAGAAACGGGCAGGCACGCTGCGGGTTCTTGGAGACAGCGTTCCACAGCAACCTCCAACGGCGCCGTAGTTTTTGTCGCTATTGGGCCTGCGTTGCGTCTTGTCTGCGTCACAGTTCAGTGTCCTGTAGCGCAGCCGTACCCGCTAGCCGGCGCACTCATCTGAGGGGTGAAGAGGACCGCCCGGCAACTCCCTTCATCCTTTCCATTGCCTACTCTACCGTATTGTACACTTATCTGCATGGGCCGGCTCGGGTCCCGGCCTTGATAAGAGCCGCATTTGGCGGGAGGGACTCCGTAACGGCGAGCGGCTTGGAATTCGGGAAACATTCCAAGTTCCACATGGTTGTCCAACGACCGGTCTTGGCACGCGTTTGACATGGAGCAGCACTTCTAGCGCGCTATCCATGGATTGGGAATGCCCAATCTAGCACAAGTCCAGTGAGGTGAGACAACTTTCAGTTCGACAATCGCCTCCTGATCTTATGATGCTGCCGTATCACAATTTTCCGGTGCCGAATTCACCTTTTTGGCTCGCTCGAACCAGTGGACCTTGCGAGGATGGTCAACCCATGGCGGGTTGGGAGGACGGAAGATACCCGACGGCGAATTTGGCCTAGCTGGCGCGTTGGCTCTCGATCGGTCAACGATGGCTAAAGCGACGGGATGCTCGAAGGGTCGTCGTCCATGGGCCCGGTGAGACACGCCTCCTGCTGCGAGATGGAGTTGCAAGGCCGAGGTCAGAATTTGAGTGCATTCGGCTCAAAAGATGACGCCACCGTTACCGTCGTGAGTTTGTAGGAAAGGGTTGCTTCATCGACCAAGGAAACATCGGACAGTCGGGATCCAATAGCAACGGCATCCGGCCATCGACGTGTTGGCCGTCCCTCCAGACCACGGTTTATGGGTGCAGCTAGATACGGCCCCCAATGGAGCTGGCCCTCCTTTCGAGCGTTGTATGTCCTGGCCTTGGGCGGGGGCCAACCCTCCCGGCGGCAAGATTCGACATCTTTGACATCGGTGTGCGCAAAGCCGGGAGGCATACCTGCCGTTCCTTCTCCTTGCTCAGCATAGGTTCCAGATGCTGTGGAAACCCACTTCCGCTACTATCACTCCGCTGGGTCAATTCTTTGATTTCAAAAATATCGGCAGAATACTCTTCTTGGTTTCGGAGGTGAAGTATGCTCTGGACGGGCACAGAACGATGCAGACTTCTCAAACAGTTGCTCCTTTGGCCCCTCTCATACTGTGTGGGAAGGCTTAAGAATGGAACCGGGGCAAATATGGTCAGTATGGGAGTGTCGAGCACCGAGAAAGGGGGTGCAGGAACCCATCCCTCGCAATCCCATCTTTGGGTGGACCCGCGTTGTTTGAAAAGACTCTGACGTGAGCTCGCACGATTTTCTGCTTGTGCCAGACACGATCGACTTCATCATTTTTACTTATTCCGAAAGACCGCCTTGGACGACCCTCTCTGAATGCGCCGCAGCCGAGCGACAAAGCCGTGTTGTGCTGAAAAGACCCGGTTACTTCTTTGCTCTTGCATCGAGAAAACCGCCGATTCTTGTTCCGTTTTCCTCAAGCGTCCAGCGGGGACGACGACAGTATGGACCACGACCCTCGCGAGTCAATCCTGTCTATTGGATCTATCCATGAGATAGGCCTCGCGAGGCAGCTGACATTCTCCTCGGTTAGGGCAGAGATGGTGACGATCGGAAGGCCTTCATCAGAGACTACCTTGCAGCAGCTGGCTCTTTTGCGATATGAACCCAGCCAGGACGTCGGTGCGGATGACGGTCGGGAGCAGGTCGTTTATGGCGTGGGTAAGTTCTCCGCTTACGAATCTCGGGTCGTTTGTTGAGCCTCCTTTCTAAGAATCGGGTAACTAGATGGCTCGCAACAAACGGGATCCGAGAAGGTCGCCAGACAGGGTTCGCGTAGACGAGCTGTTGGACCGCGGGTGCTGTTCGTGGCCGATGAGGACGAGTGGTCGACTTTTGCAAACCCAGACCGTTTACATGAATGGCCCGACAGTTTCACGCACTGGCATATCATCTGACTCGGTCGCACCAGAGTCCTGAAGACAACAACACCGCGAGCCCGGAAAATATGGGCACCTCGCACCAAATTAGTCACCAAGACTCAGAATTCCGCGGCAAGTTCATCCCTCTTTTCAAATCCTTCAAAGAGCAGTCGACACCACCTCCCCGCCGGCAGGAGCCCCGCATTGTTTACCTCCCGCTTAGCTTGACTGACTCGCAGATGGATCGACTGGCATCTGTGTAAGTATCCGTCAACATTCTGATGGGTTCCGCTAACGGTTCCAGGCTGTCCTCCGAGAGCGACAACGAGCCGCGTCCTCGAGGCAGGGCCAGGATTGATGACCAGAAAGCCGACACAATGAGCAAAACCGGCGAGGACCATCCGGCACCGAGGATGCGGTCCCGGTCGCCCGCAAAGACATACCAGTCTACTATTGCCCCTCTCGCGCGCTCTCGTTCCCCAGTGAAATTCAACCTTAGCAAGACCCCCGAGAGCCAGCGCACTCTTCAAGGCTTCCAAGGCAACACCTCGAGCTCTACGCCTAGCAAATTACACGAGACTCGCTTCGAAGGCGACACCCCTACTGCATACGGGACTCCGAGTCGTAGCGGTCGCGCACCCAAATAGCCTGACACTGACCTCGCCCAGGCTCACGCTCACATGGCGGCCCCGCGTGTTGGCAAACAGCCTGCGGTTATCGTCCACAATCCTTCCGAGCGAACGCCCTCTCCCGTCCGTCAGCCCAGTCAGTATCCCATGGTGGACGATTCGTCGTTCTATTACTTGCGAGACTCGGCTGGAGAGCGCTGCCCTTCCCGTATCGGCCCTCTCCATATTCACAGGGACAACGAACCCAAGCATCTCAGCATTCTTCAAGAGTACATCGATCAGAGGAGTTCGGTGCGGGACTCGGACAGGGCATTACTGGAGCTTAATCATCAGGGCACTCAGGATGAAGCCTCCAGCGGCGCAGAGCTTGCCTACACTCCGCTGGCGCCCTTTCTTTCCAAGGATGTCCCGTCCGTAAGAAAGGCATCCAAGGCATTGATCGGCGAAGGTGGATGGCTCGAGAACACCACCAAGCGTGATCAGGCAGCATCCCCTACCCGAGCTGGCGGGCTCCTCGGCAACTTGGTATAGAAGGCCAAGGAGATGGCAAGTCAAGTCACCTTGCTCCCTTCCCTTCTCTGCACCTCACTGACTAACACCTCCTCGCAGATCGAAGGCAACCAAGACAATTGTTCCCAGCGCAAGTCGCGCGAATCTGACAAGAGCCGGCCGCCCTCGCGCCAGCTGGCCATTTCGCTTAGCCCGGGCGAGCAGAGCCTTCTCTACTGCGAGCTCGAGTTCATCCTCACGACGGCGATCAACGACTACATCACGGCGAAGTTCGCCGCGGGGCGGTTTGAGGCCGATTGGCTGAAGGAGGTGGCCGAGGACTGGTAGCGCAAAGGCCGGCTCAAGGTGGTCGGGTTCCGCTACGACATGGAGACACAGTTCGACCTCGTGCGCATGCACGTCAACGACTTCAAGTTTTACTTGCGTGTTGCTGCGTCGACGGCCATTTTGGGGGTTATCGATACGGCAAAGGCTAATGCTCGTGTTCTGCGTGTCAGGACCTTCTGCCAGCCTGATACTGTTATTGCGAAGCAGTTGCTCGCTGCCCAGGGCTTGTTCAATATCCTCGGCTGTCCAGAGGACCAGCAGATCAAGTTGGCGGAGATCATTGCGTTCTTCAAGGCGGTTATTGAGAGGCAGCGCATCCAGGCGCTGCAGGGGCAACAGTAGCAGGGTGAGGTTGTTGCTTCATCTTCGGCAGCGGTTGTGTCGGCGACGTCGCCGGTGCGGAATAGCAGGAGCCCCGCTCGCCAGGGCGATGGTTTGTGGGGGACGACTGCTGCTGCTGCTGCCGTCAACACTACTGGCCAATTGAAGAGGAGCAAGTCGCATGGAGCTGGAATGATGGATCCGGCTGTGTATGAGTCGTAAGGTGAGGAAACTCCTGATATGCGGCGGGCTTTGTTTGGGTTATCTGTTGAATGGTACAGTTGCTGATACGGGGAGAGGGCTAGGACTGGCAAAGCCTCCTGGAATCTTTGGCTGAGCATCATGCTGGGAGTTCACAGCCGCTTTTCTCTTACATTAGGCTACGGCGTCCCGGCGGTATGGCATGGTATGGGGTGCAGCATACCCCTTTGGTTGTCTGGCTGGGATGGGCGTTACACATACCAGAGGGACTGGGAATTTTATCTGTGGAGTTTGGCAGGTGACGGATAGCTGTTGTTCGGCGTGTAGGGTTACACTTTGATGTTGGCTTTTCTGACAAATCATTCACGGAGCATCTAAGAGTTTCTCAGGGTGTGGGTTGTGTGCTAGGCAACAGTTAGGGAGCAGCATGACCGCGTTTCCTGCGATGCTGGGTCAGGAGATATGGACATTACTCCTGTTTCTAATTCTCGCAACAGGTATGGAGTTACTGGTGAGTTTTCCTGGTTCTGTTCACAGTAGCTTCTGAGTCCTCATCCACTGTGACAGGAGAGATGGTTGTCTTCAGAAGCAAGCTCAGCAGGGTACTTGGGGGCTTTCGTAGGAGGGGCCGTGCGCAGCAATGCTAAGAGCCCTCAGTTAGTCCGTACATTATATAACCCTAACCAAATCCTGTGCCCTTGGAAGCAAATTGGCTTGGCATTTTCAGGACTGATCTTCAAGCTCCCAATTGCAGCTTCCAAGTTGCACCACTTTGGAATCGGGGCAATGGCGGCAAACCCGCCGGACCGACCCAGCCCTCAGCAGCTTTCCACCCCTGATGTGTAACTTGAACTCGGCGCAGCCATGACCGCCATCAGCTCTCAACTGTCGAACGACGCGCGTGCCGAGCTCAGCGGAGCGTGGACCTCGAGCTTTCGGAGCGCCAAAACCAGGTGACAGCAACAGCAACCATGTCGCCGGCGTCACTCCTATTCCTCATCGTCTATAATTTCCTCTACTACTTCCTCTACCTGGTCCTCTTCGCCTTCATCATCGTCACACCCATCGATCTGATTCATCAAGCCGCACGGAGCCGCCGAAACTACGACATCCTCATCGTAATCGTCATCTACGTCGCAACGGTCCTTGTTGTCGCTTTTATCTACGCCACCCGCCTCTACATCAGCCGCTCCGTGCTTGCCTCCATACCGAAACCATGGGTCCCCGTCGAGAAGGGCGATGTGCCGCCTGACGTGCGCCAGATGATCGTCGAGGGCCTGAGCAGGAGCGCCGCTATTGCATATGAGGCCCGCCCGAGGGTACCAGTTGTGCTTCTCGTGCAAGAGCCTGGGGTTGGCGAGAATGGCAACAGCCGAGAATCGTCTAGGTCAGGCCTCCCCGGCCTATCGTTGACGGGATCCAAGCAGATCACCGGAACCGAGGAGGCCAAGGCGGTCCAAATTTCACAACAAAGGCCCGTATGGGGCGAGATCGAGCACCCAGGTTGGGCGTCGCCTCTGTCGCACGACCTGCCCAACCTGCAGTACGACACAGTGGTCTCGGAAGTGCCATACCTAATAGAGGCGAAGGCCATCACCCTAGCGCCGCCGGACCCGGAATCCCACGCCGAACCGCCGACGCTGGATCTAGATGCGGTCGCTCTTCTTCAGAGGCCAGAGTCCACGGGGTTGCGCGAATACCTAATGTATCTCACCGAGCTGGCGGTCCTTGCACCACTGCCTACAACGGGCGAATTTCTCGCGAAGTACGAAGCAGCGCGCTTTTCGGGCCGGCCGCTGTCCAACGAGCAGTTCCGCAGCCTGATGCACCTGTTTGCGCAAATCCTGCAGAACATGCATCCGCTCAGTCCTGCGGCGCTGGCGCGGTACGAAGACGATGGCTCGTCAGACGCCGCACCCTCGGAGAGCGACATCGATAACGACGCCCCCCGCGGCACCAGCCCGTCAAGCGCGGGCACGACTCACGAATTGCCCTTGCATGGCGGCATCGACGCCAGCGACTTGGCGCGAAGCCACAGTTCGAGCACGGCAAGTTCCGGGCACCTGCGGCCTAAGCTCGGCATGCGCACCTCGTCGGCTAATACGCGGATGTTCCGCACCGCGCCGACGACGCCCAAGAGCAGGCATACTGGCTTCTCGAGGGCGTCGAGTTCAGAGAGCTTTGCGCATACCAGAGACCCGTACCCGGCCGGTCAGTCATCAAGCTCAAGCTTACGATTCGCTAGCGGTGGCTCGGTCATTCGGCTTGCTGGCAGCGAGGATGCGACGGGTCTTCCTTATGTCCTAACGCATTCATCGAGCGGTGATTGATAGGGTCGCCTAATATGTAGATTCTTATACTCCCATACTACCAAGCGCTCCGTCCATACCCCTAGAAGGTATTCCAGTTGGTTGGATCTTCATTCTACGACTTAGAAAGCCCGCCCCATCCAGTGCATATCGTTGATGCCAAGTCGAACCTTAAGGCCAGATGGGGCAGGAGATGAGCACTTCCGCTTGGCCGGTGACATCATCGCCACCCCACCGTCTCATCGATGTGTTCATTCCATCTCAACCCATCCATGTGGTCTACGGAAGCGCAGACGGGACACGATCGGATCGTCGTACAAATTACCCTGATTCCGGCCCTCAGACCTTTGACTTGTCTTCTCACCGAGGACGTGACTGTCTCCTTCACCGACAACTGGTGGAGTTATGCTTCAGTTCAAACCTGACCCTCTTGATTCATCATCTGATATATTACCTACGACCCGTCATTGAGGCGAGGAGTAGCGGTACACGACATCCTCAGCGCCACACCAAAACCACTGTTCTCTCCAACCGCATTGTATCGCCCTTTGGGCGAGGCAATTGCTTCAATAGCAGCTTCGCCCTCTGTATCCTCGCCAGGACTCCAGTCCGCCCAGCAGGCGTCGGCAGTTCCGGGCACCAAGCTCAGCCTCATTTCCAGGAGCACAAAACTTTTGGTATCACAGCAACCGTGACTGCTAAAGCCTTATTGCTGTCACCATCATCACCCGTTCACTCATCACTCGACTTTCCAGCAATCTTGTACCGACGATACAGGCGATCAGCATGCCCCATTTCCGCTCCGACTCAGATTCATCAGACTACTCCCCGCGCCGTCACCGCTCCCCAAGACGACGCTCACCCACACCAGGTTCTCGCCGCATCCGCGACCTCTCTCCGGTCAACAACGACCACCACTATCACCCGCGCCTCCAATTCGAGTCCCATACCCCTTTCTACCCCGTGGCATCAGGCGCTAACGGCCCCGGGCCCCGCACCCGCCGTCCGCACTCCACCGGCACTCCTTCAACAGACACCTTTGCCACGACGACCACCAGCACCCTGAGTCCAGAAGAGGCAACCACCATGTCTCCTGCCAGAAAACGAACCCGCTCCCGAAGCCGGTATACCCCTTCCACCTCCTCCATCTCCTCCAGCGACGATGATGACGACGAGCACCGTGATACCGAGGGGAGGTATCTCCACCCCGGGGAACACGGCGAGAAAAATCCGCACCCTAGATCCAAATCCCGTTCCCCGCTCGACAAAGCCCGCTCGCTGCTGTCCTCAAACCTCACAACCTCGACCTCGGGACTGGGTGTTGGTGTTTTGGGCGCTATAGTAGGCGGGCTTGCGGCGAGCGAGGCCGCTCATCATCACTCCCATGCGCATGACCATAAAAGACGGGGCGGATATGGTGATGACTATGAGAGGGCCAAGCACCTGCACTTGATCTCTACCGTTGTGGGTGCGGCGGTGGGCGGGTTAGGGGCGAATGCCATTGAGAAGAAGATTGAAGCTCGCGGGAGGGATAAGTCGAGTTTGGGGAGGGAAGGTGGGGTTGGTGGTGATGATAGGGAGAGGGAGAGGGAGAGGCAGAGAGAGAAGGAGGCTGTGAGGTATAGGGATGATGTTGGTGGAGGTGGTGGTGGTGGGAGGAGAAGGAGTGGGGAGTGGAAGAGGTATTAATCTGGATACGCTTGGCCTTTGCTTGGGCTGGGGTTGGATGTCTGACTGTTGAGTATAACATGTGATAACGGCGACTTTCTGGATTGGAAAGCGTTGGTTATGTTGAGCGTGTGTCGGATGCGACAACGATCGAAGGTTACGATTTAATGACTGTGTTATCAGCGGTCTGCGTGGACGGGATGGAACACTGGAGAAGAATACATACATACCTACTGAGAGGATTGGATTCTTTTTGTACTAGCCCTCCTTTAACTTCGCTGTTTCCCCCACCCCTCCCCGTCCTTCCAACCCAACTCGCCCTCCAGTCCAGTGCTACATATAGCAGGTCCACCTCTTAAACCATCACCCGCCCCAGTTGCCGCAGCGGTATACTAGGGTGCAAGCGGGTGAACTCACTGCTGCGTGGTGGCTCGAGCTCAAATCCATCTCGAAGCAAAACCCTTGGGGATTCGTAGCCGCCCACCCCTCAGTTGTATGGTAACTAGGGTTGGACGGTGAGCTTTCTGTATTTTTGCTTCTCATCTATATCTGCATACTCCTCTGTTTTTCCTGTATGAGGTCGATGCAAGACCACTTGAGCGCATACACGCCCAGTTTGTGGCGATGACAGCGATCACTTGGTGGCGGCCATTACACAGGCATCTCCTCGGTTGATATCGCGCGCTCGTGGGAACGAACCGTGACACAAAAGAAATAATTGGCCCAATCCCGTTATTTTAAGACATTGCTGTTCTCATTGTACAACCTACAAAACCCAGTACATTTTGATGGACCATCCCATATTCCCAGCCGAGCCGTCCCAGTCTATGATACACCACCATTTCCTCATCACCTGCCATTCCTCTTGGCCTCAACCATTCCCTCCTCCGGCCCAACCAACCCCGCGGCCTCCCTCGCCAACCTCACATCTGTCAAACTCAGCCTCAGATCCCTCGCATACGGCCCAAACGCTTCAATCAACCTCGCCAGCGCATCCCTCAGCGCGCTCAACACCTCGTCCACCTCGGGACACTCCCTCTTCCCCTCGACATCAGTCCAGTGCGTCGCCAGCCCCGCGTCCCCTCCGAAACTCTCCAACTTCTTGGCCACGCCTGTCAGCGCTCTCACAATGGCAGCCACGTCGCGCTGCACGTTCCCGTACTTGTCTTCCCTGAGCGAATGCAGGGCCAGCTGGCTCACGGCGCACGCGGCGTTGACGTACAGGCTCGGCTCGCCGTAGGGCTCGCCCAGCACGGCGTGGGCCAGGCGGCGGCGGTAGTGCTGCCGGAACGGCCAGCCGGCGGCCGAGTGGAGCACCTTGACGGCCCAGTCTCGGAACAGGCCCTGCGTGTCGTCAGTGCCCGTGGCGTCCTTTTGCATTTTGAGGAGCTGCTGCTTGGCGGACTCGACCGCCTTCTTCGCGGCCGGGCTGAGCTGCGAGACTTGGCCTGGAGCCAGGGCCGCTTGGTTGACGGCCTTTTCGACCTGGTCGCGGAGGCCTCGCTTTGGGGGAAGGGTTTGGAAGATGGCTTCGTCTCGTGGGGGGTCGGTGGTGCGGACTTTTTGTGCTGGTGGTGACGGTTCGGTGGTGGTGGAAGCTGGGGTGGTGGGCGGTGCTATGTAGGTGTCGATGTTTGTCTCGATGGACTTCAGAGTCTCGAGACAGATCTTGTAGACTTGGGACCACATGGGCCCGTCCTTGCGGTCAATGTCCTCGTAGATGGCCTTGCGGCGGTCCGGGAAGTCGCGGGCGATGATGGCCAGCTCCCACATGGCGAAACACTGGTGTCGTTAGCAGCATGATTTTGAACAGGGTAGAGGCTAGGAATACCTTGATGGAAAGCTTCTTATTCTTCAACCCATTGAGGAGACTGCCATTGGGATCCTTCGAGTCCGAGGTCAACGGATTTCCGTTCTTCACGGGGTTCTTAACCAAGAAGAGCGAGAAAGCGGTATTCGCAGCGGTCCAACCAAACAGAAGCATCAAGCTCACGAGCCAGCAGCGCAGGATGGCTGAGAAGGAAAAGGGCAGCGACGCGGGGAGCATGTTGCTCCTAGGGAGGTTGTATATCGGTCGTAGGAAGAATAACGTGGTCCTCCATACCGGGCCGCGCACCGTCAGCGGGTAAACGAGGGCGCTTATAACCAGGCCAGAGATGGACTGATTGATGGTGTGAACCAGCATGGTCGGAAGCTGGTCCCTGAACCGGCGCACCTGGACAGACGCGTCACCCACCTCCAGCTTCGCCTCGCCATTCTGCGGTCTAGCGGCGCCGAGAGACAGGCGGTCAACATCCTTGAAAAGATGTATAACCGTCTGATAAGTGCCCAGCAATACCAAGTGAGATATCAAGAAGAGGGGTTTCTCGTTCAGCCTCGCCCGATCGGCGGTGAAGTAGGTGATGAATTCGAGGCCCAACTTCTCCGGCAGCGACCAGAGGTAGATGAAGGCAAAGAAGAATGCTGACAAGGTGTAGGTGAGGAGAGTTTCAAGTGTCTCCAGCTTCGGCGCATAGCGAAAGAAGGTGTGGACGCCCGAGTCGGAGGTGCGCAGGCCGGGGTGGTATTGGGAGATGCGGAGGATGATGATCACGATGCCGCAGAAGAAGAAGGATACGGCGCGAAAACCGGTCGGGCCCAGGGGAAACCATGACCAAAATACTAATTCCCAAGTCCAGTCAGTCAAGCAAGCAATGTTGAAGTCTGCGGGAGTCGAGCTTACAAGAAGACCAGTTCGCCAAGAGCAGGGCCTGGAGGTATGCGATGGCCAGCACAAACAAGCTCGCCGTCGCGAAGCGCCGCTGTAGCGCGGGCTGTAGGAAGTCCTTGTACGGAGACCTCCTAACTGTAGCTGCCGCCATCTTTGCTGAACATGATCGGAAACGTCAGTTGGTGGTCGTTGAAGCTGGGGCAGTTCGAGGTGGCAGTTTGTAAATAAAAAAGCGTCCGTTGCTCGCAGCACATCCAGTTGCAATGGAAACCAAGACGGACCCACTGACAGTTGTTGATTGGGTCAGGCAAGCATTACGTAGGTCTTGGCGTTTGAGCAGGGGTAACGGGCCAAGGGTCACTGCGTCAGCCATCAACTGTGACCGAACCTCGCACCCATCAAACTGACCACGCTGATAACGAACCTGAGTCCATCTCATCCGAGCAGAACGTCGTCGCTCCCGCTGCACCGCTCGCTACTGCAATTTTCTGCACAGTCGATCTCTAAACTGTCACCTGCAGACACCGCCGCCGCCACCACCATGTCGTTCGATCAGCTCTCGTCGCTCGAGGCGGGGCGTCGCCGAGGCACGCCGAGCTACACCGATGATCCCGATTTCCAGCGGCTGTCGCAGGACTTGACAAACAAGTTGTTCAAACTCAACGGCAACAACCAGCGCTTGAGCGGGGAGGTTGGGCATCTGGGGACACGGCGCGACACGCCGCGGGTGCGGGAGCGGGTGCACGAGCTGATTGAGGAGTCGCGCGACTTGTTCAAAGAGGTTGGCGAGGGGATCAAAAAGATCCAAACGTGGGAGGACGTAACAGTATGCAATGCACTCTTCTATCCCTACTCGCGATCATTACTAACCGTATACAGCCAACTCAAAAATACATGCAACAAAAACTCTCTCGCGAGTTCCAGTCCTCCCTCTCCGAGTTCCAAAACCTCCAACGCCAGGCCCTCGAGAAACAAAAAGCCTCCGTCTCCGCCGCCCGCGCAGCGGTAGACCACGAAGCCGAGGCCAGCGCAGCCACCACCGCCGGCGCCGGCGGCCCGCTCGGCAGCCCGCAGCTTCTCCAGCAGCAGGAGCTGACGCAACTAGCGCCTCAAGACGACGTCGACTTTCAGGAGGCGGTCATCATCGAGCGCGAGGAAGAGATCCGGCGCATTGAGCAGGGCGTGGGCGACCTCAACGTGCTGTTCCAGCAGGTAGCGCAGATTGTCACGGAGCAAGGGGACGTGCTCGACACCATTGAACGCAACGTCGAGACGGTGCGCGACGACACGCGCGGGGCCGACCGCGAGCTACGCAGCGCTGCGCGATACCAGAAGAATGCGCGGAGCAAGATGTGTTGCTTGTTGGTTATCTTGATGGTGATTTTGACGATCATCCTGCTGGCGATCTTTTTGGGGTGAGGCGGGTTCTGTTGTCTGGTTGGCACAGAATCGTGATTCTGGGGAGGACGCAAGGTGTAATGGTATGTTGTTGTACAGGCTTAATGATATGTTGTTGTACAGGCAGGCGTTCGGAGTTGGCCCGGCGGTCTATGTCGTTTTCTACGTACAGCCTGAATCAAATATTGTCCCCTCATGGCGTCTTCTTCCCCTCTTCTCGCGTCGGCATGACAAACATCGGCTCCTGGCTCTTGGCTGGAGAGACGATTTTGGGCATGGGCATCAGCCGCGAGATGATGCTGGTCAAGGCCGTGGTAAGTGCTGCCGAAGAGATCCAGTAGAGGTGGAGGGCGGCAGGCAAGTCCATGGTTAGAGGCCCCGCAGCCATGGCGACCAGGAGAAATGCCCTCTGCAGCCGCAAACGGACCTTCATGGAAGCAATTGCGCTCGCAGGCACGCCCTCCAGACCGAGCAGCAACTTCCACAGGGCCATCGACTTGGGCATGACGTTGACCACCAGGATGGCCGACAGGGCAAGCGGCAGCACATGGAGCGGGTCCGCAGCCGTCAGGTCGGGGAACCACAGACACCCGCCGGCGGCCAAAGAAGGATCTGCCAGATACCTGACCGCCCCGTCCTGGATTTCTGCGTGGGTCGTTGCAAGGAAGCCCAAATCCCCAGCCCCCGATGCCGTCCCTGAAACAGCCCCCTCCGTAACCACCTTCGGATCATCCACCGCAGCACCGGCGGCGCGCGCAACACCACTCTCAACTCCTTTCCCCGGCCCAAACACCATCGTCCCCAGCAACCCTCTCGGCCCGCCACACAACCGCCTCAGCGCCTCAATCCCCGCCATCCACACCGGGAACACCACCAGGCTCGGGACCCAATCCTTCCACCGCTGCACGCGCCACCGCCTATGCCGCGTCGCCATGGCGGTATTGACCTCCTTGACCATCCGGTCCATTGCCGGCAGTTGTTGCTGTCCTGCCTTTGCCGCGGCGGCGCCCACGCGGGCCGCCCAGGCGCGCGTCAGTGGGTGGAGGAGCTGGCGCCGGACGGCGACGTGCCGCGAGTAGAACGTTGTCGGTAGACGGGTGAGCAGGTTGATGTTGAGGGCAAAGAGGGGGATGGTCAGGTACCAGGGTGTGCCGGTGGCTGTGTGCAGGGTGGTGAGGAGGGTTTGGGAGGTGGTGATGGTTGATTCGACGAGGGGGAGGAGGGAGAAGAGGCGGGATTGGTGCGGTTTGAATAGTGAATGGGGGCGGCGGATGGTGGAGGTTGATCTTGTTGAGGAGGTTGACGGGAGGTTGAGGATCGCGGGTCGCAGGGAGGAGTAGCTTCGGAACGGCGGTGGGAATGACACGACAGGTGAGGTTGATGTTGGAAGCTGGGCTGGGACCTGGGTTGTCCGGACTCGAACAAGTGTTCTCACGGCGAAGATTGTCATGGTTGAAGACGTCGAGCTAATCGAACCTCATTTGCCGGTAGTTTTAGGTGATATACTCATTCCCTCCACACAAGTGGTCCAGATGAGAAATGAGAGGGAGCTTGCGATTGCAGATGCAAGATGATCCCACCCCTCGACTTCAAGGTCTTGGCAGACTCGCTCGACTCGTTGGGCCTGTTTAGCTGCTCCACTACATGAACTATACTGTAGCAGTGGAGCCGCCACATTCCTGCATGCACCATCAGTGGAGTGGAGCCTCGGTGTGTCAGCGGCACCAAGTCCCATGCTCCTGGGATCCAATGCTCTAATCAGCTGTCAAAGCTGCAACCTGGAACCACCTACTTGCCCTTAGCAAACCTAGCAGACGCCGATCTCTTATTCTGGCTTCATACGCACCCAGACAACAGTCTTTCGTTTATCAACTCCCGTCCCAATGATGCCTTGCTAAAGTTGAAACTCACACCCGACCGAACGAACCTCTCTTCAACCTCGACTCCATCCACATCTCCCTCCAAGTCATGGCCGACATCTGCGCCGCGAACGGCGGCAGCACTTGCTCGAGCCACAACGCTTCTCCGTTCATGAACGGCAATTTCCTCTCCCATGTCGTCCTTCCGATTTTATGCCTCACCCCGTTAGCCACACTTATCCTCATTCCCTTGCTTTGGCGAGCTACTGGTGCATTCTTGGGCTGGTACCTGCGAAAGAAAACGGACGGACGACGATGCCACATCCTTGAACTCGTGGAAGCCGACGAGAAGAATTATGTCGAGGAGAAGAGGAGGAGTAGCAGCAGCGCGGAAGGCGGGGAGGACGGGGAATGGGAGAAGGTGGACGCCTGCACTACCGGGACGGCCAAGAACGGCGGCATGGGCGATGACGACTGGGATGGCATTGTGGGCTTCTTTCACCCATTTTGGTGAGTTCTGCCCGTCACCTCAATGGTCTGCCATCTGACAGTAACAGTAATGCCGGCGGCGGTGGAGAGAGGGTCCTCTGGGCGGCCATCCGCGCGACACAACAACGCTGGCCCCGCGCAAAGTGCGTCGTCTACACCGGCGACCACGGCGTCAGCAAGGACGCGATGCTATCCCGGGTGGAGGTAGGCCCCTCACCACCTCCCTACCATCCCCATCATCCCGCTGACCTTCCTCTGCAACAGAACCGCTTCAACATCCACCTCCACCCGCCGACAATCAACTTCCTCTACCTCTCAACCCGCCACTGGGTCCTGGCCTCCACCTGGCCACGTTTCACCCTCGCCGGCCAATCCCTCGGCTCGCTCATTCTCGCCTGGGACGCCTTCTCCCTCCTCGTCCCAGACATCTTCATCGACACAATGGGCTACGCCTTCGCCCTCGGCCTCTGCAAAACCCTCTTCCCGGGCGTCCCCACAGCTGCCTACGTTCACTACCCAACGATCTCCACCGACATGCTCTCCTCGCTTAACCCAACCTCCCCCGTCGGGTCGCAGGGCGTCAACGCCGGCCAGGGTACCGGGCTCCGCGGCGCCGCCAAGCGCTTTTATTGGAAACTGTTCGCAGCCGCCTACTCGCGCGTCGGCGCCTCGGCCGATGTCGTCATGACCAACTCGTCGTGGACCCAGGGCCACATCAGGGCGCTGTGGGGGCCCCTGCGGCGCGGCAGGTCGCTGCCGGAGGCGGCGGTCGTCTACCCTCCCGTGGCGGTGCGCGAACTAGAAGCCGAGGTGGAGGTGTCGGAGGCGAGCGAGCGGCGGCGGGAGAAGGTGTTGCTGTATATCGCGCAGTTCCGGCCGGAGAAGAACCACGCGCTGATCCTACAGGCTTTTTCCGAGTTTGTGCGGCAGTCCGGGAGCGAGAACGAGAGCGAGGCAGCGCGCGGGGCGAAGTTGGTGCTGGTGGGGAGTGTGAGGGATGACGGGGACTCCAAGAGGGTGTATCAGCTGCGGCTGTTGGTGAATGAGCTGCATATCCGGGACAGGGTCGAGTTTCATCTGGACGCGTCGTGGCCTGAGATTCTGGAGTGGCTGCGCCGTGCGTCGGTCGGGGTGAATGGCATGTGGAATGAGCACTTTGGCATCGGCGTGGTTGAGTACCAGGCCGCTGGGCTCGTGGCGGTGGTGCATGACAGCGGCGGACCGAAGATGGATATTGTGGTTGATGTGGATGGGGAGCCAACTGGTAAGCTTTTCTCAGGGGATGGTGTTAGGAGTGGGGAATGCTAATCGCCTGGTAGGGTTCCATGCTACCACCTCGAGCGAGTTCGCGGATGGGTTTGAGAAGGCGTTGAGTTTGAAGGATCCGTATGCTGTTCGTCAACGGGCGAGGCAGTCAGCCAAGAGGTTTACCGAGGAGGAGTTTGCCAGGCGGTGGACGGAGCAGATGGAAAAGCTGGTGACGCTGAAGACGCGGAACAAAGTCTGATGCGGTTGTGTTTCTTCCCCTGTGAGAAATGCGTTTCCTTTCCAATAGACATGGATACCCCTCTCTTATTCATCTGATGGCAGGTGTTGGGCTGCATTGCTTTCCTTGATAGTCTTACGAGCAGTCTGTAGCACTCACAGATGGTGCAGATCATTCGTATATATCACTCAACCAACCGGTATATTCACACAAGCCAAGAAGAATCCCTTTTATGCATCAAGCCGGTTCAAAAGAGCCACCCCTTCCACATGCCCCGTCTGCGGAAAGAAGTCAAAACCCCTGATGCTCTCAATCTCATACCTCGTTCCCTTCCCCTTCCCCTCCCTCACGCCCTCGACTTCTCCCCTCACCAACACCCCGACATCCCTCGCTTGGGTGTGCACGTTGCAGCTGACGTAGACGACTCTCCTCGGCGCAAATTGGAGCAGCTGGCGCAGGAAGCTGGCGTCGCAGCCCTTGCGCGGCGGGTCCAGCACGACGACCGTCTCGTCCGGGTCGTAGGCGCTGACGCTCTTGAACAGCTCGGGCGCGTCGGCCGCGAGGAAGCGGCACTGCGACTCGTCCAGGCCGTTGAGCGCCGCGTTGCGCCGCGCATAGGCGATGGACTTCTCGGCGATGTCGATGCCGATGCTGCCGCCCGGAAAGAGGGAGGATTGGGTTATGGTGAAGAGGCCTGAGCCCGAGTAGGCGTCGATGAGGTATTTGATGGGTTTTTGGGTGGTGCTGGTACTGGTTGTGGAAGGGGGAGGGAGGATGTGCTCGCGGATGTAGGCGGTGAAGGGGGAGAGGATCGAATTATTGTTTTGGAAAAAGGCGCCGGCTGGGTTGGTGAAGACGAACGAGTCGATGTACTCGGTCGAGGTGGCGTTCTGATCTGTGATGCAGGTCTTGAAGTCGATGTGCGTGTCGGTTTCGACGCGGAGGGCTGTGCTGGGGGTGCCTTCTGGTGGCGGGGGAGTGTCGGAATGGGATGCCTTGGGCACGCGCTTGGTGCTCTCGCGGAGGAGGATGGTCGCGCCCTTGGTGTACTTGCCGTAACTTACCGCCAAGCGCGCGCGCTCCTCGGTGAGACCCTTGCGCACGGTCTCGGTTGCGATGGGGCAGTCTTCGATGTCGAGAACTTTACGGGTGTTCTTTGGCGTGAAGCCAAAGGGCGGCATGGACGAGTGGCTCTTTTTCGGCCCTCGTCTGGGGTTACCCGGGGGGCCGTCAAAGTGAGGCGTGAGCTTGGTGCGGTAACCGTACTGCAGGGGGCTGCCGATAGTGTCGAGGATTTCGGGGACCAGCTCTGGCGGCAACTGCGAGAAGTTGCGGTACGCCTTGACGACAATGTTCTTCTTGATCTTGAGCTGCTCGGCGTAGTCGAGCATCTGGAACTGGCAGCCCGAGCACTTGGCAAAGTAGGGGCACTGAATTCGGCTGTCGTCGCGGAGCGCCGAGGGCTTGACGACGGAGATGAAGTCGGCGGCTGTGTACCCTTCCTCGTGATTGCGACGGTACACCTTGGCCTTCACTGTGTCTCCGGGTACGGAAAAGGGCACCACGTAGATGTGGTTGGACCCCTTTTGTTTCGCCAGCCCATCTCCCGTGGATGACAGTTCCACGACGTCGACCTCGATCTCACTCCCTTGTTCCGGCAGGGGAGCCTCCTCGGCCGTCTGGGCCGCACCGTTCTCATCCGCCTCGGTCAACTTCTGAGATGCCAGCAGCGCCTGCACATCGGCCAAGAGCACTTCCTCATAAGACCCCTCCGTGGCAGTCTTTTCCTTCTTCCTGTATTTTGCGACTTTGCGGTGATGCCCTTGGAATGGTCGCTTGCCGTGTTGCTTGGTGCTCTTTGTTTGAGGCACCTGAGGCGTTGCCCCAAGATCGATGGTGGTTTGGCCAGTAGCCATGGTGCAACGGGATTGTAACCAAAATCTGGCTGTGAATGGCTGACTGCAGATGTGAGGTGTGGACGCTGTGAAAGGCCGAGAGAAAACTCTGACGGCACTGAGTCGCATCGGACTGCAAAAGTCAATCCGGCACCAATCTCATTCGAGAACCATTAAACTGTGAGATGGTCTGTAGTTGTAAGACCCTGCGGTGAAAAAGAGAAAATGCCGTCCACTCGGTCAATTTCGGTCTATATAAATAGGAGTAACTAACTAGTTACTGACGTTTTTAGTAGGAAATCTGAGAGATGAAAAAGGCACGGGTGATGCTTGTTTCTCTTAGGGTTAGGATCTGGTCATGTCTGCGGACGGTTGACTGTCGAGTAGCTGATGAGTCAGCTCTCATAACCTCAAGTCCTCAACAGGCCTGCCTCTCATCGGGCAGGAGCAAAAGTCCCCGACCTGAATCCTGGGTGATATCCAAGGCTTTATGGCAACGCCAAAACCACATACATGAGGTGCTCTGACACAAAATTATATTTCAACCTTTCGGAATGATATCCCACAAAAGAGGTCATCGACGCTGAAGGCACAGCCCCACACTTATCATCGGCACTGACTGGTGAACATTAAGACAAGATCAATCCCAAGCCGGAAATGGTTGCCTGGCCCTGAGCAGACGCCAGGAGGTCAGAGTTGTCTCGACTCGGCTGCAGTGTCATGCACAAGAAGGAGACCCCATCGAGCGAACCGCCGGGCGAACCGCAAGGCGGCCGACATTATCGATCGTACCAGCCAATGAAGGCCGGTGGCATATTTAGGGAGACCTCAGACAACAACCCAAGTCTCTCACTGCCGTAGAGCACTCCTTCCACTCGAAGCTTGAAAACTGTCTGCCTGCTAGAATGCACTACCTCCAGGCTCATGCACCAAGCCCTTGCTTTCCCGACACGCCAGACTCTGTTCGGTTCCTACTGCGGCGTCGTGCTTCTCCAACTGTGCACTGTACCGAGTACCGACGAGTCCTTCACTCGTTCAACCTACCTACCAGGTGGCCCAGATCAAGAATTATCTTGACCAACTTCATCCTCGATGAACATCCTGCTCTACACGCCCGCTCGACTCGCCGCCGGCCGAAATTCGGCTGCTGAAGATCCAACCTGCCGATGGCGCGGACGAGGCTGACACGCTGTCAGTGAGATGCGAACTGCTTGTCAATTCTTTGCTCGAGCTCAAGCATGCCTGCCACGCCTTGTCGTATGTTTGGGGTGATCCGGCCGACACAGAAACAATCTGGATCAACGGGCATTGAGCGTCAGGCGGCTCGAAACCTCATCGCTTTTCTCATGTGGTACCGAAAAACCCTCGCGGGCAGCGCCCCATAGCCTCCGCATCCGATCTGGGTGGACACCCTTTGCATTGATCAGGACAACATCCCCAAGAGAAACACTCAGGTGCGGATGATGCCAGCTATTCACCACAAAGCCGAAGTGACATTCTCATGGCTTGGGTCTGCGGAGGACGATGATTACATCGCGATAGGAGGTATCGCCTGCATGTCGCAGTGCATCCACGATCATAAGAGCGCATTACCTTCTGGCGCCGACCCGTGGAGCAACCCTACGGCATGGCTCTGACCGGAGCACACCTTTATTCTTGAACCTGACCCGACCGTTGTGATGATGGGCCAAGCGACGAGTGTACGCATACTGTGAACCATTTCTGGCGAGCTGCGAAGGATCTGCTGCGACGGCCGTATCTGGATCGCACTTGGGTGGTCCAAGAATCTGCTACCTTAGTGAGAGTCTCGACCCTGTCGTCAATCGACTCGAACGTCCTGCCCATGGCGACGACATCCTGCGCCCTCATTTTCCACTTGGCCGTAGCGCCCGTCGACGTGACGTCGTCAGTCTTCAGGCCCTCGCGGGCCGCTCCAAAGAGCAGTCTCGCCACGGCAGCGGGCGGCGACTCTGGCCCTTGACGATTTCAGCAATTGGTCAAGGCGCCGTTGCCGATTTCGCCGGCAATGAAGACGAAGCGGCGAGCGTTGAGAGCCCGGCCACTGACTAGCCAACCTCCCCGATGAACGGGATACCGGCAGGACGAGGCTGGCGATGAGGAGAAAGGACTGCTTCTTCTTTCGGTCCTCAATCCGGTCTCCAATATCCATGACGTTGGCCATGGTATTGACAGCCTGCGCGAGCAGCTGCACGGGCAGTCCAACTTGAATCGGTCCTCCTCAAGGGAGGCCGCAGCCAAGCCTGCGGAGCAGCGAGCAACCTGACGTCCCCTTTCCCATACCTCCCTCCACCTATCCAGACATCAATCACCCGCCCACACGGTCCCCTATTACTCGACGGTAACATGCCGCCCATGCAACCCCACCGCCACGGCAAACTCACAGTCGGCACTCCCCAGCTCCGTCATAGTCCTCGCATCCAAACACAACAAATAACTCGTCCTGTTCTCCCCATCCAACACAATGCTAAGCAACACCCCATCATCCTCCTCCTCCTCCTCCCGCACCTCATCTCCGTTGTCTTCCGTACGCGGACGCGGCACAAAGACGGCCTCGCCAGGCGTGTGGCCCCTCGGCCCCTCCCAGCGAAGCACCTCGCGCCTGTCGACGTCCATCTTGGCGATGGCGTCAAACAGCGTGCTCAGCCCGCGCGAGACGAGCATGTAGGCATACCGGTGCCGCCGGCAGCGGTACAACGGGTTGATGGTCGGCATGTCGCCTGCGTGCGGGGAGGGAATTTGCATGACAATCTGGGGGGATGAAGGCAGTAACTTGACTTGGGGGCTGGTGGTGAAGGCCTGCTTGGGTAGGCGGTACCGGCTGAGTTGCGGGAAGGACTGGTGCGTCTGCTGGCCCGTCCAGAACGCGGCGGTCTTGCCGTTGCGGTTGAGGAGCACGTCGTAGTAGGCACCGTCGATGATGTAGCGGTTGGGGTAGTCGATGACGTCGCAGAGGATGTCGCCGGTCGAGACTTCTTCGAAGGCGTTGACACTGTGGAAGAAGAAGCGGGCTGGGGAGGCGAACTCGGCGACCACGCCTCTGCCGTGGCGCCGGTCGACGACAAACCAGCGGCAAGTGTCGGAGGGGTCGAAGCACTTGAACGAGTCGAGCAGATTGCCTTCCAAAAGGATCTTGAGGCCGTTCCACTTGTAGTACGCCACGGGCACGCAGAGGACGATGTAGTTCTGTGTTAGGAAGAAGCTGTGGATATACGCAGCTTTGAACAGAATGGTGGCGAGAATGTCAGTTTTGCCGGTGGCGGCGCTGACGCGGAAGATGCGGTACATGGGCTGCTTGCCGAGGTCGAGGTTGTAGTTGATGTAGTCGCCCGTTTCTGGGTCGAGCTTCCCGTGGGCGGCGCCGAGTGGCCCCTTGAGGTCCGGGTGGAGCTTGCAGTGCTTTGGGAAGTTGAGGGGGTCCATGGTCTTGGGATCTATCTCGCACATGACGGCGGCGTCGGTTGCGAGGACGATGCTGGTCACGCGGTGGCCCTGTACGTCGGCGGCGGTCTTGGCCGGCGACTTGAAGATGGGCGAGTTGACATTTACCGTCACGTTGACGTTGTAGAGATCGGGCCGCTTGTGGAAGACGCTCATGAACTTGCCCAAGAGGCCGACACATGGATCTATCTTCTGGCCAAAGGAGATGGACCGCAATGTGCCGGCGGCCTTGATGTCGGCGGTGGCCTTGTCGGACTGGCGGCGCGACGAGTAGTACACACGCACTGTCGGGCCTTCGGAGACGATGTCGAACCTATGGGTGTGTGCGAGCCCGTCAAACCAGTGCGAGATGTGAACGGTGCCCGACTTGGTGTCTTCGACCTTGCACTGGCCCGGACCGGTCCGGTAGAGGGACCCGGCTGCCCAGGTTGGGATATTGCCCTTGACCTTGAGCTCAATGGGACCGCGGTGCTCGGTCAGGCCGTCAAACTAACAGCGGGTCAGCTGGAGTCTATGTCAGGGCTCAGGGACGGCATCACGGAGAGGCGAAACGGGTGCTTACGCCGGCCTCATTAGGCCACTCGTGGAAGGCCTGTTTTGCCACGTTCTCGCCGGCAGCCTTGGCCGAGGCATCCTCGTCGGCGGCCGTCAGCCTCGTAGTCGTCCCCTGGGGGGGGTAAGTTGAGCCCATCTTTGATTCCTCAGTAACCAGTGACATCGGCGACGGTGTGATCCAAGTCTTGGAATGTTCTCAGGGTGCAACAGTGCAGCTCACGCCGCCCAGTTCTCTGACGGGAATGGCTGGGCATATTTATAGCATGGCATCTAGCACCTCGTCCGATCATGCCAGGAGTTGCAGTGGGAGAAGGCCAACCATCCATCCCACCAACAACCTCAACGGCCAGCAGCCAAGCAAGATTCGACCAATGTTGGATTAGGGCCGAATTTATCATGGTGTACGAAGCGAAGCACCCAGTGCGGATTCGGATTCGCTAAGAGACCTATCAGCATTCGGACTTGAGCTGCACGCAGATCCGTATCTGTTGGTCCGCAGCAGCCGGTTGGTTGGTTGCATCGGCTTTGAGAGACCACATTGGTCAAGACTTTGAGGAGTACACCAACAAGGCGATATTCTACCCGAGCGAGCTCGTCGCCCAGGACTGTTGAGGTCGGCTCGCCATCGAAGCATCCCGATGCCACAAATACAACATCCATCCACACCCAGTATTCACCATCAATCCCAAGGGTTATCATATTCATCCGGCAAATCAGCGACCCAAGCCCCACATCCAAGTCTCACTTATAACGGCTCAAGCTAGTAGCCAGTCTACCCAAGCAGCACCTGCTCATACTGCTCCGGATCCAGATACTCACACAGCGTCCCCTGCAGTGCCGCTCTGGTTTTCGCAATAGCCGGCAGCACACCTTCGATTTGGCCCAGATTACTCTTCATGCTGTCCATGTGATTTCCAATCTGCTGTGACAGCGCCAGCAGTTCCTCTCCCTGGATATCCTACAGACCCAAGCTAGGTTAGCACCACGCGCACAACAACCCAGACATACTCACCACGTAAATGGTAGAAAGACTGACCTTAAAGATTCCACCGCCACCTCCTTCCCCAAAGGAAGAAGCAGCAGCGGCGGCAGCAGCAGCAGCAACGAATTCCCCTCCACCAACCCTACCCTCAAGATGACTGCTCCCAATCCCCCCAAGCAAAACATGCTCCCTCCCCCTCGCCATCCCCTCCCTCCACCCCCTGACCTGAGCCCTAGCATTCTCCTCCAGGCGCCTCAGCACCTCATACTCCCTCTCCAACGCCCTCTCCTCCCGTTCCTTCTCCGCCTTTAACAACACAACGCTATGCAGCAGCGGATCAAGCGCCTTCTCCAACCCCGCGATGGCGTCAACCGTCTTTTCGAAATCTAGCTCCACCTCGTGACTTCCGCCTTTACTTTTACTCTTACCCCTGCCCCTGCCATTGGAGGAGGAGGATGTAGGCGCGATGGACGCCGGGGGAAAGGGCATGCCCTTGATCAGCTTGGCGCGCAGTCGGGTGGCAAAGGTGCGCAGGATGGACTGCGCTTGGGCGTGGCGGGCGTCGCGGTCGCGGAGGCGGTGGAGGATGGGGAGGGAGGCGTCCGTTAGGGAGTTGGTTACGGCTGTTATGGAGGGCGCGTCGAGGGGCGTCCATCTGGAGGCGATGGTCGCGCGGGGTATGTGCTGGGTGAGGGTTATTAGGTGGTGATGGTTGTTGGGAAAGTGGTCGGGAACTCGAGGTGGCTCGGTAGGGGGTGATGGCTCGGCCTCCGTGAAAGGCCGACGGTTGGAGCGCTTTCGGGAGGGGTTTGGGGGTTTGCTGGAAGGTGCCTGGGCGTCGTCTTGTTTGGATGTCCCGGCTTCATTAGAGGCGCGAGGTGGCCGTCCGCGGGGCTTTTTCTTCCCCGCCTCCGTCTGGGAGGGCGAGACTTTGTTTTGAGCTTTGGAAACGGATAGTTCTGCCAGTGAAGGGCGGCCGCGCTTTGGCTTCGGAACACCGGGCGCTTGTTTGTCTGGGCCAGCAGGCGGAGATGCTTGGGCCGCCCACCATGGCTTATCGTCAGCCGACCGGCGTTCCCTTTGGCTTCGGCGGGTAGAAGACTCCTCTACAGTCCGATCTTCAGCTGGCTGCTCGTCACTGCCTGCAGGCTTGCGTCCTTGTCGACCATTCGCTTTCTCCGACGGTCCAACGACAGCCTGACGTTCAGGCGGAGATGACCGCGCAGGGCTGTTGTCGAAATGACGGCTTCTCCGTTTTGAGCGGCTAGCAATGTCTGCTGTGCTCTGCTTCTCCAAATTTGCGATTTCAGGTGTTCCATTGCCCGAGTCCTGACCCGATTCGTGCCTCGTACTGCTTTCCTCGCCTTCTCCCTGACCATCTTCTGTCTCCGCTGCCTCATCTGCTCTCCTTCGCTTGGCTGGCCGCACTTCTGAAGGGCTCTCCTCCTCATGTTCCGCATCACGCGCCTTGGGCGGTCTTCCCCTTTTCTTCTGGCCCGTTTTCACAGGTCCGCTCTGGCCGGCCGAGTTCGCTGAAGGCGACTCACCATTTTGGGTAGCTGAATCAACACTCTTGCGCTGTCGTCCTCGCTTTCTCAGAGGCGCACTAGTCTCAGCCGATTGACCGGGGCCTGGTGGTTGGCCTGACGCGGTCTCGGCGATTTTGGACGCGGCGGGGAAGCGGCCTGGTTTCCGTTTTTGGTCTGGGTTCTCAGATGCCTAGGTATTTCTGTTAGCTCAATTTCCAGTGCCCGTAAATCAATTGAGTGGACGCACCATGACGTTGAATATCCGAGCATGGGCAGGCCTGAAGTGGACGGCACGGTGGGTTGTTATTTTTGAGAAGGTTGCTGTCCCGCCATTCCTATTGTCGCGCGTTGATCACGACGCGGGGAGACCCATGAGCTCCCCGGCACCGTGGGCTTCGCCCCCATTGTGCTTCTCAAACGTCAGATCAACCCCACTTTTTTCTAGCTGCCACCGTTATTTTAAAAATTGGGCAGTTAGCCTAGAGAGCTAAAAACTAGATGCCTCAATCATAGCTATACAAGGTACACGTATACATGCTACTTTAGGAGATAGTAAACTCGGAGTCTTAAATCTGCTTCTATAATGCGATAGATAATTATTATTACTATTCCTATACTGCTATGCCCTAGGGCTCGCCGGACCCTCCACCACTAATTATAAAGGAAACCCCTGCCTATAAGGCTAGGCTAAGAACCTCTGTCTACCCTATAATAGTCTGAAGGCCTGAATCTACCTACTGTAGTTAAAGAATGGTGTAGATAGCTAATTAGACTATCGAACCAGCCTAGTTTTAGCTATATAGCTAGTCTATACTCCAAGAGCCTCTTAGAGCATAATAGCCACCTAATTATCGTCCTTGCAAGCCTTCTCCCTTTATTTCCCCATCTGTCGAGAGATTTATACAGATTTCTCTACGAGTATATTTCTATAGCTAGCTAGGTTCTTCGCTTCGATAATTAGCAGCACTATATAGCTAAGTGTTTGTCACGGGTAGTGATAGTGTAAGGTTCATATGCGCAACTCCTGGTTCGACTGGACTGTTCGAACCACAACCCTTCTTTTAAGGGTGCTACGTAGTCATCACGGGCATTTCCCGTGCCAGGATTAGGATTGTATTCTTGTAGCTCTGTGAGAAGCTGGCAAGCCTAGTAGTGAGGCTTGCCAGTAGTCAGTGCGCAGTCCCTCTTCAGAGTTTCCTTGAGGGCTGCACCCTGCCTACAGTTTAATCCCTCGTGCAACTACACCAATATTAGAGGATATGCAAGCTCAGTTCCTGTGTTCCGTCACAGCAGTAGTCAGTTGCGCCTACCCGTAACAGTGTTTCACTATTTCTCTACCTTAGCCGCATTCGCAATAAGGTGTAGGTATTCGAGAGTCCCTAGCTCAGAAGAGGAAGTCCTTGAGGCCTATAGCGCTAGTCTAGGCCTAGATTAGTATAAGGTGACATATACAGGCTTACCAAGAAAGATGCACCGAATCTGCAGCGAGAAACAGGTAAGATGACTGTATTATGCGTACACTACTTGACCAATTAACTGAAACTTAAGAGAGGGAAGTTCCAAGTTCCAATCTAACTCTCCTGCTCTTTAAATATCCTCCCTTTATTGCGAGTCATATCGCTTCGTTATGAAATACACAGTGTCTCGCCTGCTATAGCTTAAGAGTAGAGCTCATAGTAGAAGCCGTAACAATACTACTGGAGTTCTAAGCACCTAGTGTAGAGCACTGCTAGAATCTGGAATAGTAGCCTTCGTGTCATAGATATAGCCGCATACAGACCCAGGGGGGCGCGAAGAGAGCATCCCAAGCTAATCATTTAGAACATGGGTATAGCCAATCACGAAGGGAGTGTCACGGGATTCCCCGTTCCTGTTGTCATGGTTATGTCATATGCTTGCGGTTATGCATACGTCATGGGGTCTGATCATACGTCTAGGGTCATGCTAACGCATAGGCCTCTGCTCCAGTACTTAAGGTCTGGTTGCACGCCCATTCCTGTCATTTAGCTCTTGCTCTCGTTGTAGCAATATCGATCTTGTATGTGCGAGCTGACCAGACCTTGGGTGGTGCCCGTCACAGGGAGCGCGAAGTCCTATCTTCGCTTCATCTAGGAGCTATGAGAGCGTCGAATGCTCCTAGCAGACTAGGAGCGACAGGAGCGACCTCCGCTCCTAGCGCTCCCCAAAGACAATAGGAGAAGGAAGTATATATAGTCTACGATCTTAGGCCTATGAGCATTATAGTAGCTTCCTCAGTGAGCAATATAAGCAGTTAGCTATACCTATTATTAAGACATTCGCTTATATACTTGTTATAAACCTTTTAGCTTCACTGAACCTTTGTGACGAATCTCAAAGCGCCAACTTCTGAAAGGGACTCCTGAAGGTTATACTTGACAACGGGGTGAGGTTCGGTGAAGCCAAAGGGTTCACAACAAGCAATGTCCAAGGGTACTGACCATCTTGCACTTGAGTTGCTTACTGGAGAACTCCCAGAGTCCTCCAGAACGGGTGACTATATACTAGATGCATTTGGTTACTCTCTCGTGCTCTCTAGAGCCACCTAGAGCCAATGCTCTATGGTGCTCTCGAGAGCCTCTTAGAGCGTCCTCTGATTGGCCTTGCACTGGTGCTCTCTCATGCTCCTGAGAGCTCTCCGGAGCACCTCTAGTACTCGTTCCGATTGGTCCTAAGTGATTGGCTCGGAACGTCCTACGTTCCCCACTGGCTTCTGCAAGTAAGCCGCCGCTGTTGGCTCTCGTTGGTTCATTTGTGACAACCTTACTTCGTTAATAAGTAATAACCTTTAGAAGTTCCTTTTAGAAGTCAGGGCTTCGAGATTTGTCATACTTCTACAAGCCTTTACAGGCCCATAGGTATAGGGTCTTCCTCTGGAGCCTTTTATGGATAGATCCCTAAGAGGGCCCTCGCTATATCCCTAATAGTAATCTCTTACCAGACCTCGAACTATAGTTAGTCGAAGGCTTAGTTAAAAGGTAGTTTTAATTATATCGCTAAGGTTAGTTAGTGAGTTTGAGATGAACTTAGCTGCAAGGGCCTCGGCCTGCAGGCTATAGGTCGTAAGATCTAATTGGCCTGGGCCTCTACAGAGTGGTAGCAGTTTCAGTAGCTCAGTGAGCAGGAAGCTCTTTGTACAGGTCCATCTTTCTAGCTTCCATAAAAGAATAGAATCCGTCGTTGCCTGTCACGGCGATTGCGCCGTGCCTGGTAGGACCCACGGGTGGAACCCGGCATGTGGAAAGCACGGGCCCCTGTGGGTTAAATATTCTGCACCTCGCTGCCGCGAGATCTGTTCGTAACTCCTCGAGCTACGTCTTGACAATCAAGCCTGCCCGTACCTGACGGAATAGAGCTTAGACTGTAGTTCAGCCCGAATACAATTGTCATTGGATTGTCCGCCTGTCCCGCCGTGACATTGCCTTCTATACCACTTATACATTAGTGACTACTTAGAACTATAGTTCGATAAATGTAAAGTCTTTATATAGTTAAGCCTCTCTAATAGTTATGAACGTGATTAGAATACCTCTTTAGCTCTAGATATTATATAACAAAGCAGTTTAACTGGTTCTTTTCCTCATATCGTGCCCTGCATTTTTGAAGCAAGAAATTGGCGATATTATCTACATTGGCAATCTGAAGCGAAAATTCTTACAAATCTCAGTCGAGTATATATTGAACAATAGCCTTTTTTTCGATCTTCCACATATTCGAATGGCCGTAATTGTCAGGGCCCCCACCATGAGCCCTACACTTGGGCAATCGGCGGGCGAGACACTGTGGATTTCATGGCGCAGCGACATGACTCGCAGCAGAGAGAGGATATCTGGAGAGCAGGAGACTCAGATTGGAACTTGGAACTTCCCTCTCTCAAGGATCAGTCAGTTGGTTAGGGGTGCACGCACAATACAGTCGTCTTGCCTGCTGCTTGTTGAGGATTCGGTGCATCTTCCTTGGTGAGCTTGTGTGTGTCACCTTACAATTTCTGATCCTTCCACCCAAACACCAACCGAGATGTCGCCGATCCAGAGTCGAGTGGCTAGTGAGCCACCTGCAGAAGGCTCAGCCCCAGAGAACCCAGTGCGGTTACACCAGTCAGGGACGTCAAGTCAACGAACACCACCTTCAAGAACCTTATCACATCATGAACCACTTCAGCCTTACGATCCGGAGGCGTTGCTACAGGCCACCGAAGCCCGTGTTCAGAGCCTGGAACGGATCCGACAGTTGAGACAACAAGAGAAGGAGATCCTTCGGCAGTTGGGCCTCGATTCTGACGAAAGGCCAGCGAAACGACCTCGATCTTCTTCGTCTTCATCGGATTCCACGGGCCACAGCAAAGCCATCAAGGTGAAAAACCTCATCCAGTTCAGCGAACCCATGACGTTTCGTCGACGAAAAGAATGGCTTCAGGACCTTCAACGCGCTTTTGTGGGTGACCGCAGGCGGTTCAACAACGACGCCAACAAGATACTCTTTGCCCTCGACAACATGGACGAGCAGCAACGAAACCGCTGGTACAGCCATTGCGGCAATTTGTCGAACGACAAGCGCGTCGAGGCCGAAAACGATTGGAATCACTTCGAGGAATGGACCAAGGAGTGCGTCAAGGACCTTGCCGACCAGATATCAACAGCGGCCAAGCAACTCAACAACGCTCGCCAAAAAGACGGCCAGTCACCCCTTGAGTTCCACCAATATCTTGAGTCTCTGGAAGATCAGTTTCCACGTAAGGACGACAAGCAACGAGCTCTCGACTTCTACTCCAAGCTTTCACCAGCGATTATCCACCATATCGATCTCTACGTTCCCAACCGACCTGAGGACCGTGAAGGAATGGTCAAAATCGCCACTCAAATCTGGCACAGTTTTCAGCATATGAAGAAA